ACCACATTGACCTCACGGGAAGTTTCATTACTTCCCCCACGAGTCCTCACCATCAATTCCATATCAGGCATTCCCGGATAGGTTGGCCGTCAGTGGAGCGGATCTTCTCCCCGCACCCGCACCAGCATCCAACCATGATCAAGGAGATTGGTTTTGCTGCAAACTGTCGTGCAGCGCCCAGAATCAGGGATTTCACCCCAAAATTGGGCACGAACCGTATGCACTGCTTCGTACGGGATCGCGGGCATCTCCTGTCGCCATCAGGAGTTGTTACAGAACCCTACACCTATCTCAATTCCCTTTGACATTCCCCCCTCCCCAAACGACATCGGAGCTTTTTTGTCCAGGGGGCAGCGGATGGAGCCTTGTATCCTAGGCAACAACTCGACTCTTTCGCACATGCAAAGAGTCGACCAATGAGCGCTGCATCTACAAAACAACGATCGAGGTGTGGCTTCTGCTCCCGAACGAACAACATCATCACTTATTCGTGCTTTGGAAATTTTTTTTCCCCCCAATCATGCACGACATGGATTGTCGCGGAATGCACCCCTGATTGGCAAAAAGGTTCAAAGCCTCGCTGGGGATTGAGCTGTAAGACAGCTGGATCGTGCCAGCTCATGCTGTCAAATCAAACTCTTCATTGTCATTCGTCATTCGTCGACCTTTTAGGACATCCCATGCAGGACTTCGTATAAAGTGTACAGTACATAATTTACATCAGCGGCTCACACAGGAACCAAGTTATTCCTTCCCCTCTTTGTCCCCAATTAGGCGTCCGTGCCGGATGAACAAACCATGGACAGGGGGAAAAGGCTCTTGTTTGATAGGGCATTCCCCCAAACCTTGCTTCGAATTTTGATGTGTGGGTTCGACTTTTTTTTTTGGATTGCTCTGCCGATCGATGGCTGCCCCACTGAGAGTTGAAATCCCAATGGCGGAGGAGTACTCCGTAGTAATGTCAGGCGTCAGTGCCGCACTTTTACAGAAAGAAAAAGGGAGAGGGAACAATTTTTTTTTTTTTTTTCATTTGATAACCGGCTTTTTGACCTTGGCAAATGTCGACGCCACAATGAGTGGGAAGACCACAGTGGCTTCTGCGTATACCTATGATATCGATAATTTCAGCCAAAGAGACCTCAATTGTAAACGGCGGGGACTAAATCGAGGTACAAACACTAACCTTCACACTCTGCGCATCCGCTTTGATCTTCCCCCAACTCACAGCTTCATCGGGCCGGGCACCGGCGTCGCTACCGTCGAATTCCTGCGCAGTGTTGATATAGACGGCGCTTTCGGCGCCGTTGCGCATCAGGCAGGCGTTGGCGATGTGATGCTTGATGATTCCGCCGCCGAGAATGATCATGCCGGCACGCTCAGCGAACGTGGACATGGAATTGATCCGGCGGATGTCTTCTACGATGTCAATCCGTAGGTGGTCTGGCGACGCCGAGAACGTATGGAAATACAACATGTCCCCCAGGCTCCCATCGGTCAACGCCGGACAAAACACGGGGATGTCATTCTTGTAGGCCCAATAATAGACTGATTCTTCATTGTTGATCTCCTTGCCCAGCCGGTGGATGACCTTGCTAGGCGTCCAGTGCACGCGGTTTTCCGTATTCTTCGACGCCTCTTGCTCCTCGAGCATTGTCTTCAGTATGGGCATCACCCAATCCTCAAACGCGCAGTAGTTGCTGTTCGGCACGATCAAGTTCCCGATTCGGTTCATTCCCCTTTCCCGGAGCGATGCGCCTTGCATGCTGAACGATCCGAGATACGTTGGCGCCAGGCACTTGATCAAATCCTCCTCGACGCCGCCGGCCGTCGTGACGATGGCCGACACGTGCTTGTGCTGGACGAGGTAGCGCAGGGTTTCCCGCAGGCCGGACGAGATTAAATTCGAGGTGTATCCGAGGAAGATGGTCGTGCCCTTTCCTGTCTTTGGATCCCGCCATGCGATCTAGATGGCGAACAAAACCGGTCAGCATCAAAATCTCTTCTCGGGCCAGGGCAAAAATGGAAGGAAGAGAGACCATGTCGTTGATGATCCGTGCAGCCTCGGCCACGGCGGAGGCCTGAAACCCCATCCCTGCCATGTTTTCTAGCAGCTCGGCAGCGGTGATGTCTCGATCGGCGTATTTGTTGAAGTCGATGCCGCTGACTTGCGGGGTTCCTTCGGGAACGGTGTCGGAAGCCATGAGAACAGCGTCCGTGGCCCGCGACGGGGGAGCATCCGCTTGGGTACCCATGTTTTCGAATCTCAATTCTAGAAAGGTGAGTGTTTTGAGTGGCCGAAATTGTTTTGTTTCACAGAGGTCAATAAGGGCAAATTGAGGGGGAGGGGAGGCGTTATGGGAAAATCTCCCAAGGTGGGGGGAGGTGTCACAAATGGAGTAATGTTTCGAGAGAAGCGCAGACTTTGCAGCTCTGTTGGGTTCTCACTATCGGAGGAGATCAAGAGCCAGTGCACTGAATCAAGACTCAAATTGTATCAAGACCATCGTGCCCTTGCCCATCCCGCCGCAATCTTGCGCCCAAACTGCGCATCTAATCAGATCAGATCGGATCAGTCACGTGATTAAATCGCTTACCTCAGCCACCAGCCACAGCCCGCTAATTTAAAAAAGCGGGTCCGGTCAATCCCTGTGCGTCTCGAATCACCCAGCCAATCAGCGCCGGACCCGGGGCATCTGGACAGCTGGCGTTTCTCGTGAAACTCAATACCAGCCACACCACCCCCGGCCAGTTCGTTCAGCCACAGCTATTTTCAGTCATCACGTCTCCCCTGCCAACTGACTGTGTACGCGAGAACCGGCCTGCGGACTCCCAACGCTAGTTAATTCTGGCTCAAGACGCGCCGTAAGAAACCCGCCATTCTCCCCTATCTGCATCGCCTGTCGCAGTGCTCCGTCGTGACCCCGTCCCTGCTGAATCGGCGGTGGCGACGATCGATGCACGTGACACAACCTAAAACCCGCGAACTTTGGAGTTTGAAGATATCGCTCATTGGAGGCCTTTTGACGTCGCGCTCCAATTCGATTCTGCATCCTTCTTCCATCTCCCCGGCTGCAGGACTCCTTCATCATCACCATCGCCGTTCCTCCAGCTCAGCTGCTTCCGCAAAGCCTGTTGTCTGGCTGAGCCTTTGTCATCGAGCTTTCAAGTGTTTCCCAGCACCCTTTGCCTTCCTGTATCCCTTTTAGCATCTGTTCATCACTGTCCTTCCTTCTCGCGCCTTGCTGCGAATTTCGACGGCCTTGCTGCAATTTTGGGATTCGCTCACTTACTCGTCTCTCATTTCTGTTCGAAATTTCAAACATCGCCAAAACCCTCGCTCTTCGAGACAGCCGCTCTCTAACCAACTCTTCTGAACGTTGTCATCCACTCCCACCTTTCATTTGACCTCTGTGGGTAATTGCGCATTCAACTTCCCTGTTTTCAACGCTGAGCGGCCTCTCTCTGAACAGGCATCAGTCAAGGTGTGCTCAGAAAGCGGCTAGACCCTGGTTTCTAACCCATCTCTTCTTGGCAGTGCAAATCCAGCTGCAGCCGCCCTTGTCAGACAGTGCAGCTTTGGGCAGACCAACGGAACAAAAAGAAGACTTTGCTCGCTCACAACCTCCCTGAAACCTACACTGTCATTGTGGGTTTCCCAAGCGCAGTCTTCACTTGACTGCAGACCCCCTGTTTTCGTCGCATCTGGCTTTTCGTCGCATGTTGCCAGGCTTTGCACGTGACTAATATGTGCCGCTATCATCCACAACAAACAATTCTTTTCTCCCCAGAGAATTCCTTCTAGATCTTCTAGCCTTTCAACTCTACTCACCAGCTGTTGCAGCTGGTTACGTCACTATTACTGTTTAATACCACTGTTTTCGTCGGAAACTGACTCTGGCTCGCACTGAGATATCTATCGCCCCAATCTATGGTGATCCCCAGCAATGGCATCGCGATTCCCTCCAAGGGACCGCTCCCCCCATAGATATGGTGATCGCCGTCCGCATATCCCTTCTGGACCGCGTGGAGGAGACGATGCAAATTCTATCCCCCTCGGACGCGAACCCCCTAGAGGTCCAAAAGCACTTATTGATTCCTCGAGAGGCGGCCATTTTGCACCAGCTGGTCCAAGAGGAAGGGGGATTCCTAGAGGAATTTCCGGGAGAGGCGAATATCGTGATCGTGACCCTCGTGATTTGAGGGATGGTCCTCCTCCGTTTAGACGGGACCCCGACCGGGACTGGCCCCGTCGTGATAGGGGCTTTGACTCGAGAGATACCCGTCCGCCATTTGGTCGAGGCCGCTCCAGGTCGCCTCCGCTTAGGGACTTTCGGGATGCTGGACCGAGAGATTTGGATATACCCAGGTTGCGACGGGGTTCTCGGGATGGCCCTCTATTGATGCCAGATGCATCGCCTCTTCGGGGAGGTTCCTTTCGTGGTCGTGGCCGTGGTGATCGTGATCGAGGAAGGGGTAAAGGCTTTTTAGACGATCGAGATTTATTTCGAAGGAGAAGCTTATCGCGAGACGCCTGGAGAGACCGCGACTCTCGGTTTGACCGAGACAGAGATCGCGAGCGTGAGTGGGACAGAGAAAGGGAAAGGGAACGGGAGAGGGAAAGAGATAGAGAACGGGACCGAGACCGAGACCGTGAACGAGAACGTGAACGTGACAATGAGAGACGTGGCCGGTTTGAGCGGCGAGAGGACGATAGGCGCCCAGAGAGAGATGAGCGGGATGAGCGAGATCGAGCTCCGGATCGGCCTGATACTTGGAGGAAAGACCGGGCTCCTAGTAGGATAGAGCCGAAAAGCTCATCTAATACCGCCACAGTATCGCCTTCGACTGTTTCACCTCCGTTATCCGCTGCTCCATTTACAACTCCTAAACCGGATATCCCTGATGTTCCTCAGAAGTCGGCCGTGCTCCCTACAACTTCAGTGCCAGACCAGCCGAAGCCCCTGGATAAAGTAGAAGCTCCGCCGCCACGTTCAGAATCGTTCGCCAACCATCCAGTACCACAATTTGTCTCAATGTCTACTGTCTCGGATGTGCCAGCGTTTGGTGCATCAGCATCAAGTACAACGCCAAGCCGAGGCAAAGCGCAGTTGAATTCCATGCCAGGAACTGCCAATAAACTCCATAATGATGCGTTTGCTTCTGGTTCTGTACGCCCGCCAACTGGACCTAGAGCCGAGCGTGTGGAGAGTCATGCTCCAGATTTCCGCTCCCGCCGTTTATCCGTCTCAGACGCACGAAGCAAAAATGACCTCTCGATACGTCCTAGCAAGCCTCCCCCGGCATCTCCACCCGCTCCGCCTACTTTGTTACCTGACCGTCGTGCTGTTACCCCCTCTGCTCAGGATAGAAGCTCGCTGACATCAATTAACCCTGAAGAAAAGCCGCTACTTTTACCACGACAGGATTCCGGGCCCATTTCTCCTCCTATCGGCCCCTCCGTGGCTCTATCCCAAGGATTTGGCCGTGCACCCGTAGATACCAACAGCTCCCCCGTTGCTCATCGGCGGCCATCTACTAGCCAGACCTCTCCACAGGCACCGTTCTCAAACATACCCACTGGACCAAGGGCATTGCAGCGACCAATTGCTCCTAGAGGTGGCCCAAAGGGAAGCAATCAATGGGTTCGACCGGGATATGTCAACCGCGGACCACCAATAGCTAACGCTGGCTCTCCTACTAAACGGGATAGCTTTACCGACGATAAAGATATGATTTCTTCAGTATCCAATGAGTCACGGAGCGCGGAGAAACAACATGATGAAAAAACAGAGTCGATTGAAACGGAACCTAAGAGATTGGCAGAAGCGGCCGCGAACGAAACCAACGTGACTTCAACACCAATTGATACAATGTCATCTGAAAAAGGAGAGGTCGGACCGGTCCATAATTTAAAGGACGACAGTTTGCTACCCATGTTCCTTGCAGAGTCTAGTGGTGAAGTATCAGACGAAGAAGATGACTTGGACGAGGAGGATTTCAATCAGGGAGAACAACGCTTTGAGAAAGAAATGCAGGCTTTAGCAGCAGAGATGCCGCCGCCTCCCCTAGAGGATCCGGTTATTGTCAGCCTCTTATTCAAAATTCAGATGCTGGGTATAATCGCTGAAGGAGCTGTGCCGACATCCCTGGATGAACCCAGCGCCGCAATAGAAACTGAAAATCCCTCTGAGCCTCCAGCAGTTGTACCGCTACCCAGTACAGATGCGAATGAAATTGAACTTCCGGATGCTCCTCCTAGCGTTGCTCCTCCCGAGGAAGCTCCCGTTGCTGAAGCACCTTCCTTGGAAGCCCTCCCGTTCTTGAACACTGGTCCGCCAACTCCTTTCTCTGATATGGACACTTATCAGGAAACCCTCAAAACTCATGATATGATTAAAGATACGCTTCGCGAAGAGATAATTAAGCAACGGAAAGAAATTGCGAAGCAGCATGCTGACTTGCGGGAGCAATATCGCGCGTATTATAGACCATGGAGACTTGCAGTTTCGGCAATGGATCGAAAAAAGGCAGCGGAAGATAGGAAGTCTGCAGCTCCAGGGCCATCAACGCCTCCAGCTTCTTCCAGCTCAGCAGCAGCCATTCCCCCGCTCGAAGGACGGAGAGGGTATAGAATGAATAGTGAACTGGACTTCCAAAATGCTTTGAAAGCATCTGCCATAACTGCGGAGGAAGAGAATGCGCGTCGTAGGGACCAAGAAGCCACTGCGAGACCTGACTTGGCTCGGGAGGCACCTATCCCTGATATGTTTGATGACATAGAAAAAAGGGCTTCCGTGTTTCAAGATACTAATCAGATCATTGATCCGAGCAAAGCGTTTGAGGTGTTTGCGTTCCATCTTCCCCCGGATGATTTCACGCCTGAGGAACATAAAATTTTCACAGACACGTTTATGTCTCATCCGAAAAAATGGGGCAGGATTGCGCAAGCCTTACCAGGGCGTACATTCCAGCAATGCATCAATCACTACTATTTGACCAAGGAGGAGATGAAATACAAAGTCAAGTTGAATAAAAAATGGGCCCGGCGCGGACGAGGACGAAGGACGGTTGCTAGACCCCCTAAGTCAAATGCTCTTATGGCAGATCTCGGTGTTGTGCGCCCTGTCTATGATGGCGACGAAGCAACGGAGACAACCCCGGCGGTTACTGATACTGGTCGGCCTAGGCGAGCAGCCGCACCCACCTTTGGGGAAATGGCCGCCGATACGGAGACCAGTACGCCAACGCCAAGTGGAGGAAAACGAAACAGTGGAAAAGAAGGACCGGATCAACCACCCGACAAACCTGCTAGACGCGGCGGTAGAGGTGGAAACCGTGGCGGCCGGCGGGCTCGAGCCCAACAACCGTTGAATAATACCCCGATCGCCGCCGCTCCTCCAAAACCACAGCCAGAACTCAGCGTCGAGAATGTTACCAAACTTGCTACACCAAGGCCTAAAAGTGAGACAGAAAAGGCATTTGAAGTGGCCGCTCCGCGAACAAAATCTACTAGAGTTCGTGCAAAGGAACCCAAGGAGATTGCTTCAACCGCAGAGTCAACGGAGGGAGAATCGGCGCCAAAGCAAACAGGGGGCGGTTATGGATCCCAGCAACCTACAAGCTACTGGTCTGTCCCAGAACAGCGTGACTTCCCTGAACTTGTTGCGCATTTCGGTAGGGATTTTGAAGGCATATCTCAATTCATGAAAACGAAAACCCCAACAATGGTAAGAAAGGCGGAATATACAACTTTTACATTCACAGAAACCAAGCTTACACCTTTTTCAGGTTCGAAATTATTTCCAGCGAAACGTTGACTCGGGTGAAAATGAGCTGGAGGAACTGGCATCAATCGCCGAGGCTAAGAAGCAAAAAGGCGAAGCGACGGGTCCTCTTCCAGTCCCAAGTCTCCCAACAAAGCGGCGGTATGATGCTGCTGTTTCTTCAGCTGGCCCGCGGCCTTTAGCTCCAAATACAGATACGGCTGAGCATATTGATAGAAAGGTGAAACTTCAAGTTGTGCCATTGGCCGCAGCACCGCCTCCAATTCAGCCTCGCCAGTCAATCGATAAAGCACAGTCACAGCAAGCCCTCTATCCTTCGGTTCAAGCTCGTGGTGCTTCGATGCTTCCTTTGTCAGCCAGCGAGGAATCGCACCAACGTGCAGCACGTCAACAAGCTGCACTAGCTGCCCAACGGATGCAGCAGCAGCAGCAGCACGGACCACGTATGGGCTATTTTAGCGAAAATCGCCCCGATAATCGATCTGTACCAGCACAAGGAAATATCGCTGCCAGCCACCTGCAAGAACTGGAATTGAAGCGACAACAACCACAGGCCATTGCCGCTCTTGCAGCTCAGGTAAGCATTGGAAGCTTGCATCCTCAGAATATGAACCGCTCCAATCTCGCATCTCTTGCTCCGGACGCTCAAGAAGCGTTGAGGTACCACTCAATATCGCAGGCCTCTCAATATGGCCAGCCATCTTATCTTCAACCGCGTCCAAGTGTCCAGGCCGCCACATCATCCCGGTCTCACTCGCGACGTCCTAGCAACAGAAGTATTTCCTCCACTGCAACATCTCCAGTCCAATTGCATAGCAAAATGGAGTTAAGTTCGGGAGCCATGGCCTCTGTTGACATGCTCAATCAACCCAAACCCACTTTCCGACAACCGACCCAGTTCCTCGACATTAACCGCTCAACCCCGGCTGTTCTATCACCACATGAAGCGAGTCGGCCGAATTCTCGACCAAATTCTACATCAGCTCCTGCAAACGCGGAACCACCTCGACAAGTGCCTGCGAAACGCTCAAATATCATGAGTATCTTGAACGATGAGCCAGAGGATCCACAACCACGGAAGAAATTCGCAAGCGGCGACTTTGCAGCTCCCACTACCGCTTCACGCCCGGCCTCCCCTCGTCCCGTTTATGCAGGAAACCATTCGACGCCGTCTCGTTCGATACGGCCAGAAGATCATTTGAATACTGCTAGCCAGCAATACCAAAGATCTAAGTACACTCCAGCTGGATCGCATCAATTGCAATCGCCACACCCGCTACAACACCAACAATCTCATTCTCAAATGAGCACTGCCCAACAATATCCGGATTTTTCAGGGAACTATAAAGCTTCGTCAGGAGGAAGCTCGTTGAATCAGGATTGGATGGCAAGATTCGACCCCAGGGGCCAACAGCAGTCGTCCCAATCACCCAACTCAACCGATCAGCACATTTCACGCCTGGCAAGGCAGCCCTCCACCAGTCATACGTACTCCAACACGGGCCTTTCTCACTCGGTATCGATGTCTAACCTTCAATCGACCCAGTCACACCCTTCGCCTCAGCACCAGAGCCAGCGGCCACCCTTCACTCACCAAATTTTGCAGCAATCTCAATCAGCTCAACAGAGTGCTTCTGCTCGAGATTCCCCGATGTCTCAACATCTCCAGCCGTTCTCTCAGCCTGGTAGCCCATCAATTCAGCGTCACAGCATATCTTATACCCCCAAATCTTCTCATCCGAGACCGACGTCTCCAAATCCGCCGTCAGGCAGTTTGAAGCAGACTCCTCATCCGCAGTCGACTCGGTACTCTGGTTATGCCCCAAGCAATGGAGGTCATCAGATTCAACCTGTTTTGGAGAACCAGCCTCAAGCAGCTCACCTATACCGGCAAAACGTCCAGGGTGGTGCTCCGCAGCAATACTCGCAGTCAGCAAGACGGGTGCCATCACTTTCGCCCAGGCACCAGCCATCACATTTACCGCCATCACAACATCTATTGGCACAGCATGAGCTGCAAGCCCAACGCCAGCATAGAGCATCGTTGAATTTGGGCCAACAATCTGATTCTCCTTTCAGCCGCAACCCTCCTCCGTCACAAGTCTCAAATCTAAGTCGCGGTACGGGGTATGTCACTAGAGCGGTCGTACACGCCTCCCGGCTGTTCTATCGCAACACAGTCATACTGCTTCAAGCAGCAGTGGTGGTAGTGGCAGTGGCAACGGCGCTGGTGGTGGTGGTGGTGGTCACTTATATTCCACCAGTAGCTTGTTGAGTTCTCAAGGAATGCACCCACAGCACCAAAGCCAGCAGCAACAGACCCTTCAACCGTCGTCTCATCAGTTACACCAGATGTCAAGACATTCAGGTAGCGGCGGAATGGACCATCCTATGTATGATCGTAGGTAACGATATTGAGCCATACTTTAGGAAATCTGATCTGGTTTAACAACTTCACTCCAATGTAAATATTAGCCTTTCTTTTGTAGTCTTTTACCCCATGACGGCCTTTTGAATTTCCCGTCCCCATTTTCCAAATTTGCAACCCCTTTGCCGTTCCTATCAGGCTGGTTTGGTTCCAGCATTGTATTAAGCCTGGATTTCTCCTTAGAAATAAAAGACCAAAAGTTTATATGTTCAGCTTCAAGGGCCATCTAAGCTGTCCAGCTTCTAATAAAAAGGCCCAGGACCCGAAAATCTCTTATTTGCATTTATATCCCACTGTCAACCTGCCACGCAAATATAAGAATAGTGAGTACACATCGATTATCTCAGGGGAAAATGGATGTTGAAAATATCTATAGTCCAAGGTTACAAAACCCAAAGATATCGAGGTAGATAAAAAGTCATAAAAGAGGCCCTGTCATGAAAGCTCAATGGGTATTTTATATACACGCGAAATGAGTCATTGAGAAGGTTCATATAGCTATGTTGCTGGTAGGACCAGGGATCCAAGAAAATTCAATGAACATGATCGAGAACGGTTCAGGCGAGTTGCTTTAATGAGAACTGTGTCTGGACTTGCAAATGAACTGGTAAAGATGAGTTGAATCATAAATATTACATAACGATGCAGTCCTTGCTCCTATCCTTTTGTCGTTCGGACAATGGTGCAGCTGTAACTGGCACTGGTGGCCGTCTTCTTACTGAAGGATGATGATCCATATTTCGAGGCGGGGTTCGTCCGGCACCATAGTTATAGCTTGAAGATCTGGGTCCTGCTATGCCGTCGTATTGAGGGCTGATATGGTCCTCTGGGTTGTATGGTGGCGTTTGTGCGGCTTGCTCGTAGGTTGGAGGGGGAGCGTTAGTATCCGCTGAGTGAGTCTGGCGAAATGGGGATTTCTGGTGGTTGAGGGATAAGTGGACGGACCACTTGGGATTGGCGAGGTTGACGGTGCCCGGTTGACTGGCGATGGGTTTGAGGAGTTATATTGCTGGCGGATCGATGTCTACTCGGAACTTGTTGCCAGGGTGGTTCGTTTTGAGAGCGGCTTGAGCGACGCTCCGTTCGCGTACGCTGCTCTTCTTCATCTTGATATTGAAGTGCTAACGCATATGCATAATCAGCGTCTGTTTGTTCGTTATGCGTTGATGATTGGCCTGCGTCGAGATTCCGGTTCTGCTCAGCGGCAGATTGATCTTTCTGTTGGTTATTAGGAAGGGATGGTGCAGCTCCAACAGGACGAAAATCTCCGGAGAATAATTCGGATCCACTGCCGTTGACATCCACAAGGCTTTCCCATACAACTTCTGCATGGCTTGCATAGCCCGCATCCGTCACAAGGGTGAAGAGTTGGTGAGATTGTGGGTGTTTGAATAGTGTCGAGAAGTGGTCATTTCGGAAGAGTATACAAACAGCTCCAGGCTCGAGAGAGCGATTTAAATGTTCGAGGCCAAAAGTGCTCAACTGAGTCGGATTTTCGACATTGACAAAACGCTGTATGTGGTCTATATCTTTGACTAAGCGCTCTTCTTCGGCCTGAAGCATGCCACCAGTGAGGACGCGCCCTTCCAACTCCTCTTTGCGAAAGTGTAACAATTGGATATCATCATGGTACTCTGCTGTGCGAAGCATTGCTTTGTGCGCCTCCGAGGACGGAGGGGCAAGCCAGCCGTGAACTAATGGGAGGTTGAAAGCACTATATAACTGGATATCGCGTGTTTGATGAAACATTCCTGGTTGGTCGGGGTTTACATTCTAACCTCTGTTAGCAAGTAGTTGAATAGGAAAGCGCATTCTCGAAAACATACTGGAGTCAAGCGAGGGTTCACGTTCATCCCGGTGTGCAGCATTGTAAGAAATTTACTGAGATCCTCAATATCAGGAAGCTGATACTCCTCATCCACATAAGTTGTAAGCTCGTCGAATAAAGCTTGGATCAACAATCCCAAAGATATACTCTCTCGGGATTTCAAGGCTCTTATAAGTGGGGACTGAATATCAGGCGGGGTCCGCATTACAAGGCTATTGACAAGCGCAAGAAGAGGGCATGGACCGTTTTCATTTTGGATCAGAACAGGAGAATGACGCAAAGGGGAATGAACCCCGTCTATCCAATTAACAACACGAATGCCGTATATTTCTGAACGCTGTGCCTGGGGTTTAACACTCGGAGCCTCACTTCTATCTCCTTGCGATCTCGTTGGTTCATCCTGAGGATCTAAAGGACATGACCTCGTAGGCTGAGTAGTTGACAGGTGACTTTGTGGGGCGGGAAAATGAGGCGTGACATGGTGGGAGTCGCGGTGCTCGGTTTCTTCAAGATCCATAAGGTCTTGCGAGGGCAGGAGGGAGCTAGAATGAGAATTGCAGGTCGGACTTTGATAATCATTTGACCTATCATTCTCCGTGACTCCTGCTACCGGCTGATCCTCGTACCCAGTTGCCTCAAGCTTGAGCTGGTCTTCGGCACCGAAAGAGCTTACATTAGTAGAGGCAACAGGCCCCGGGGGTAATGAATGGAATGGGGATCCGGCACTATTTTGGCTTGGAGAAGGGGTTAGCACTGAGCTATCGAGGGGCGGCGAAACTGCGAGTTAACAAAATAATTGTTAGTTTTCGGAATGATCAATATAGAATAAATTGAGATAATGCATAGTAGCTTGTAAGGGTAATAAAGATGACAGGAGGGCTACCTGTGTTCGAGGTTCCACCATTGTAGGTCTGCTCCAGCTTCGCTCTGAAAGGATTATTCGATTGTAGTTCAATAGTTTTGCGGGGCGACAGATCTGTCGCATTGCTTGTAGACAAATCACTCTGTACTGCGTCCGGATTTGGCTGATAATGATTTGAGCTCTGTGCGTTTGGGGTCTTAGGACGTGGTATTCCCTGCCCACGATTGTCATAAGCTTCCAACAGCGGAGAGTCACATAATTCCCCAGACCCAGCAGGCTGGTCTTGTGTCAGCGATTCCTGATTAGTGTCCAACTGGCGCATCTGAAAATCGGCCACCGCTGGCTTCGAGCTAACACTGCTACTCTGATTGGATGGCGTGGTGTCTGCTGCCGTTTCCAAATCCGGAATAGGTTCTATCTTCAACTCTGCTGAGCCAGGTAGCACATCCTGGTCCTCTTGACCGGCGATCCCCGTGTTCTCACACTGCTTAATGCCCATCATGCGCTTACCCACCGCGGACTGGTTTAAACGCGAAGGTATCTCAATAAGGCATCTTCAAAGAGAGGGAGAGTGAAAGCGAGGCACCAAATCTTCAACCGGGCCTAAAAGTAGCGAGCGCGCCAATAGATTTTTGTCATCGACTGCAGCCTTCCTTGAAACCGGCTATGGCGGACAAAATCGCTGGTGTGCTTGTGATAAGGTAGCACAGAAGTTGTCAAGAGACGAGTTGCGGTAGGAGAAGATGCAAATGCGAAGAAAGGGGTATGGCTATTTGAGACCTTAGGGTGTCAGCGTCCCAAATTGCAGTGAAGGTACTTCAGACCAGCATTCGGCAAAGAGACTGTGGAAGAAGGAGGTTGATCGTCGCAACCGCGAGATATAGATTTGAGGGAGCCTACAGCCGGCAGCTTATCTAATCGGGCGATCTCCGGTTATCGGATTAACCCCACTTTCCGGAGATGACGTAAGGCAGGATATTTGATGTGCCGGTCCGATTTGGGATTTTTGCGGCGAGGAGCAAGCGGACGTTGTTGATCAAAGGCGCTATGGCTTGCTTTGCGCCGTATTAACGAAAGTGAGGTAAAGATGGACTCGAGAATAGCTCCGGACGCTTATATTGCGCTTCAACTGCCCTCAGGAACAACCAAAGTCCTGCAAATACTTCCGAATTCGTATGTTCCATGCATCGCCTGTGTGAGCACTCTTGTTCCTCAAGCTTGAGAATCCAAGGCGCGCTTCATTTGTTTGGCTAACGTCAATGGTCAGGAATGTGTCTCTTGGGAAGTACGGTTCATTCCCTGCAAATCAGATCCTTGGCCGACCGTTCTACCTGACTTTCGAAATACTTGACGAAGCCGACGCAAATGGACATATCCTACGCGTTGTTCCAGCTGCGGAGTTACACACGGAGGCGCTGATGACTGAATGCTCGGGTCCCGGGGAGCTTGACGATGGACTAGAAACCGGCGACGCGAACGGAGAGGATGAAAGCACCGATGCTCGCGACAACCGGAATATCGTCGACGATAACTCTGCGCAGCGCATGACCATGGAGGAAATTGAGAATTTAAAGCAAGGCACAACTGGTGCCGGGAAAGAAATCATTGCTAAACTCCTTCAATCACATTCAGCCCTAGACCAGAAGACTGCGTTTTCCCGGGCCAAATACACGCTACGGAAGAGAAAGAAATTTTTGAAGCGATTTACGCCGCTGCCTCTTGACGTATCATTGCTCACAAATTGGATGCTGGACAAGGATGGAGGAAGAACCATGGAGATACGGGATGAATTGCTGGGGCTCATAGGTTGCTACGGGAATGTGCATCATGCTGGGGAAGAAATACTAGATCCAACGGCCGCTCAGCCTGGTGGGCGTTGGCTTATCGTGGATGATACAGGCGGCTTGGTGGTTGCAGCTATGGCAGAAAGGATGGGAATACTATATCCTTCATCGACAGACTCGGATCGGGGGCTTGATGAACTTGTGGCGGAGAAAATTGAACCCGGTGATGCACCAATCGAAACCGGGGCGACACCAATGGCCAACATCGACGATAAGCCACTTGAGAACTCTGACGACTTGAACCCATCCACACCTCACCAACTACACCACCCCTATCGTGCGGCGCCCATGTCAGCGAAAAGTACGAGTATTACCGTAATACATCCGAACTTCCAGCCTAATCTTACCCTGCTAAAGTATTTCTCTTATGACCTTAACGACCCTCCCGAATCGCATCCTCTCCACACCCACCTCAAAACGCTCTCCTGGATTCAGCTCGTGGATCCTGATTCTGACTCCACCTACGCCAACGAGCCTGAAGTCGTACCCGAATCTGTCCTTAACGAATGGAAGCCTAGCAAAAGAGGCGGATATCATCGAAAACGGCGTCGGTGGACGAGAGTTCAGACAGTCGTAGAAGAAACGCGTGCCGGTGGTTTCGACGGCTTGATAGTCGCGACCCTAATGGACCCTGCTTCCGTTTTGAAACATGCCGTACCATTATTGGCCGGTTCAGCACCAGTGGTAGTTTATTCACCACATATCGAGCCATTGGTTAAACTTGTTGACTTATATTCTACGATGCGCCGGGCGGCATACCTGAACCAGAAACACGCCGCGCAGGAGGGTCAAAGGAAAGGAAGAAGTGAGCAAAGCGAGACCGCAGATGAAGCCAAAGAGATAAACTATGACGATGATGACTTCCCCGTCGACCCATCGTTGCTTTTAGCTCCTTCAATACAGACATCGCGTGTCCGTCCATGGCAGGTTCTCCCGGGCCGTACCCACCCGCTTATGACTGGAAGAGGTGGAGCGGAGGGTTATGTTTTTCATGCTATTCGCGTTATTCCGGCAGGAAAGAAAGTCGAAGCCCGTGGGATTCCCGGAAGGAAGAAAAGAAAGGTTGCAACAGAGTCATCGGAGCAGACGCCAAAGGAGAGTGAGGATGTGGATATGCAAGACTAAAAAATGCAAAACGGGCGTCATCTATTCTGTTTTACTATCTAGATAACTACCCTGATTTATCCAATTGCAGACCAATATCTTCTCATTCGAAACTGAACCCGGTTAGTGTGAATGTTCGTCCACGCACACGACGTCCCAGTTCTCACTGTTTGATCGATGTTCCTTGTCAGGAATTCTAATCTTTGATTGACATGACCAAAAAGGTTGCCGCTTACCATGACAAGCATTGGTGGTTTAGTGGTAAAATCCGTCGTTGCCATCGACGGGCCCCGGGTTCGATTCCCGGCCGATGCAGAGCCATTTCTTTTTGCCTCACAACCTTCTATCATCTTACTTTTACTCCTCTTAAGTTTTTGCTTTTTAGATCACTGTTTGATTAGATTAGAAACTTACGGAGGGCATTTCGTTGACTAACCAAGGTTAATAGGTAGATTTCTAAATGCGTCATAGCTGGCGCAGTAAGAGTACGAGTCGCCTGATACCACGCGCTGCTTGCCATCCGGTCGGCAAGCAGAATTCATCACTTTTATTTACAAGGAAGCAAAGCTTGAAAAGTCAGACCGCTTGGGGAAAGTCGGCTAACTCTCATCCAAACTGCAAGGGTCGTCCAGATCATACTCGCCCGGGCTATATACTCCTGAAAGCTCACGGCATTGCCATCTCCGAAACAACTCGGTAGTTATTGCACGCAATGTAACATTCAAAACTAGAACACAACAGGCCAATGCGTTCCGACATGAACTAGTCCCCATGTTATTTCTGGTTGGTCAATTGGGATATAAACCGGCTTTAACCTGGGTATCTGAAATATGCAGTGGACAAACATTCATTACTATGGTTTAAAACAGCGCTCGCTGCGCTCCCCATTCCCAGCCAGCGCCTTGACATTTCTTCTTAAATAGGGATGCCGATGAACGGGTCACTGGGCTCCGCCTTCTCAAAACTAGCCCGGACAGCGACGGATTTATGAATCGTATGGCGAGGAGAGGCAGAACGAGCTCTTTTTTTTCCTCAATTTGGTCATGTGATCTAGACGTTGCGTACCCCAGCATCAATGGTCTAGTGGTATGACGCTTGCCTTCCAAGCAAGCTGCCCGCGTTCGATTCGCGGTTGATGCAAACGCACCTTCTGTTTTTTTGCTTTTTGCCCCGCTATTCGGAATACAAGGTGATGCGCCAGGAGCGCCGTGATGTATATTTTGCGCCTGTCAATTGCAATCATAGAGCTAGATTCTAGAAGGAATGTCGTCTGGGCTGGCTGCTGGTACGACGGAATTGACCCAAGGATCCTGAAAAACTGATAGCCTTTCATAAGTTAAGTCGATGTGAGAGAGTGGGGAGATACCGCCAACATCGACTTTTCGCCCCGCTCAAGCAGGGAAGCCCCCTCTTCTTCGAATGGCAAAATACTTAATTCCACTGCATCCACAACAGCATTGGTGGTTTAGTGGTAAAATCCGTCGTTGCCATCGACGGGCCCCGGGTTCGATTCCCGGCCGATGCAAGCACATGCTTTATCTTTTTGCCTTCATTGACATTTTTTTCTCGAGGAAAATCCCAGTTGAGAAGCAGCTTCTGACTTTTGCAGTGCGTCTCTAGAGGATTAGTGCACGCACTTGTGTCCAACTCATCCCAGCAATTAGCAGAGCGTTTGAGCCAGTGAGCTTTTCAAACCCCTTCATATAGTTACAACGATCAGGTAACCATGACAAACGCCCAATATCCTGCCATGAAAACCATGGTTGGTCCCGAGGTTTCACAACGTCAAAACTCACGTTTATCCAGAACAAGGAGGACCAGCAGTTCTCATATGCTGGCGGATCTCTTAATGCGTTGGTAGTGCATCACCCGCCTCATGCTTGGGGTGAGTAGCACTGCCACTGACGACTGCAACTCTTTGCATAACTTTGGGACCACATCACGGTTGTGCTGTGGGGGTTTATCGCTGGGTCGCGTTTCGATAACAATGGCTCGGATACTCAAATTTTCAGAGGAAGCCATCCCGCTTCTCTTGAACGTGCTTGGAAATGTGGTGGGAAACTCCGGACTTGTTTCCCGGTAAATGGAAGACAAGATTTCAGAAGACTAGGGTCAAAGGCTGACAACGAGGGAGTCATGTATCGGAGGGCAGGATATGTCGAAGAACGCGGTGCAACTCGTAAAAAGGCTGGTGTGTCCCAAGCCAAAGATCGATAATCCCTCGTCTAAATCTCGTCGAAATTGAAGAACGCTCCACTGAGCCACAGGCTCAGATTCCTTGTCAAACTGAAACCTGCACCATCGGGTATATTCCTAAACCAGGGAGGTTGAAGAGGCACTGAGGCAGGGGGATCGGGTCAATCTCGACGTAAAGATCAATCCAAGAATAGGATCCCGCTCAGAGATTCAAGGTTGATTTATCCGGCGTTGCCCATGTGGGCCGTGGGGGCCTGTTGCAAGAGCGCACCCAAGTGTGCTCCTTGCTGGCGGTCACCTCTGGTGCCCAACCTTCAGGAAGGTCGTGCCTTGATATCCGATGCTTGACAGCCCCGGAGCTGCGTCTCAAGCCCCAGTAGTGACATCACCATCACACAGCACTGACTGCACCCTCGCCTTGAGGTAAAGTTCAAGTACCGAACTCTGCTTGGTGTGGAGCAGTCAAATACCGGTCACCCGGTTCTGAGCTTCACCCACAGCCTATCAATAACTTCCGCCAGGGCAAGTCGACACAGCATATGTTCCAGCAGCTCGAGTGTCCTCCTAAGTACTCCGTGCTCCGTAGTACTCTCGAGTAATAATATCCAGATAACAGGCAGAACCTGGGAGATTGAAGGTCGTTGCACGTGATATGGAGATCACGTGGTTCAACCGCCAGCAACCTCAAAAAGAAGTCCTCTGACTGCAGCTGGGTAAAAGGCGACAACAGGCCTTAACTTGGAGGCTAGGTTCATCGACACTGCAGATATCCGCTGGAGAAAAGCAAGAAGCGCATCCTTCTCGCAGGCGTCGACCTGGAGAGCAAAACCGCCTCCACATTTCTCGCTTTGCAGCCAAGCCTTCAGGAAGTCGGTTCCGGGGCATGGGTCCCTGCACTGTGTTTGGCTGCGAGCAGAGATAAGCTTGCGGAAGAAGCACTGTGGTCCATCTCCTGCCGCACGTGTTGCCGTACGCCAATCGGATTTGCCCTCTAATTTGGAAACGCCAGGGAGGCCAAACCTCACTCGCCGCATCCCGCGTTGCGCCCGCCATCAAATCACAGCTGCTGCCCGCCCGCTTGCGCTGTTCTGGCGGGCTCATTCGCAGGCGTCGCTCTCATGGCGGAGACCCGGTTGCTCCCGATTACCAGCTGCTCGGAATGCTGTCCGTTGTCCATCGCGCTTCGGACTCCAAGCTTGGGGTCACCACACAGCCAGCGGCTGCAGCGCACTTTGGGGCTCGTGAGAAATGATTTAGCACGGGGTTTGTCCCCCGCGGAGGCAGCGATCGTTGGTCCCTGAGCGGCTCCACGTTCTCTGGAATTGACAGCTACAGGATAGGCCCAGAGGTTCACATGCCGGTTCGATCTAGGCATCTCGAGGCGTCGAGGCCTGTGCAATTTGCCCATATTGTGATGAATGATACCGCTCTTTGAGCTATTTTCCCAAAGGAGAGTCCTAACCCCACAACGAGGCTCTCCCAGTGGATCGAAATCTCCCTCAATATGACGAGATCCCGGGAGCATTTCGTGATTCCGCCGATGGCTGCAAGAGACCTGGACGGAAGTTTGCAAGCAGTGTTCACGCTGTCCACATGAAGCTTCAGGAGCGAGACCGATGGTCCAAGATCTCGTTTGAAGAAGTGGTTTCTTTTCTTTTCTTTTTATCCCCTTGGCAGCTTGATAATTCTGATGGCTGTGATGCCAGCTAATAATAATCACCAGATGCCCATTTCTTGGGTGTTCCATAAAAATGGTCCGCAGGATCCTTGATTTGCACGGGCCTTGAGGGTCGACGATCATTGGCACAACTCTTCAATGCACAGAATCTCGACTTCGCCATTCATCAACCCCGCGATCCCTGGATAAGTAACACGGCATAACCTCAGTCTTTGGATCTGTCGTGTTTCTCTTCCCCTGACTTTCCACTGTACAACGTTGTTCTGCTTCACCGGAACCTCACTGGGTGCTCAGCATGAAAGCGAACCGGCTGTCGACACCCTCCGTTGACTTCCGCCACAATGGGTTTCCGCATTATTGAAACCGTCAGAGGCAACTGGGACATGTTCAGTCCCATCGAACGTCGCAATGTCGCCATCTATATCCTCGGCATCATGTTATATAAATTTGGCCTGGAGGCTTTCAATGGATCAATCGTTGCGCTAGCCACGAATCGCTATGACTACGACGCTGCGAGAACCCACACCCAACCTAGGACTTTTGAGAAAGTTGGCCTTCTTACCGGTCTCAACCAGGCGTTTCAATGTGTCGGCTCCATTCTCATTGCGCCGCTTGTCAGGAAAGCATCGACACGGGTGGTTTTGGCGATAGCAATATCCGTTTTTGGCCTCTTCACTGCCCTTCTCTTGATCCTGGATGCCAGTACGGGCGGTACCTTCGTTCCAGCCGAGTTTCGAGAGAAACACCCTCGCATGGACTTCCACTACTACGGCAAATATAACACCGATGGGATGATCCCGATTTACTGCGTCACGGGCGTGGTGTATGGCATGGTCGAGCTTATTCGACGAGTTATCCCCAGAGATATTGTGGGCGGAAACGTGCAGAAGCTTCGACGGATGGACGCCCTTGTCCACGTTTTCTATGAAATATCTGGCACTGCCGGAGCGTTCTGTACGGCCCTCGCCTTGATACCGCAACTCGGGAACAACTACTCTTTCATTATTACTCCAGTGTGTTTTATCATCGCCGGTTGCGTGTGGATATGTATCACAGATACTGCAGTTCAACAACCAGCAAGGGAGAAGTTGCTTTCAGATCAACCCACCTACATCAAGGCAGTGTTCGGCTCGTTCTATCTATTCGGAGAATCCCTCTGGACTGGTGCGAGACTCATCCTCACGAACCGAAGGTTCATCTGGCTCGTACCAGGTTATGCTATTGCCTTTTATGGACATCGATACCTCGAAAACGGCCTCGCGCCCGCCATCGCTCGAAGATACCTTGGCCATTCCGCATGGTCGCAGGTCATCGTCGGTGGATCCAATCTAGGCGAATTGCTCGGTGCCGCATTCGTCTTTCTATTTACAAATTTCATCACCACTCCAATCCCCTGGATCCGCATAGACGCTATCATGTTGCTAGCAGTCTGGTACCTACCGTTCTGGTACCCGCCCGTTGGCGATGTTCGGTATGCATGGATCATCGCCGCCACATTCCTCCCGATATCCTTTGGCTGGGCCGCCGGTGATGTCTCCCTTGCAGCCTACATTCAAGCCACCCTCGCCCGCGTCGAATCTAAAACGAAAAACGTGTCCGCCCTCGGCGCCGTCATGGCATGTCTTTACACAACCTATATCGTCATCTATGCGATTACTTCCCCGATACTTGGACAATACATCGACAAAGTCTACACTGACACCGGTGGAAGCAAAGGAGGCGGAAATATTCACGGTGCAATTCTCAACGTTGCCGGGATACAATATTCGGTCATGGCGTTTGTCATATTCGCGTCGACATTCGTTCCCCAGGGCTCATTCGCACTGAACCCCAAGCTTCTCTTTAACCAGAATCTCGATGCGGACGTGGATGTCTCCGAGATTGCTTCGATCGAGATGAAGAAGAGCATGGATCGACGAGACACTTTTGGCGACCACGGCAGCGAGAGGGAGTCGTGGTAAATATATTGTCCCCGTTTCAGCGTTAAACGCTGGAGGCGACTGTTCATATCGGTGTACCATCACAAACTTCCTTCCTACCCTTTTACGTTTCATCATCGATCTCTTCTTACCTCTCCGAATCTCCGGAGCCATTAATCATTCCCTATCCGCCACGCTACGATCTCACCCCTACATATCGTCCGATTTACATTCTCTGCCTGCATTTTTTTTTTCGAAATAGCATTAAGCGCGGGTTTAGAATGCTGATTATCAAGGTTTTCAAATTTCTTTTGGCAATTGGTTATGTATTTATTTATCGGAGGGAACCTTGGGAAATTCGGCGAACTTATTTATGAGACGCGCTCACAAAGCATGAAGTATATATTCCACATAGTCGACAAACTCACTTGCAATTTAACTAAACCGCCCCTTAAGAAGCTGACGGGCTGATAAAAAGTTTTGAATGTCATTGCATTTCAGGTTCGGTACACGGGTGAAGGTAAATGATCATGGCATGAATGGATAACAGGAATATCAATCTAAAGCGACTTGCCCATAAACTTGCGTTTCGCGAAACTGAGCCACCACTAATTGACTGTGTTAGCCAATCCTACTTAAAGGAGGGAAACAGGGGTCGAATATAGAAATAGGATATAGACCCGACAAAAGGAAAGCGGACTTCGACCCTCGTACCTTAGATGGCCCTTCTCCGCCTGGGTATAATCTCGAATGTAATCTCATAGCGAGTTCTTGACGGACTTGGGATATGTATCTAAACAGGGCAAACGATCGGATGCTATTAGCCCAAACGTGAACAATGGGGATATAAATGGGAGAGCCCACGTACTGTCTCAGCGTCTCAGCATCCTGCCGGTCGCGGGGTGGCTCAAAAGCCTGGTTCAGCGGAAATGAAGCATCTCCGGGAATCGCGAACTGGTCAAGGGATGTATTGATCAGGACCTATTTTATGCACGGAGCAGATAAAGTAAGCGAATCGCTTCATTCAAAAGGGTGAGAGCATCGGCCTCGTCCCAAGCTATCAACCCATCTCCACCTCAACACAAAATACGAAAACAGGTGCAAGGACAATGCACAAACGCACCTTCTCTGCCTCCCTAGCCGCCATCCCCGGCTTGACTTTTCCCAGGCATTCACTGATGAACAGGATGCCATAGATCAGCATGCGATCGGCAGGGCCCTTGATTTCAAAGTTGCGGAAAAAGGTGTTGGCGCGGTAGAGCGAGAGGACTTCATCCAGACAGTCGTATGATTCGCTGTCGGGGTCGATGTCGGTGTCGGAGGAGCCGGCGGGGAGGGCGGGGAGTGTGTATGCAGGGCCGCGGGTGCGAGTGCGGAGGGGGAGGATGGGGAAGTTTCCTAGGAGGTTGGGTGTTAGTCTAACTGCTGGGTTTCTAGAGCCCAGGAAGGGAGGCATTGACGGGCCCAGAGGCTGGTGGTGAGAGGTGGAATGGGGTGTGATACGGCGTACCGATTGTTTGTACGTCGGGCTCATCGAGGAAGATGGAGTGGTATGCCTGCGGTGGTGGGGGAGGTTAGCATTCAGCATTCTGAGGAGCAAATTGGTTTTGCGAACGAACCGGCATGTTGGATCAAGGGAAATGCGATCTCTCTGGTGGTTGTGGGATCGGTGGTTAGCTTGCTGCCTGCGTCTCTCCGTCTTCCAGGTCTTGTTGGATGCCCTCACGATGTCATTCACTCCCGACATGATTTTCCGTCGCCGAGCCTCTTAACGCGCTGCCAACGAACAGACAGAACGCGTCGTGTTGCTGGGCTGAGCATCTTCTGGGCGTTAATTACTCAGGAAAATCTGTTTTGTCCCCTTGATTATACCCTGATTGCACTCAAGGCCTGGGACGTGTACAGAGACTGTTCTCGATGTCGGATATTGAAGACGAAATGGACCTCGATGTCCCCTCGAAGCATTCCATAACCTTTGTCGCAGACGATGTCAAGGGCAAAAGAGTCCAAGCGGATCTACCCGTGGAAGCTGAAGATAACCTCCCCTGGTGCGCCCCGGTCACTCGTTATCGAATAGTCGCTCATAGCTTTTGAAATCGAAACTGATCAAGGGCTTGAACAGGGTCGAAAAGTACCGCCCTAGCACACTCGGCGATGTTTCTGGACACCATGATATAATAGCGACTATAAATCGATTCATCGAGTCGAATGTAAGCCTCAAAGTCAATGATAGTTCTGGTTAGATAAACAGCTAAGTCAATGATTTGGCGACCAGCGGCTCCCTCATCTACTACTCTACGGCCCGCCAGGGACGGGCAAGACATCGACGATCTTAGCCCTGGCGCGACAGATATACGGGGTTAGGAATATGCGGCAGATGGTCTTGGAACTCAATGCTAGTGATGACAGAGGCATTGATGTCGTGCGAGAACAAATCAAGACGTTTGCCAGTAAGTTGAACCAACTGGCTTGAAATCTACGTTAGCAATTGGCTAAGCACAAAATTCAAGGCACGAAGCAGATTTTCTCGATGTCAGCCGGCGGACAATCCGACTCCAAACTAGGTGCTTTCAAACTGATTATTTTGGACGAGGCCGATGCGATGACGGCCACTGCGCAAATGGCGCTTCGGCGGATTATGGAAAAGTATACGGCCAACACTCGGTTCTGCATTATTGCGAATTACACACACAAGCTCTCCCCGGCGCTGCTTTCGCGATGTACGCGATTCAGGTTTAGTCCGTTGAAGGAGCAAGATATCCGGGTATTGGTGGACCACGTCATCGACAAGGAGCAAGTGCGGATACACCCCGATGCGATAGACAGCTTAGTGAAGCTGAGTAAAGGCGACATGAGACGGGCCTTGAACGTGCTTCAAGCGTGCCATGCAAGCAGTATGGCTTCCCCCTTCAGTGTTTTGCTTGGCTACGATGCTTATTTTCCGTGTCGCTCTAGGTATACCCCTGCCCCTCCGCAACGTCCCCAAAGATCAACAACCAGCCCGCGAACCCGAAATGATCACCGACGAGACCATCTACACGTGTATTGCGGCCCCACGGCCGTCTGATATCAGAACGATTATGGAAACCCTTCTCTCCACGTCCGACGTCACGTCGTGCTTGAACACCATTCAGACGTTGAAAACCAGCAAGGGATTGGCGCTGGCGGATATATTGACAGGATTGAGCAATGAACTACAGCAGATAGAAGTGCCTGCACAAACCAGAATAGCGTGGATGGAGGGGCTGGCAGATGTCGAGTGGAGGTTGGCGGGTGGCGGCGCAGAGGCGATACAGACGGGTGGGCTGGTGGGAGTGGTGCGCGGAGGATGCGAACTGATAGAGGGACAAGACCTGCAGATGGAGAGTTGATATGAGCTTCTTTCTCTGAGCAGCCGGCTCTTTCGCAGTGGACAGGCATCAAGCACAACAGGAGAGCTGGAGTTTGGCGCAGGAAAGATGAGTTTGACAAAATATATGATTCGGAGTTTCGACTAACAAATAACAAATCTTCATATTCAATCTCTATCTCGCTTCCTGCGTGGAGCATCTTCCACCAGGGATTCCTTTTCACTGGCCGGCCATCAGTTAATCGTTGGTTATTCCAACCACGCTTGATGTCATCGGCTCCTCTGCCCCTCAGCCCCTCGATCATCGCACATCCGCCGTCAACGAGCACACGGGCGCAATGAAGTGGACGATGGATCCCAGGAGAACGGCCCAGTTGCCAAACAAAACGCAAAGAAAAAAGAAGCCCAAATAACACCTCCTCGCCCTGACTCGCCAGACGAACATCTCCTCTGGTCAATTGACTTTGTTGCCCGGCCCGCAATCCATCCCCATCTTGGAATCTAGTTCCGGCCTCTCCCAGGATGCGAGGCAGTCAAGCATTGTGAACAGGGTCAGGTCGGCAGTCCACATCCGCATCCGTCCATCGAGTGCCCGTCGGATATCTCTCAATAGGCTAGTCAGCCCGTATCGCGACCAACGCAGGATCGCATCTGTTGGACAGGGCGTGGTATGAGAGCATTTTCGCTTGCCGGAATCCTACCCCGCACGGTGGAGGATATTTATTAGACTTGCTTCCTGGTTACTCTTCTCTTCTTCTACTACTTTTCTTCTTCGTCGGGTATTTCCCAGAAATCATACAGCAATGCCGTCCCGAACGCAATCATCCAGCCTCATCTGGACTCTGGCCGCGGCCTCTGTCTCGCTTTTCGCTACGGGAGCCTCAGCCGAGACGGTCCTGGGTGCATACATTTTCTCTCGCCATGGAGACCGTACATCAAAGTCTACTCCTCCAACTGTCCTGACGGACCTGGGCTACAGCCAAGTCTACATGACCGGCCAGTACTACCGAGACAGATACCTTTCCGACTCATCAGCATCCCAGATACAAGGGATCAACCCGGACATTGTCACGCCAGCTCAATTGACTGCCCTTGCCCCTGCGGATCAGGTCCTACAGAATTCCGCAACTGCTTTTTTCCAAGCACTTTACCCGCCAGCGGGTAGCGTTGCAAAGACAACCCTTCGAAACGGAACGGACATCGAGGCTCCCATGAACGGATATCAATTGGTCGCCCTGGAGCAAACCAAGGCTGGCGGAAACAGCGAAAATCTTGCCTGGCTGCAGAGCGCCAGCAAATGCCAGAATGCCAAAATCAGTAGCAACAGCTATTTTTCGTCCGCGCCGTATAACGAATTGTTAGGTTCGACCGCCGACTTCTATAAGTCGCTCACTCCTATGATCAAGGACACCTTTTCGGAAGATGAGATCAGTTATAAGAACGCATATACCATTTTTGACTTGCTGAATGTCGCATCCATCCACAACTCAAGCGATAGCTTCCCTTCCTCCGAGCTTCTCACCGATTCCGTCTATTCCCGCTTACTGGACCTCGCCAACGTGCACCAATTCAATCTGGCATACAACGAGTCAGACCAAATTCGTGCAGTCAGCGGCTCCGTCTTAGCGGGCGAGATCCTCACCGCGTTTGAGGAATTCATCTCTTCCAAGGGCGATGCCAGCAAGCTCAATGTCCAATTCGGTGCATATGCCACTTTCCTCTCCTTTTTCGGCCTCACCCAACTTCCAAAGGCCCACAACGACTTCAATGGTATCCCAGACTACGCGTCGACCATGGCCTTTGAGCTTGTGACCAACGCATCTACTTCATCTTTCCCCGACGCTTCTGATATTAGCGTTCGATTCCTCTTCCACAATGGCACCATCTCACCTGGAAACAAACCATCCGAATTCGCTCTCTTCAATCAACCCAAAACCGTTCTGAGTTGGTCTGAATTCACCAGTCAAATGGAGAAAATCAGCCTGGTGTCTCAGGAGGCGTGGTGCACTGCTTGCGGTGGCACATCTGGCGACTGTGCCTCGAGCAATGCTGGTCCCAAGCCAAACGCAACCACCCATGACGGAAGCCTGTCCACAGCCCAAGCTGGCGTCGTGGGTGCGATGGTTACCCTAGGTGTCATTCTTGCTGCCCAGTCGTTATTTATGTTGGTTGGCGGTTTCAGATTCGTGCGAAGATCTAACATTGTTAAGATCAGCGAGCTGCCGGAGAAGAATGTGGCATAAAATGGAGTAATGATTTGTGCTGCTCTTTGTATTTTCAGCAGCAAAGAGTGCCTAAAAGCGAATATTTGCCAGGTCAGACTGTACGGAGTATGTATATGGCTTTGAGACACAGTAGGGTAGTTAATGCCAATGGTTCTCCAAGGATATGCTTCACTGAAGATTTTCGTTCATTTAAATAAAAATTTTCAATGAAGGATGTAACGGGGTTTCCAGCAACATCGCACTTGAAGTTAATGGAGGTCAAGTTCTGAACATATTGTTCTAGTCACATCCCAACCCTCACATCCTAACAAGAGGATTTGGCATGATGATGGCAGCTGATAGGCGGGACTGTAACGCAAGGAGCCGCGGACGCGCGCCGATATAGTTATATCCGTCGAGTTATTCCATGGTTCTTATTTCTTTCACATTATCTCCTCACTGCTTGTCAATACTGTCCTTTCCACGATGGCCCTGCAAGCTGGAAGAGTTCTCCATGGGCGTCTGTATGACTTCCAGTTGGAAAAGCCACTGACAAAATGTTCCACTCTCTTCAAAGCCAGTGTTTTGCCGCAGTCAAAGGCGTCTGGGCTGGAATGGTATGTCCCATTTCTGACTCGAATGGCACCTTTTTTTTCCAATTGCCAACTGTGGCTCCAGGGCTGTCATAAAAACAGCGTTTACGCAGCACCAGCTGGCAGCCCTACAGCACGAATACCGGAATCACTGTTTACCACATATCCGTGACTTTCAAATATATCCGCGCTCTCGTTGATACCATTGGCGACTTTGGCTCTATCGGTACAATCAACGTTTCTCCTTTTGAAAATTCACTGGTAGAGACATCTGGAGACCCGTGGTGTTTGGCTCTAGAGTGGATGGATCATACCCTCGCGGCCTTTGATCCCAAATATTTTCAAGAGCGTCCCAAGCTCCTTCAAACAGCTTCATGGAGTGTCTTGAAGGCTCTTTCGATTTTAAAGGAGCATAACCTGGTCCATTCTGATAAGTGATATAGACCACTATCAATATCCTGTGAAATCTCTACATCACTTACTAGCTGCTCAGACGTTAAACGTGAGAATATCCTTGTGTCGAATATTGACTCGTCTGAGCCCACCGTTAAACTGGCTGATCTTGGAACAAGTAAGTATTCGAACTGCAATTGTGAAAGATGGCAGACACTTATTTCACATCGCCTTCAAAGTGTAGCATGCCGCGCTCCCGAAGTATGGCAGGCCAAAGGCTGTTTTCATGTCTCTGATGTATGGTCTCTAGGTGTAACGGTTGGTTTCCGTCTAGTTCTAACTAATAACCACCAGATTACTGACTCATTATCTTAGTTGACCGATTGCCTTTTCCCGACCCCTATTTTTGGTACCAGGGATAATCATACGAGAGAAGATAGCGAGGTGTGGTGCGTTGCAAAACTCATGCGTCTATTTAATGGGCTTCCTCCTCCAGTCGATTAACTTCTCGAATCAGAATTCGAACTGGCTGCTAAATTTGCTGATCCAAAGACAGGCTACATGAAGGTGGGTAGCCTGAGTGAAGAACTCCAGCAGCTGAATATTTCACCTGTGACCTACAGCTTTATAATGTCACTGCTTGTTGTGGATGAGAAGAAGAGACCTACAGCTGATGAAGCATTGAACAACCAGTTCTTTTGGACTGTCTTGTGATTACATACTTTTGTCAGGCTGTATCCTTCATAGGCGGGCTGCACTTCTAGGAGAAATGTCTGCTTGAGTTGCTTTCTCTGCGCATCAAGTCAAATCGCGTCACACTCAAAGCTACATCCCATTTTCCATCCTCAAAGTCCTCAGACGGTCCTGAAGTGCCGAGACTATCATCAAGAGCGAAGGCTCTCTTAAGTCATGATTTGCTTTGCTTATATGATCATAGATCTACTACTCTTTTGAACTTGTAGGGTTTCCTCTTACCTTATATTCCCCCCCGAATATGAATTTTGGTCACCACAATTGGTGCCTTAGCTCAGATCGCAAGATCTGTGCTACTGCCTCGAAATCCCAGTTCACATAGTTCAAAGAAGATCTCCCACCGCCTCGAAATCTTTGTTGCAAGTTAGTGATGGGATACGGGAAGCAGTACAGGTGCATTCATAACTTGTTTCTATAACCATGCTAAAACGATACATCAATATGAAATCCATCGTAATAAGAAAGTCTTCCCATCTCTCCAAGTCTGAATGGTGGGGCCATCTTACTTAAATGCATGACCACTTGCAATAACGGATTCCGCAGCAAATAGTAACCCGATAATCTGGCGATCTGATGGGCTTGCCGTACTTCAATTTGGCGCGGTGTTGTAAGCGGGGATCTATTAAAGACCTTACACTTTCTTCCCTCTCGAGGGAAGTCCCTGTGACGGGTCTGGCGGACAGAGAATCCATTTCACAACTTTTTGAACTGTGGCCTTGTTATAACAAGACATGCTGAGATCGTATACAGCTCTCAATGTAAACTTCAAAGTGACATATGGGTCGGATGGATTGCATGTTGCCTGGACAACACGCACCTTCCCCAGAGTAAACGTCACAATTGTGGCCAAGGGAGACGTCAGCACTTATTGGACAGTGTAAAGGAATGGAAAAAAGGGGAAGGAGAACGAACGCAAAGATATTGACAAGAGACATACAGTCAAAGGTCCACCCGGGTATCTCAGCACGGGTTTCATGTATCTATGTTTATAGTAATCCCACTCCACATCATTCATTTGGCGGTAAAAGATAGCTGCAATCACTTCGAAGCAGATAATCCTGGCCATCCTTGGTCTTCGAGTCTAACGGGGTGTGATCCTGCATCATCATTCCCCAGTGATCCCGACGGTGCTGAAGAAGTTGATACGCAAGAACACGGCAGCGACAATCAACTACAGAGATCATGCCTTCGTTGAGGGGCAGAAATAGAGGACCTCCAAACCTAAGAAATGTTAAGCGACGAAACATGAAGGAGAGCTGAGAGGGGAAATGAAAAGAAAGAAAAAGAAAAAAAAAAGAGCATCTTTTTCTCTTACTGTCTTTCTCCACAGGATATTCCAGCTTCTTTTGCCAGGTTACGGATGGTTGCACCCATCCAACCGGTCCAGCTACTGTCAATGGGAGGACCCCAGAGAGTGTTGGGACAGTCGATCTTTGTACAGGACTTAATGGCCTTTTCGAGGGCGGAGGGCATTGGAAATTCAGCCTCTTCTCGCGTGGTTTCCTGACAGACAACTTTCAGGTCTGATGTCCTTTGTAGCCAGTCGAAGTAGAACAAGTCTTGCGGGTAGGACCAGAACTGATCAAACATATCAGGCATTAGATTGCTAAAAAGCGGGCCCGAAAAGGGCTCATACTTGATCTGCCCCATAGTGATACAGGCTGCTACTGTTGCTGCTGCGGTTTGTTGTTGTGTTTATTCTCGACTGGCGATATTGGCGGAAGTGGTCCAAGCTTCCACCCTTTTTCCCGCCCTTCTTGGCAATCCCACCGGCCTTTCAGTTCCGCTCCCTGGCATGTGGAGAAACACCAACGCTGAAGATGAGAATAACATCGTGAACTGAATACAAACCAACCCTTCTCCCCCGCCAACACAGCGAACTACTCATCCTGAATGCGGATCATCGTGCAGCTTGGCAACGGGAACCTCTAGCTACGAGCTCACCTTCTACCTCCGTTCCTCCAATTTCCCTTCCGCAACATGTCGTCCCATTACAACACTGAACCACCTCCCACCGCCTCTGCCACCATCCACACCACCGCCGGGTCGATTCAAATCTCCCTCTTCGCCAAGCAGACTCCCCTCGCCTGCAAGAATTTCCTCCAGCACTGTCTAGACGGATACTACACGAACACCACATTCCACCGCGTCGTACCCAATTTCGTCGTACAAGCTGGCGACCCCACCGGCTCAGGCTCCGGAGGCTCCTCGATATATGAAGACGCCGAGTTCGAGCGCGACCCGCGCGATCCCAGTCAGAAGATTGTGTTTGGCGATGAGCTTCACAGTCGACTGAAGTTCAATAGGCGGGGGCTGGTGGGGATGGCTAAGGGTGAGGATGGGAGGTATGGAAGTCAGTTCTTTGTGACGCTGGCGCCGGCGGATAGGGAGTTGACGGGGACATGTACGATGTTTGGGAGGGTGGAGGGTGACGGTATATATACGATTCTGAAAATTGCGGAGGCAGAACTGGTGGAGGGGACGGAAAGACCCATATACGCGGTTAAAATTACCGGATGCGAAGTTGATGGATTAGGTCCGTTCGAGGGCCAGCTGCGGAAAAGGGAGAAGATTGCGGTTGCGGGTACCAAGAACGAGGATAAGAAGCTGGCCACCAAGAAAAAGAAAAAGCAAACGAAGACTGGGAAGACGTTACTGAGTTTTGGTGCAGGGGAAGAAGATGAGGGAGACTTGCCTGCTATCAAGCCCGGGAAGCCAAAATTCAATACAAGCCTCATAGCAGCGGAGGAAAAGAGACGGGAGCCTTTCGCCAAAGGAAAAGCGCAAATCGATGCCCTCTATCGCGGAGTCAGTTGAACGGAATTCAAACTCGAAACCCTCCCGCAAGCGATCCCAATCGCCTCTTCCTCGACCATCACTTTCTCCGCGAGTCAGCCGTAGACTCTCACGAGATCCTAACACCCAGCTCCCTCTTCCCGATCCCGAAAGCCCTCGTTCTCCTTCACCGTCTTCATCCCCTGATCAATCCGCACCCCGGTCAAAAGCATCTCAACTCAACGCACAAATCGAATCTCTCAAGGCGTCTATGCGCCGAACCACCAAATCCACACCAAACGAACCCTCAAAATCAAAATCAGCACTGGAGTCACTCATCCCCGCAAATTCCATACGCGGACGAAAACGTCCCGCTCCCGGTTCCACCAACGGCATCGACTTAAACGGCAGACTACAGGACGAAGAAGCCACATTAAAACGCCTCAACGATTTCAAAGCACGGTTGGAACAAGCCGATGCGGAAGCTGCGAAGAAGCCGCGAACGAGCAAATCAAAAGACACTGCAACCCATCATCCGGATGCGTCGAACAAACCCAACTCATCCGACGAACCGGAGGACGAAGAAGCCCAGGTGTGCGACCTCCACTTCATCGTAAACTGCCAATCGTGCCGCGCCTGGGATCTTCAGGATTCTGAAACCGGCGCCGGCGATAATGCCGCTCGAGAAGATGATAATGCGACGGACTGGATGACGCATGCGCTCCGGTTCGCAAAGGATACGCTGGGCAAGGACCATACGTGGAAAGAGTCCAATCGCGACGCGGATGGATTGGTGGTGATTGATCCAAGGCAGAAAGAAAAGCAGATTAGGAGCGGGAGGAAGCAGGAGTCTGGACGGGATCGGGAGCGGACCAGGGAGTCGGAAAGGGAGAGGAAGATGGAGTGGGCGAGACAGCAGGGATATTCGCATTAAGACCGTGCTACTGCGATGATTCTGTAAATGGCGGATTTTAGCATGGGCTTCTTGTATCATTTTAGCAATTTTCGTCCAAGGCATATATCTATAATGTATGCAATTCGTTGGTTTCCATACCCAAAATGACACTTCGTTTAGAGGAGGGAAGAGATTTGACTAATAATAACGTCTGGCATTCGGTATCTGACTCAAGACGTACATGACAAACAGCAAAACACTCGGCCCGCCCAAAAGAAATTCGCAAGACCCAGAACAAACACCGCCAATCTGATTTCGGGTGGGGAAAAGAACCCTTTCCTATGCTTGAAGTGACCTAGTCCGTAGACAGTGAGAAAGGAACCTCAGACGAAATCGTGAGACAAAAGTTTTGAAAAAGCGAGACACGAGATATATTAAAAAAGCCAAATATGTAATTGCCCAAAGACACTGAACGAGGATTTCCCAATCAATCAACCAAGCAGCCAGCGTTATTCAAATTCAGCGCGGTGTTTCAGATAACGGCGAAGAGATGCAGGCAGCTGTAGCCAAGAGACCGGGTACTTCGGGTGGTTTTTTTTCCCTAAAAAAAAGTTGAAACTGAAAAGCAGACGAGCTCGATCGAGTAGCAAAAGGACTCCGACAGGCAACGTTCGGGGAAGTATGTACTAGCAACAGGCCAACGCAAAGATTACTGGCAAATCTCAAATGTGTCGCCTCCAAACGGTAAATCAATGGACTCATGATCAAGACCAGCACCACGGAATAAAGCAGGTAGCGGTGTAAGTCGACGTGGGTGGTTTTTTTTCCTTTTCATTTCTCTCAGTATTGCCGTCAATAGAACGTCGAAAGGACGGGGCAGTTGCACTTCCGCATCAAGCCAAATAGAAGCTCGAAAGTGGCAATATCGAACGCTCAGGAAGATTGTGGCAATCAAAAAGAAACTCGAACATTAATAACATAGATACGTATTAGAAAGAGACCCAGAAAAAGGTGTCAAAAAGCAAGAAAGCAAAGCTGTCGAATGGCGGGAAAAAACAGCGAGACGACAAAAACACCATTACCCCAGGCAGGTCCACTGGTGCAAAAGGCAGATCCAGACAGACTATGCAAATAGAAGGTATTACACAAACATAATAGCATCCATTCCCAACGGCCCCAATGGTAGCCGGGGTCAGGAGAACTTCAAGTCTCAAAACCACAATTAGGTGTAAAGCACAATAGTTGACTTGCCATTTTCGGATTTTTTTCCTTCGTCGTTGCGTGCGAATAAAACAAAATCTCATGTTCCTTGCGCCTGACGCTCTCAAAAGCTAATGGAACTGGGGGGGAGTCATCGATTAAAAATTCTTTTCACGCTTGAGCGCTCTCATCTGGAAAATTAGGCGTTTAGAGAAACCGTTGTTCAAACAAGAGTCGTGGCGTTGTTCGCTGGGTGGCCCCAAAGTCGAGTAGCATCTAGTTAAATCATTCGATATTCTCTGTTCAAACTTTTATGTAAAGCCCATTGTTTTTTAGGTAGGGTCATCTCGTCATCCATCATCGAATCATAAAGGCACCATTCAATAACATGGATGGTGTCTCAAAAGAAGCACTATAATGCAACACGGTGTACATTCCTCACTCGACGTCGTCTCCTTCCATTATTTCAGTTTGCAGCATTATTTATTCAACAACAATTTCGGGTCTTCCCTGCTGGAGTTCATCACTGCTGCGAGATTGGTGTCCAGGTCTGCGAAATCCGGATCCTCTTTCTGGGATAGGACCACGAGGTTGTCTTAGTGGGAGGCGTTCTTGGCCTTGACTATCAAAAGGACTAAGTCCCATTGAACGGTTGCTTCCAATAGGAGCGGTTACGGAGGGCTGAGTGGTTTCTTGCTGCTCCCAGGAGAACATTGAACGAAGTCGTCTAGGGCTAGAAGCATTTCCGCTGGCAACGGTAGTACCAAGAGTAAGTCCACCAAGACTATTGACTAACAAGTTATCGTCAGGACGCTGTAAACCGATAGAAGAGCCAGGAGCGGGGGTCAAAGTGGGTGTATTCGAATTTCCGCTAGCAACGCCATCATAAGCGTGTAGACGAGTGCCGTTAGCATGCAGAATGGCCGGGTAGCTAGCAGAAGATGGCGCTGGCGATGGCGTATACGAACGAAGATCTGCAAAAGACTTCGCAGCACGAAGATTCTGGGCATTCCCGAAGGCATTGGGGGATGAGTCAACCACACCAAGATATCCGGAATTGTGGCCACGAAGGGTACCAAAGGGATTTGGAGCATCGCCTCTTGCCTCGCTAAAATCAATTGTGGCAGCGCGGTTAAGACCTCGACGGGCTGAATCTGCAGAGTGAATGGTAGTTGGCATCGCCGGGATTGGTGGGCTCACGTCCGTACTAGAAGCACGATAGACATGCACTTGGCGTTGCTCGCCGGTTCCACGAGATGCGTGGCCAAGTCCCATGTTGTGAGCCAAAGTATGGACGGTACGACGTTGAAGCGGCGTCAAAGAAGAGGCAAAAATCAGCGATTCTCTAGTCGCATCTTGCTTAAATAGAAGTAGCTGGGAATAGAACTGCAACGTTTGGGCGTCGTTCATATCTAGCTCTACTACAAATGGTTAGTCTTCCTTGAACGACGAGACAAATAGGGAAACAGATAACTTACCAAGAGCATTTTGGCGCTGAGACACTGGCGACGGTGAAGCCGCTGGCAAGTGAGAAGCCAGAGACGACATTGAATTCTGGTTTTGAAGCTGTGAAGTGGCCATCGGGCGATGTTGCTCCTCAAGTTGTCCTCGGCGCTCACGTTTCTCGCGTTCGATCCTCTCGCGCTCTTGCGCCGGGAGCATTTTCTTATACTCAACTCTCAATTTTCTCCCATTCAGATCGAAATGGTTGAGAACGTCAATGACGGTGGCAGTTTCTTCGGCAGAAGTGAAATTTGCAAAAGCCAAGCCACGGAACACCCCGTTATCGAAATGATAATTGAAGGCATACGGTAAAGGCAAACTCATCTCAGTCATAAGCTGAATGAGCTGCTCCTTTTTGACCGCAAATGGGATATTCTTGATGACAATAGCAGTTGGAATAAGTTCATCATCTCCATCGTGGTTATGGTTATGATTGTGGCCATGGTTGTGGTTGATGTTTTCAGGACGTAAAGGATTTGGTGGAAGAGGCCCGGGAGCAAGCGGGAAAACGTTTTGAAGGGACTGGTCAAGCCAAGTCTAGATCTTTGGGTCAGAGAGGTGCCTTTGAACGGGGAATTTCTGAGCAAGAGTTCTTACCGTTGGAATGCCGGATCTTCCCCGTACATTCGCTCTTCCTCTCAGAGACGCACTGAGAGGATTAGACCCGATACTCCCCAAGGTATGTGCACCACTCAGTCCATTCGGATTCCAGGATTGGGCGCTAGTGACGTCGTAAGGAAAATGGCTGGACTGAACGGTTTGGGGCATCCTATCTAGTGTAGCGGAATCGTAGCGCGATAGAGAATCGTCGAACATGGAGGCGGGCATAGAGCCATACGCGTCGAACTGCCTGGAAGGCTGGCGATGTAATTGTTGTGTCTGGTGCTGAGTATGGCGATGAGAACCAGGAGACCGAGAGACAGAGTTATGATACATGTCTTGATTCGGGGGGTGATAATTGCTCATGGCGAGGTAGAGCTTGAAGGTCGATTGGTGTTCTGGTGTGGTTGACGAAAAGGTTAGACGAAAACAAGAGGTCAACAGAGACGTCTGACGACTGAGTACGTCAGCGTGCACAACACAACAGTCCCAAAAGAAGCTTGTATCAGAGTGTTGATGGTTGAGAAACACGCAATGGAATCACAACAGTCACGTGTGGAATGTTCGCCCAGTGTTCGTTCAGCGTTCGAGACCAGGACAGTCAGGTTCCAGAAGGAATAGGGTATCTGAAGCTTCAGGAACTAGGATTAGACGGTGTCGGAGTTGTATTCATCAATCGTCAAGTCGTCAACACATGGATGAGACGCAGGACCGGGTGTGCTGCATAGGGAGGACCTGTAGAAGATCGCAGCTGGCTGCTTGCTTATTGTTCGCAAACGCGTCGAAGGACTAGGCAACAGGACGACGAAAGATAAGACTGCAAACTCGAGGCGCTTCAACGGGGTGGACTTGAGCAGGAGGCTGTGGACGACACGAGGACCGCAAAGGCAAGTTTCGTTCGTTTCGCGTCGCTGCGATGGCAGAGAGGAGGTTCGCAAGCAATCAGCACTCTGAACTGTGATTGGGCAAAGGGCTTGAGCAGCTTGCAGCGATGAATGGCTAGCTTGCGAAAAAACGTATGCACGAGGAAAAGCCTTGGGAAACCAGGGAGACGGGAGGCTGAGCACGTTGTTTAGAGGCCCATCTGGGGGAAGAAACGGGCTCAAGGGGAAGCGAGGAGGTAGAGGGTAGGGGGACAAGCCCGCCAGCAAGCGACGGCACAGATATGGCCGGCGGAGCAGCAAGAGAATGAGGCACGGATGAAGCGAGAGCGGCAGAAGGGATCGAAGAGGGTGTTGAGGGTGGGAGAGAGAAGAGGAAGAGAGGGCGATGGAGAGAGTGAAGAGGAGGACAAGAAAAAAATTTGGGGTGAGGATCGGATTTGGCTTTGGATTTTGGTGAGTAAGGAAGACGTCGACTCATCAGACTAACTAGTAAGTAATAAACTGGAGGCAAGCAGTGCCTCTGGGCTCAAGCCTCTCTCTCTCTCTCTCTCTCCTTTTTCTTAGCATCATTGGACTACGTTTGAATTTATTCCATGCACCTGTTCCGTGGGTTCAATCTATCCCAATGCACGGAGGAGCTACTGGGCTGAGCCAGGGATGGATTCAGGCAGACAAGTCGTCCCAAGGTTGAACCCGTTGCTTGCTCCTGGTTTCTGATTACGACGGGTTTCGAGGGCAGTCGGCTAATCCCATTCTCTCCAACAGGTCCAGCTAACTAGCTACGAGAGCCGACAGAAACAACCTCCATCTCCTTGCTTGAAAGTTGAGGCGAAGCGTGTCCGGTGGTCTTCCTGGCCACCCCCAACCACTCTCTATTGTGATGTTTGCCTTTTTCTCCTTGACCAACCCGTCAATTATAGTTACAGAGACACACGCCTCCACAACGGAACGGCTGGGAATCGCCTTCGTCTACCATCAACTCTTAGACGCTGACAGGGTGTGCCATCTCTCCCACGAGGGCGAAAAGGCCCTCGATCATGCTCGAAAATAATCAAAACCACTTGGTTGCGTTGGCCCCTGAATGCGTTATTCTTTTTCCGTCCTTGCCGTAGCTAAAAAGAAATTATTGAATCTCAAGACCTGATTAAAATGACTTAGGGGCTTGTGTGGGCACACCCAGGGGATTCAGAATTGATTCCGAGAAACTTACCCATCATATCAACATCTATCACGCCTAAAAACGGGCAAATCCCAATCATCTCGCGCTTCTCTCTCCTTCGCCTTCGCATCATCACATGAGAAAATTGGGTGCGCAACCAATATCACACCCTCCTTTCCGTATTTTTAGGATTTCGAAACTTGTTTCTTGTGCCGCTTCCACAGTCAAGCGCAGGCGGGAAAACATTCCCAGCTCAAGAGGTGTCAGATTTTCTGGCATGCTCGGAAGCATAAATCTGCCAGGCTCTTTCCCACCTCCTTCTCTTGCTCTGGTGGTATTCGCGGCACGACGGGGCCGACCGAGTTGGGAACAAAGATGGGTTCTTTTAGCTCATCCGCCTTCCCGCGAGTGTAAATCCTCCCCTTCGCACAGATCCTGTCGCCAGTTCAATCATTCCAATCTCATTGGTAGGGGCTCCGAGACAGGCCCTTCTCCCCACTCGCACGGTTTGGCCGAACTCAAAAGGCTTTTCGGGCTAGACAATTGCGCCAAAAGAGCGAACTCAGACCAAGGGAACAGAAGCTGGATCCCATCAGCTAATGGGCTGTACCGAATCTGTGGACCACGGGAAGATCTGGTTCGAACGAAACCCAACGTCAAGGGCTCAACAACCAGAGAGCGGAAAATAGGGGGTTTGCTGGCGAGTTTGTGATGTTCTGTGGATTGCCACCCTTCAGCCCAATCTCTCCTTGTCTTACTCGGGACAAGCAAATCATCCATCATCCCGTCGTTGCCTCTCGTTGTGGGCCGTAACCAGATCTCATCAACCTGACCAGCGGATCGTGTTTTCGCTGAGGACACAGTGAGCTTGACCTGGTGGCTAAACCGACAGCTGGCTTGGCATCACCCAGGCACAAGAGTCACAGTCAAGTCTCTCAACACATGAAGAGGAATCCTCTACGGAGTACATTGAACGAGCCGATCTCGGCATAGAGCAAAAGACGGCTTTCTGTGCACTGTATGGAGTACATATATCAAACTCAAGGTACCCATCCACTGTGCTGATGATCTCATCTAACCACCGTTCCAATCCTCCCATGCTTCCGCTGTGATGCATACTTCACACGGATGATTTCGGCAATGGAAAAGCCTGTGGCTATATAAACTCTTGGTGAACGTGCAACTATGGTGCAAATATGCCGACCTGTACTCGGTACCCTCAACAGCGTTCTTCAGTAACTAGCGGTCATGTATCGATGCGAGCTCCCAGCCACCAACTGCGAGTCCCAAAAATGCGCCATCAAAACACTTGCCTCGTTGACATTTTCTTACTTGGCTGATCAGGAGCCGAGAATACATGATTGTATAGGCTATCTAATTGCTTGTCTGGGTCCTCCCCAAGGTTTCGGGGCCACTCTACTCTGTCATATGTTGGTTGGAGGGATTCGGGGGTTTACCAGATATTACACATGTTAGATCACCCAAGGACCAGCAATAGAACGGCCGTTGTCGAGCATCTACGTTGCAATATCAGCACTTCCATGGCCATCAGGTCGATGACGACACTTGCCGCCTTCGGTCCACGGCCCGCTGCGGGGGAAACTCCCTTTGAAATGAGTCAGTGACTCCGCGACGAGTGAATCTTTCCGTAGTGATTTTATATGAGAACAATCTCGCCCAACACTATATAAACCCCTCTAAGGCTATAAGTGAGCTTTCAACAACCGCGCGCTCGCTGCACACGTCGATCTACGAATTTCCGGCTTTCCAAACCATGGCGGCAACCAAATGGGACAGGCTTGCGCTTCGAGCCGCAAGCGCCGAAACTGCGTCTTCGATTCCTGTTTTTCTTTACGGCACTGCCTGGAAAAAGGGACGAACCGCAGACTTGGTCTACCAGGCTCTTTGCAGCGGGTTTACTGCTGTCGACACTGCGGCGCAGCCAAAACACTACAGAGAAGACCTTGTGGGAGAGGGAGTAAGAAGGGCAATTTCAGAGGGGAAAGTGAAGCGGGAAGACCTTTATGTTGGTTCAACTATTTTCCTTGCGTTGGAGCTCCTTGTTGTCCGGGTACATCGACATGCGGGCTGACATTGGTTGATAAAATTGAATATAGATTCAAACAAAGTACACTGCCGTTAGCGGCCAGAATCCAGATGATATGCCATACGACCCTAAATCTTCAATTGCAGAGCAAGTGCACGCTTCGATTAAATCATCTCTCAGGAACCTCCGGCCCTCCGATGACCCAGACTCCGAAAGCAAAGCCTACCTTGACGCTCTCGTCCTACACTCCCCGCTTCCCAGCATCGGACAGACATTAGAAGCCTGGGCCGCGTTGGAAGAGTACGTACCCGATAAGATCCGACATCTGGGCATCTCCAACTGCCCAGCCTCCGTCCTCTCCGTTCTCCACGAAGCCGCCAAGGTGAAACCCGCCGTCGTACAAAATCGGTTCTTTCGTAAGGGCAACTACGACAGGGAGGTGCGACGATTCTGCAACGCAAACTCCATCGTATACCAGTCCTTTTGGACGCTAACTGCTAACCCGGACGTGGTTTTCTCGGCGCCTGTGGGATTGTTGGCGAATCAGCTTGGGATTAGCCCGCAAGCTGCGATGTATTGTCTTGTGTTGAGCCTTGGGAACATTGTGATTTTAAACGGGACGACGAAGGAAGAGAGAATGGTTGACGATCTTCAGGCTCCAAAACAGGTTGAAGAGTTTGCAATGAAACGCCCAGATGCATGGGAAAGGGTGCGGACGGCATTCAAGGACTTTATTGGCGAGTCGAATATGTGAGGAAATCTAGCCACTGGTCCGGCTCAGAGGTAATAAATACTGCTTGAAATGGAACAGACACAATCAAATCAGGAGGGTTCCACAGATAAAGCTTTGGTCATTCTGTGAGCCTGGCTCTGCAGAAAGGAGCTTGCTTTCTGTCAGCGTATGAGGTTGGCATTTTTTCAATAGCTGCAAAAGAATACAGTAAACGTCCATCCCATTCTCACCTTTCATCATGGCAATCATCACAGTGCTGCTCACCAGTCAATCCGGGATGAGAAAGTAGGGACAGTGAAAGGACCAAACCACCCAGGCGCACAATGATAAGCAGCCCATACACCCCCCCAATTACTTCTCTTTATGCCCGCACATTTATAAACCAGCTGCTGTTTCGTCCGATCAGCTCAATTTCGTCTGAAGTCGCTTGCCGAACCGGGACTGATGAAGTAAGCAGCCATCGGCAAGCCTAGTGCGCTGAGTCACGGTGCGAGCCAATCACATCCCGGCAACGTCATTGCTTGCCAAGAGGTCGGCGCTTTTGCTGTTCATCCAAGCATCACAGATCGTGGAATTCAGGAAGAAGAAAAAGGGCGCCTGGGATCGGGAGGCAAGATGTGCTTTCATTGAGAAACTGCCCTGAACTCCTATCCATTGTGCATCGCAACTCACATCATCCAGAGAGAGACCAGTGGGCCGGCGAATCTGGGCCGCATTTCCTCGAACCCGTTATCCTGTCCACGTTCTAATTCTACGCCCGCAGCAGCCCCTCCAGCTGTGAGCTGCAAGCCCGAGTTGATTGGACAAGGAACGCGCTTGGTTGCAGTGCTCTGTGAGTCCTTGCTCTCATGTCTTTTTGTGCCGGGTTTGGCTGATCGTGTCTGCCTTCTCTTAGCTCCGCAAACACTGCCCTCTCCCGTCAGGAAGCGGCTCATTCCTTTTCATCGACATCCCCAGTCATTGGCCTCGCTGCAAGCATCCTTGCTAATTCCTCGCTCGCCTCTCCCGCCCTGTTCCTCGAAGCACCATATCCGCAAGCGTAGGACGGCCCTTCCGTACGAATCACGACGTTACGAATCCTGCGCATCTGATACCCGCGTCTTTGTCAATCACCCCCCGAAAAAGCATTGCATTATCTTTCCGTCATCCTTCTTCGACCCGCTCTCTGAATATTTTTTCTGACACAACCTTAAACTTGACCACCGCCATCTTTGCATTTTGCATCTTTAGACACTCCGTCCGTCATGACATCACAAGGTTCCTCACGCAAACGGCCTGCACCAGGCGCCGTGCCAATTCCGCATCAGCAAGTTTCGCCTTCCCACAGCTACCCGGCTCCCGAACCCCAACTGTCGAACGACCAATTCCTGCAATGGGGCCAAGCCGGCCAGCCGTTAGGCAATCCCTCGGGAGATGTGGCCGCTAACCCATACCAGCCCATCGCCCATCCTGGGGATGCTACTGGTTTTCAAACAGCGAATCAGCTGGCGCGGAGACCAGGAAACCAACTCATTGGCAGGCTGAGAAAACCTGATACAAATTCAAGGACGTTGATGGAACCTCCGCCGACGAAACCGGGCCCTGTGATTGACCCTGCGACCGGGGAGGCAGAGGAATCATTAGAGTCGAGAGCACTTGCTGCGAAAAAAGATGCGCAAGCTAAGCGGAAGCAAATTCCTCCATTTGTACAAAAGCTTAGCAGGTAGGTGCAAGTATATTCCCCATGGGTATTGTCGCTGTATTGACTGGGATTCTACCATAGTTTCCTCGATGAATCCAAAAACACAGACTTAATCAGATGGTCTGAAGATGGCCGATCTTTTATCGTACTCGACGAGGACCAATTCGCTAGAACGTTGATTCCAGAGCTCTTCAAGCACAGCAATTACGCCTCCTTCGTTCGCCAGTTGAATATGTACGGTTTTCATAAAAAGGTCGGGCTGTCGGATAACTCAATGCGAGCGAGTGAAAGGAAGAACAAGAGTCCAAGCGAATATTCAAACCCTTATTTCAGACGCGGCCATCCCGATTTATTATGGTTGATCCAGAAACCCAAAAATGTGTCCCAGTCGAAAGCTGCAGGAAAATCAGGCTCGCGGGGGAGAACAGAAGGGGACGCGGATGACGGCGAAGCCGAAGATCTCGCAGAAGATGGTGGTGGTGGTGGTGGTGGTCGAGAGGACAGAGGCCGGTTTCGAGGGCAGCTGTCCATTACACCCGGAGATGCGACGTTGGCCAAGGAGCAACTAGCCAATGTCTATCGAGAACTGCAGAATATTCGCCATCAGCAACAGATCATCTCAAGTACGATAAACAAGTTGCGCCGAGAGCACGAACAACTTTATGACCAGGCGATCAACTTTCAGGAGCAGCACAGCCGCCACGAAAACTCCATCAACGCGATATTGACATTCTTAGCAACTGTTTACAACAGAAGCCTACAGGGCCACGAAGGCGCTCAGGGCTTAATCAATTCTTTCACCGCCGCACCGATGCCTCAGGATCAGGGACAAGGGAATATTATCGACGTGGGCGATTATATAGGAAATATGGAACCGAACCTCAATTCGGGCCAGCGCCCTGCGAAGAGACAACCATTACTACTCAAAGCGGCACCCGATTTTGGTCAAGACGCTCCGTCTCGTCGAGCAAACACGCTATCCCCCTCGGCAGCAAGTGAGCGATATGACATGCAGTCGGGAAAGAGTAACGGTCAAGCTCATAGGCCTAGCACCCATAGTGGCAGTGTGGAGGAACTGTTTGACAGCACGAGCCCGCAATCTGTCCCTTCACAACAACAACAGCAGTATGGCCATGTACATACTCGTAGCCAGAGTCAACCTGCAGCAAAATACCCTCCACAACGCGATATTATGTCTCTTATCCAAAACTCCAACGCGCGAAACAACATTAATCCCGGTGTGCCTGACTTTCCTACGGTTCTATCTTCGCTTGAGAATTCCGGAGGCAATTCGCCGCTTACTGCGACGCAACGAGCAGATATGCTCCGTTTGATCGCCAATGAAAGCCATGCGTCTGACCCGTCTACAATCGCATCGCCAAACAACGCCCTTATTACACCCAACCCGCCTCCCATGCCCCACAACTATCCTTCACGCCTAGCTAACAGCCGCGCCCAGTTTGACCAGTTAGCTAAGATGCAAGCAGAACAGGACCGGTCAGTACAGAACCTCACCAACATGCTCCAGCCCCTTAGCCCAACGGGTCTAATCCCTGGTCTTGAACCGGATAATCACAGCAACATCCCGCCGCCTCCACTTGACCTTGACCAAATCTTTAACAGTGGAGATTACTTTTCCGACTATACAAGCATGAACGCCAATAAGGGTGGAATGGGGGCGCATGGGAATACACAGGGCGGGGACACCAATGAAGGTCTAGGCGATCCGTTGGCGTCGCAGGCGAATGATTTGTTTGATTTTGATAAACTGCAGAGCGACCCTGTTGGGGATCTCTTCGGAGATGCCAACCCGGATTCCAAACAGGCTCAAACGCACGACTTCCTTAATGTGTATGGGAACAACAACAGTGTGAACCAAGCCGGCGCTGGGGATCAATCGGGCACCGGAGGGAATCGAATCACGGAAACCTTTTCAAGCAGTGAAGCAACTAGCCCTGCCAACACCAGTGTGGACGAGAATGCGTTGCCTCCAGATAGCAACAGCAGCCACTCGGTCCCGGGAGGTGGCCCTATCAAAAGACGGAAGAGAACTCAATGAGAGAGGTTTTACCTTTTCTTTTGCGCGGTGGGAATGCTTTGATCTAAAGACTTACAATGTTTCTAGCTCGCGATGTCTATCCCGCCTTCTATTGTCCAACTCGTTGATAGCTACATTCTCCCCTCTGCTTTGACGTGCCCTTCCAGCTCTTTCATTCCCAGTTAGGATCATTGTCTTCTAGGAGGTGAATCTGGCCTCTCTGCATAGCGGACGGAATGGATAAAGGGCGTATCTTTCTGGCTACTTTTGTTGGATGCCGGCATGCTACATGGCCAAGGGCATTTTGGGCGGAGCTCTGTATTACTACCATGATGTTGAACGATGGAATCCTCAAGTGTACTGATATGCTCTAATGATACAACAATCCAGACCCCTTGGCGACATCCTCACCCATGGTCCCTATGCCTTCTCCATGTTTCTTTGTCCATATCCTTGATATCACTATCCAACCCACATGCCCCAGGCAGCAACACAATACAGTCTTGTTACCTTACAGCCGTTTGATCCAGGCCCCCCGGGACGCCCTCCCATTGGACCGGAAACTCCCATCAACACAACCTCCCGGCCAATCTCAGCGCAGGATCAGCTCCCAGCCCCCCTCCGCTGTGTTCCTCCAAACCGGTTTTGCTGGCTCTTCCCAGCCAGTCGCAGGCCCCAGAACCAGTCTCGCTTAGCTAGCGTCGTGATCCCGTGCCAGTCTCCAAAGGCATAAATAGCTCCTGCTCGCCAGCTCTCTTCCTCTTTCTTTTCTTTTTTCTTCTTCATCAGCCATCTACTTTGCCATCTTATCGAATCTTCTCATCTTTCAACCATCTTCGTTTTTGGCTTACTTTCCCCATATCTCCTTGCCCATTCCCCCTTTTGTCTGCTAAGCAGATTTTCGCCAGCAACCGACCCAGCCTTTGGCTTTGGTGTTGGTTTGCTTTGCACGTTTCCCTTAAATACCCAGTCTCCTTACTCGTTGCAAGCAGTATCAGTTGATACTCAACCTTCTTTTATTTCCTTTACTTTACTGGCTGCTTGCTTACTGACTGAGTATAGACAAACCAACCTCCCTTGTTCGTTTTGCCCCACAGAATCCATATGATGACAATGCGCGCGCATATATATAAAAAACAAATCAAGGCATTCGGTTTCAAACCCAATAGTCTGATTGTTTTTGTTTTTCTACACAATAGTCTGAGGATTCTTCCCTTTTTGCACATTTCTTGCTCATAGAGCAGATCAAAAAATCCTATTTTCTTTTTTTCAAGGCATTTTGTCCTTTTCTGATTATAGGTGGGATTCCATCCCTGGACACACACCTTAGATGTCTAAGGGAGATAAGGATGACGAACTTCGAACTGAGATCATGGCGGTGGCTTTTTGTGTACTACCTACCTTATCACAGTTTCTGACTTGTCGCTGTGTCAACTCCTTTTTTTTAAAAGGTTGACTGAAATGATGAACCTCAATGGCACTTTTTCTGATTGCATAGCTTCGATGAATTGAAGATCTTGCAGTCATCTGCATGCGTCTCTTTGTCGACGCTATTGCAGTTAGTTCATGCTTCTTTTATAGAAGACTCCATCGCCATCTCTGACAGTCTTACTACCTTTAATACACCTTGCACTTATCTTTGCATTTGCTTTTCTCTTGTATCTATAGTTGTGATTGTTCGAGTGTTTGTAGATACATGCTAGCAATATAAACAAATATTTCATTATCACAATGATACTTCCCTTGGATCGACTGGGCTCGAATAGAATATAAGAAAGTATTCATGTCCTCAGCAGTTGATCGCGTCCACCAGTAGATTAGGTGGGTTGATGTTGACATTGCCCAATATGGCTAGTGGACTAGATCTTGGCTGATCTCCGATCTTCGTCAAGTTGTTAGTCAGCAACCTCACTGTGACAACAACAGTGACCTCTACCCAGTACTCCACACAATATCCAATAAATAAATACGATCAGTGTCCCTCGGGGATCTCCATACGCCGATAAAACTTCCGGCAACGCAAAAGAAACGACAAAGCGAAATGATTGGATTCATCGTTATTAGTAAACTAACTATACAAACTAAGAATACTTGCAATTAATTCAGACATCAAGAAACGATTGTTTCAGTTTCAATATTTCTCATCCCCCATAATATTCCTCATCAATACGCACCCAAGTGACGCTTCGTTTATCAAACGTGCTCGACCCCCGTTGGCAAGATGCGATAGTTCTGCCGAGTGTCCCGGCTCCCCAACCGCCGATTCTGCAACTTGTTTGTAATAATCAACCGGCTCGGTGCTTCCTCATGGCGGATATACAACAACTCGCCTCCGTAGCCAGAGATTTCGAAAGCCCACTTCTGCGCCTTCTGAGTCGTGGCGCCTTTGACATCGAGGTTCAGCTTTTCGTTGCCGTCGGCATCGACGTAGCGCAGCGACGCGTACGTGTCGGAGAAGTAGTGGTGTGCAATGCCCGCTGCCAGGCTCACGTTGAGTGTTTTGCCAGCCAAGTCCAGTTCTGCGGTGAGGAATCGGTGATCGCTAATGCCGTTGAAGCCGAATGTGAAGGCGTTGCCTAGCCCTTCCGTGGCCGGTTTGTTGTCGGCCGGAACGCAATCGGCATAATCCTTTAGCAGTTGTTCGCGTTGCGGACTGGGGAAGAGGTTGATAGCCAGGACTATATCAACCTTAGCTAAGCATTCAGCGTGGAGCATGATGTAGTCTGCTCGCAACCCTGTTGCAACTCGCTTGATCTCCGCCAGCAATGCCTGGTTCGGGTCATTTTTCAGCGTCTTGTTCTTCAGCCCGGTGCTTGTAACTTCGAAGTTGTTATTCTGCGATTTATGATCGATGACGCCGTCAAAGGCCGGAGACAACTGGATACGATGGCCGGGCTCCTTATGGAAGACATCGAGCTCATATCCCGCTGAAAAAGGTATTTTATCGTGGCTAATTGTGGCATGTGTACCTGGAATCGTTTTGCGGAACTTCTCCTTGCCGTTCTCGTCTTTGATCACTACTTCCGCATAGGTTTGATCCGGGAAGTATGAATGTGGCGTGGTGCTAGTCACGTTTACTTGAATAACGCCATTGAGCTGATCCACGAGGACGTTACCAAATACATCATCCCCAAGCCCAAGCAGGGTAATGGTTTGCGACGGCAAGGGCGATTTCGTCTGTCGAACAAATTGCACCTTTTGTTGCATTGGCCTATGACTTGCTGGTGTCTGCTTTACAACCAGATACCCCAATTGTGGCTGATATTTCTTGTCTCTACCGGTTGGTAGGCGCAAGGTATAAACACCGATCGTTAAACCATGTAGGACCATTTCCTGACTCTGGATAACGACTTTGTGTGCGATGCGCGCGCCGTCCATTAAAACAAGAGTTTGCCCATAAATCTGAACAAAATCGTCGATCTGGAATTGGAGCTTCACGTCTTCTTTGAGGCCGCTTGCCTGCAGCTGCTGCACGCTTACCAAGGCGAGAGCGCTTCCCAATTTCAACTCTTTCTGCAGTGTCGTCAACGTATCGCCTTGCACCAGCTGGTTGAGCGGGTAGACCGCTTTGGCATGGCTATAAAGGTTGGATTGCTTCTGTGCTGGTGTGATGTGCCCGCCAACTAGGTCAACGAACGGAGTCACATCCACCTGTTGGCCCACCGTGGCAAAACTCTCCGAGAGCATATCAAGTAGTGCATGATCACCCCGGACATATCCTGGTGTGTTGACATTCGACCGATATTGCTGATTGAAGTGGGTAAAAGTGTCTAGGCCCGCCGCTTCTATCATTGTTACCAGGAAGTATAGCTTCGAGCGCAAATCCCAGCTGTTAACGGCCTTTCCTGCGGTGATGTAGTCCACGATACCTTTCTCGACAGCCGCCTGTTTTCCGTAGTTATACAGCCATCCTTCTTTATATTTGCGGTCACCCAGCATGACGCTCTGGTAGCTGGCGGCGTATATGTTATTCCAAACCTCGCCGGTCCCGAGATACCTATCTGACATAAAGCCACCCTGATATCCGTGGCCGATCTCATGCAGGCTTCCCCAATTCGAAGGGATCGGCGTAAGCCAGAAGCCACTGACCGAAGAAGACGATTCAGCCGTCCAACTGCCACCATAATAAGCACCACCGGCACCGTGTTTGTCCGCTTTCATGAAGTAGCGGTTCCTGGGGTTCAAATCGGTAGGACGCTCGGGTTCGAATGACACACCGGTTAAAGCATTGTAGAAACTGAAGACCGACTCATAGTAATCGATCAATCCATCAATGTTTTTTACCTCCTTCATGGACTTCAACTTGTCCTTATCAGCCACTGGGATCAGAATGACCACGAACTCGGCCTCGATCAATCCGAATTCGGCATTTTGGCTCTCCCACTCTTTGAAAAAAGCACTTTGATCCTCGCCCTTGCGGTAGACCGGTAGCCTCTTAGAGTTGGACGGAAATTGATATTCCACCACAGGAGCCACGCTGGTATAAGGAGTGTCGATGAATGGCACCGAAACAGCATTCACACTGAGATCAACCCAGTCCTTGCCGAACTCCTTGTATGTTTCAGTATGGGCGTCATTGTTGAGTAGGCGCAGGCGGGCTTTTCCAGTGAAGGCGGAGTTGGTTTGGCGAGCCTTGATGACTTGACCGGAAGCAAGAACGATGCCCAGGTGTTGGCGGTCGTGATCGATGCCTTTGCTCATGCCGGCCTTGTCCAACCATGTTGGCCGTGGAAGGACGGAAATGGGTTTGGTCTTGGAAATGTTGGTCATGGTGTCCGCGTTTGATCGGGGGTTTTAAACAAGTAGCTGGCTTTATTTATGTTGATATTGTATAGATAGGATAATTCAAAGCGTAACTGGAAGAATGTCACTAAATAAGTTGGTGTCTGGAATGATAATCTCTCACCTCCTTTGGCGGATGTCAGTAGTTTATATATCCATCTTCAGGCACGGCAGGCTCTTCTTTAGAGACGGCAGGCTCTGCTTTAGACATGGCAGGCTCTGCCTCCTGAAGCACCCTTCCTCCGGTTCATCTTTCCGCCAGCGACAAATCCACAAGGCTGCATGCTGCTACCCGAGATCAATCAGCCAGCCCGGAATCTCTGTTCAGCTCTTCAGGGTTCATGAGATGCTGCACTGCTCGATTGGCAGTCAATTGGTGAAACGGTGCATTTGGCTGCGCATTGGCAAAACATTGGCGAGAAGCATCTTTGCTTTGACCATACATGCAGAGCCCAGGCCGGTTTAGAACGCGCCCACGCTGAGGAAGATGCATAGGGCTTGATTCGAAGAAATCGCATTCTATGCACCGGAGAATCCCGTGCACGCATTGAGATAAAAAGCTCAACCCATGGGTCCAGTACGGAAATTTTGTAGCGGGGTGTGTACGATTATCGCACCGCTTTGACAATGCAGCAGCAAGGCTGCCTGACAAACTGACTGGGGAGAGTTTTCGCGATCCTATCGGCGTGAGCGAACATGGGGAGCACGATCCCTTGCGGGCCGGCGGTGCAGAATCGTTAAACCCCGCAGTGATTGATTGGCATGCTTACAAGAGAACGAGCAGCGCGGGCAAGGGTCGAAGCCTAGACCAATCCAGGTTGTGCAGCAGTTTTTCAGTTGCGTTCCTCTTGTAGACAGGAGGGTGGTCGCATCAGGGTGGCAAGCCCATTCAGCCTTAATTAATTAACCGTCGAGGACCTTTCTTGGCGATGGTGGGGATGACGCAGCTGGCGGTGATGCAGGTGGGAAACAGACCGGGCTCACGAGAATTTGTTTTCTATTGCAGTTCTCCGCGGGAGAGAAGCGTATGATATGGCAGGTAGTCTTTCCATACGGCTCATGTGAATTGACTCGAGTGAAGCTGGTAGCATGATCCTTTTATTTTGACGAGTTCAGGGACTACAAGTAGTTATACAGAAGAGCACGAGAAAGAGATGCGAGTAAAAATAGCATGGAACAAGGTAGCAGCCCACAGTCCAATGCAACAAGAAGGAAAACGCGGCAAAGGGTAGAAAAGGGATTCAAATATGCGTACCAGCTATGCGATTGTCCCCCAAACCAGGATTTTAAGTGTCATCCTTCCCACCAGTCAACCAACCCAGAAAAGCGCCTGACGGAAAAAAGAACAGCGGTGAAGAAATAGGAAGCAAAACAAAGAAAAGCTCGCAAATATATAAGGCATCAGCTTGGGGAGTGGGGTTCGGAGGACCATGGACCGAGGCGACCAGTCGAAGTGAATATCGTAATCATTTCGAGTAAATGTGTCGTTCAAAATTAAATCTCGGAGGAAAATAGGAGTACTCTGGATGCGAGACCCGGTAGTCGACACGTCGACTTCCCATCCGCGAAATCTCAAAGTATTGCTTACACGTCGGACTTGCCCTTCTTCTTCTGTTCGACCTTGAGCAATAGAGCTCTGTTGATGCGTGGAAGGACACCCCCAAAGGCAATAGTTGCTCGAATTAATGTATCCAACTCCTCGTCACCGCGGATAGCCAGCTGGAGATGGCGGGGTGTGATACGCTTGACCTTAAGATCCTTGGCGGCATTTCCAGCGAGTTCAAGCACCTCCGCAGTCAAATATTCGAGAACGGCGGTAACATAGACAGCAGCTACATGGGAGCCACAATGTCAGCTTCGACCCTACCGGCCCCCAAAGGACAGGACATCAAACATACCTTTGGCACCGACGCGCATTTTATTTTGCGTGTTGTTTTTCAAGAAGCGCTTTATACGGCCACAAGGAAACTATGGTAAACTAAGTCAGTCATTGCAAGATGCATGGGAAAAAAAAAAATCCATAATGTGCTGGATCAAGCGCAACCCCACATCAGGACAAACACAATAGCACGCATCAAGGCCAGATTACGCGTCACGTCAAATCCCATGATCAGGGCGAAGGGAACCAAGCAGCGCGCCCACAAAAACTAACCTGCAAACCAGCCTTCGCGCTGTGGGATCTCTGAGTTTTGCCAGCAGCATCTTTCGGGGCACCCTTGCCTCCGACGGATTTGCCTTTTCCACCGGGCATTTTGCGTTGAAAATATGTCGCACGGTCTTCGATAAGCAGAGGTCGCGTAGGTTGATGAAGCTTCGAGGTTGAGGTCGGGGCAGCACGAGATGGTTGTTCGACGAAGTGGCCACAACGCGTTATTGTTGATGGATGAAGACGGGATCCTGGGTTGAGGCCTTCAGATCGCTTAAAGTAGAAAAGAGCGGCTTGCTGCGAAAACGGCGCTAATCCTAAACGGGGTGAGCATTCACAACCTCAACTCTTCATCAGGGGAGCCGGGCGTCATAGTCGAACGCCGATTTCAGCACTACGGGTTAGTTTTGACCACTGCAACTCGGAGCAAATGCTTTAGCTGTTGGGTGCGTCAGTTGTCATAAATAATATCTGTGATTTCATCAAAGGTCGCCCCTAGATCAGAACACTTGTTGATACCATCGCAACATCTATATGGCAGTCTGGTCAGGCGCCATGTTAGTAATAGCTCGCAGTTCTCGTGTATCCATCAGATATCCAGAAGCTGCTTTGGGGAATAGAAAGGCTCGGTCATTGGCTAGAAATAGTCTGTTGTTACATCAACGTTTTGAATCTCCTCGATAGTTCCAGCGTCTCAAGGAAGAGAGGATAACTGACTTGCCTTGACGCCCAGATTGGATTATGTCATCAACAATGTGGCTGGTTTCTCGCTCGCTCTCTACATAGTTACCAGCCACAGGGCCCCGACAGGACAGTATTTCTATTTTCTACTAGAAAAGGCCACTCTCTGCAACACAGGTTCTAGTGCTCCCTAGAGAGGTTCTATCGGTGACTTTGGTCTAGCAACGAAGCGGTGACTAATCTTCAGGTTCCCAGATCGGCTTCATGGCCAAACTCCAAGCTTTTCCCCGTTGACGCGTGGAGTTATATGGTCCTTCGGCGAGCTCTATTTGGTTATCCAGTTATCTCTATTGACATTTAAATATGGAATAGTGAGTGGTATGGCTTATTGCTTGAGTCCAAAACCCAGGCAATAGAAGGGTCTTTATATTTCTCTCGAAAGCCTTGATTATGGTATAGGCTGAAAAGTTTGATCCGGAATGGGATTTTGAATCAAGTGTCCTAGGGGGAACCTATTTAAGCTGGAGCGTATGGTCTCCATCATGACTCAAGATTCTCAGCAGAGCGTCTGGCCTCGACACACCTTTTGCAAGATCTTTCATACAGAGCTATCGTGGGCAAACCGACAATTGAAGATGTTAGACCGATTCAGGGAAGGGATGAAAAAATCCAAGCTAGTTTACTGTTCGCAGAGAAACTGCATTGTTGGATGACTGCAGCTATTCTGATATTGTCATTGCTTACATGGGAGGGTGGAAAGGGAGAAGAAACCAATAATAGCTGCAGTCATCCATGAAAGTGAACTGTTAGTACTATGCCGATCGGAAAAAAGTGTTTTATGAAAAGGAAACATCAAGTTCCATCACGACTTGGAAGTGCCCGCAAATCTATTTTTGGTGCCTGCCACCCAACAGCCTCTCACGTGATGACCCCAAGATTTCAACGAACACTCTGTTAACTTAGAAAATTTCCGAACCCGAAGAAAGAGGACTTCACGCGCTCTGCAAAATCAACTCTCTCTCTCAGCACCAGTACCCCCTTATTCTTGCTGTCGGGTCTTAGGCTCTCTAACTTGATTCACCATGAATTCGCAAATGTAAGCTCTTCCGTCCCTCAAACAAGATTACCCCTGGATTTTTCGTCGCGTCGAGGAAGAGCAAAGCTAAGATGTCGTTTGCAACAGATCCAACTTGGTAATCATCCTTGTGATGATGCAGGTGTCGAAGAAAATCCCATTCGAGAATCCTGAAGTCCTGCTTGGCGTGCGCACCATGTACATCGCCTCAAATATCATAATCGCGTCTCTCTACCTCTATGTATACACTCAGATCAACAAAAAGAAGGGTACGTGGGAGGACCCCTTTTTAATGGAAATGTCCTTCTCTGGTACATTGCTTACGCTTCCGCTGCTATCCAGATATGACAACCCTGAAATATGTTGAACCCGCGCCAATCGGCTCTGGCGAAGAGCCTCGCCCGGTTGTCACAACCGTTCAAGACTACGACAAGCAGCAACTGCGCTCCCAGCTCAAAACCCAACTCATGGGCGTCGGAATGATGTGCGTTATGCATCTTTACTTCAAGTACACCAACCCTCTCGTCATCCAATCGATCCTTCCTCTCAAGGGCGCCTTGGAAGCCAGCCTTGTGAAGATCCACGTTTTCGGACAACCGGCCAAGGGCAAATTGGAAAGGCCTTGGAAGGCTGCAGGTGGACTTATGGGTATGGGTCAAGGTGAAGTTAAGAGCGACAAGGCAAGCGTTGAGCAGGCCGAAAAGACCTGGAGGGGTGGCGCCAAGGACGAGTGAATCGTCTTTTGGGGTTTCTCCTTGAGGATTTGCCTGGGCTTTAAGACCATACCCTACTTTATATGGTTTTCCTTGTGCTAGGATTTGGACTGGAGTTACTCATTACGATTGAGAGGTGGAAATGACTTTTATCACGATTCTGGCACCTTGATTGTCCTCTTGCCTCTTGCATACCTGTATACATAGACCCGTTTTCTTAGAAGGTATTCTTTCCATAGGTATTAAACGCCTAACTGACTCTTTTATCCTGATATGTAGAGCCTACGGGGATACTTCAGCCAGGATTTTCCCACCAAAAAACCAGGAAGAGGAGATGATGTTGCCAGCTTTTGAACTCAATACTATAAAAGCTCTGAATCAAAGTACTTGCCGTTATGACGGAACCAGCTCGCAAATATAAAATCCACACACACCAAGCTGCCACCCACGCACCGGTTTATCGTTTGCGGGAATAAATTGTCGGAAGATCATTTATGCGTATCGGGGAAACTTTCCATTTTCTCGCAGGACTAAGAAGTCGTTGCCAAGAGCAATGGAGGGGCAGTGTGCAGCCAACCCATGTCATCGTCATTTTTGCTCCAAATTTTTCCGTCTGTTGATGGTGGGGCACATCTCAGATTGCTTCTCATTGCTTCGAGTACCTGCGTCCATGGCATCCAAGCTGACAACCGAATGCAAGAGCGACAGGAGGGACTTGAATGGGTTTTCAATTAACTAGTTAGTTAACTAGTTAATTAACTTCAAAGTTACACTGAGTTGCCAATGCTCTCACAGAGGTAGTTCTAATTTACTCCGCCACTCCAGAGACATCGCGAAAGCCGATACTATCTGATTATCAGCCAATTGGCGAGCTCGAGTTTGAACATAATGGGGCAGGACGGAAAGGAGTCTGGCTGGCTGCGGAAATATACTAGGTATGAAGGAATAACGTGTGGATTGACATCACCGGACTGCAGATGCGGGACAAGTCGGGGATTTCGGGACATCGACTTGTGCTATATTCCTCCGCCTTACTCCTTGTTCTGATGGACCGAAGGCCTTCAAAATGTAGCAGCAGGAGTGCCTGGTCTTTATGTAGCTTGAATCTACAATTGTAGAACTTTCGAAGTGAGATGAGAGAATTCTCATAAAGCCCGCACGTTGACGAAAGTTTGTAACTAGGCTTCCCGGAGCAAGGCCTAGGGTTCGCGGAGGTACTTGGGGCTGTTTACTGCTGGCTAAGAGTACCATGCGCGAAGGGGGCTCCGATCCCTTGCGTCAACAATTTCCAGGATTCATCATTATTACCACGGCCCTGCTGTTCCGTTTTGCCTGGAATACCCGCCAAAGTGTACACCGGATATGGGATTTAGTGTTTGTTATTTATTTCGCTCCCCCTCCCCATCCTCACATCCCACTTTCCCACTGTTTTCACTCTCCATCCAATCCATCGTCCAGCACTACTTCAACCACCGTTGATCATCGTCTCTTCTCGCAGTAAGTGTGGCCATACCTTCCGCCGGAATGCTTTTAGAAGAAGCTCCTGGTTGATGCGGGAAAGGCAAAGCTGACGCCGGTTCACCCCGCCAAACAGTTTCTTTCAATTAATTCGCTACAATGGTCGTCAAGGTAATTATCAACGGATTCAGAACCCTAGCAACCGCTTTGAAGGCCTTTGTCTGATATCTGGTCCAGGTTGGAATCAACGGCTTCGGTCGTATTGGCAGAATTGTATGTGCAGCGTTCCGATTCCCGCAATTTGCTCTTGCTAATCTAGCCATCCTTAGGTTTTCCGCAATGCGTAAGTATATCAAAAACCAAGCTATATTCCGGCGTGGGAGTAAGACTGGATTGTTTTACTGATATAATGCATTAGCGCTGAGCACCCAGATGTCGAGATCGTCGCCGTCAACGACCCCTTCATTGAGACCCATTATGCTGTACGTAATATCTTGCCTGCAAGCTGAAATTGTTGGCTGCCAAATGCTTTGACTGACCTACTCCATTAGGCCTACATGCTCAAGTACGACTCTACCCACGGTCAGTTCAAGGGAGATATCAGCTTCTCCGACAGCGGCCTAGACGTCAATGGAAAGCACGTGCGCTTTTACCAAGAGCGGGATCCTGCCAACATCAAGTGGTCTGAGACCGGTGCTGAATATGTTATCGAATCCACTGGTGTCTTCACCACCAAGGAAAAGGCCAGCGCCCACTTGAAGGGTGGTGCCAAGAAGGTCATCATCTCCGCACCATCTGCCGATGCCCCCATGTTCGTGATGGGTGTCAACAACGAGAGCTACAAATCCGATGTCCAAGTCCTCTCAAACGCTTCCTGCACAACCAACTGCCTTGCTCCTTTGGCCAAGGTTGTCAATGACAACTTCGGTTTGGTTGAAGGTTTGATGACCACTGTCCACTCCTACACCGCCACCCAGAAGACTGTCGATGGCCCATCCTCCAAGGATTGGCGCGGTGGCCGTACTGCTGCCCAGAACATTATTCCCAGCAGCACTGGTGCCGCCAAAGCTGTCGGAAAGGTCATCCCTTCTTTGAACGGAAAACTCACTGGCATGTCCATGCGTGTTCCCACCGCCAACGTCTCCGTTGTCGACCTCACCTGCCGCACTGATAAGTCCGTCAGCTATGAGCAGATCAAGGAGGCAATGAAGAAGGCTTCCCAGAACGAACTTAAGGGTAAGTACCTTTTCGCTCGAGACGCCCATCGAATGCTTATAAGCTAAATCATATTTAGGCATCATGAGCTACTCTGAGGATGCTCTTGTCTCCTCTGACTTGAACGGAGACCCCCACTCTTGCATCTTTGATGCTACCGCAGGTATTGCTCTTAACGACCACTTCATCAAGCTTGTTGCTTGGTACGACAACGAATGGGGCTACTCTCGCCGTGTGATCGACCTGATCGGTAAATGGCCCCCCAGGATTTGCTTTGAGTCCAACGCTAACTGGTCTGTAGCATACATTGCCAAGGTTGATGCCCAGAGCAAATAACTATCTAACGGCGGTTTCGGGGAGAAGAGTTTGCTCTAAGGAGTGCTGTTAGCCCGATAAAAAACATTTCCGCCATGTAATCTTCAACTCGTTTTGTCTAGGCATTGCCAGCTCTCGACGTCGATTTGTTTTCCTCGGGCTTGAGTTTGGTTTTGCTGATGTAGAATGATCAAAAGTGATATGACCACCATGATAGGCAATCAATGAAAATACTGTTTTAATAGTGATACTCTGAACTCCTTTCCTTTGTTATACGTTGCTTAACTTTGAAGTGAAGTCTCAGTTCTCTCATATCGCTGATGTATGCGGCCTGTAGAAGCAAGTCAGATCTCTGGTCCACATTGACAAACACAAACATCCAGATAAGTAGTTACTGTTCCTTCAACTCACTATTGAAACTGTCTCCATCTCAATCTTCCCCAGTCCATCCCTCCATCCTCCCTTCACCTTTCGATGTTCCTTTCCCCAAGCCCCTAATTCAATTTGTGAATCACATGAAGATAAGCCCAAAGCTTCTCTGTCAGCAATTCTTGGCTCTGTTATCATCACGTGCACCCTGCGCTTCTCTTCCGTCTCATCTTTCCAAATCGCGATTCTGGTAAGTCCATTCTCTTTTGTACTGCTTGCTGGGGCCTTGTCTGCACTGGGACTGGCAGAGCAAAACTTCACTTTTACTGCTTTGAGTGCCCCTAAATCTGAGGGGGATCGACCAGTGACCTTTTGTCGCCGAATTTGGTTCCCTTTGCAGGACATTTCTACTTCATTTTCCAACAAGCCGCCCGTTTCGTCCCATGATTTTAGGTGCTTATATGGAGCACATGAACTATTTTTCCTAACGTGCTTTTTTTATACTTTCAATACTGTACAGGGGAGGAAAAAGAGTTGATTTTTATGTGCATTTTCCTTTCTCAAATCTTCCACTGGTTTCCAGTTCTCCCTAAGACATATTGGCGCGTACCGGCAGGGATTGATAGAGCTGTTTTTGCACGATTGATTTCTTATGCGGCGTTTGTTTCATGATACCAAAGTATGACTGACTGAGGCTGGTCGATTTGAAACAACAGTCCCTGCGTTCTCCTATGATGGACGCCGACGAGGATGTCGTCATGTCGGGGACTGGGACCACGGTTCCTGTGAGGACTGATAAACCGTCGAGCGCGTCACCAAACAAGATAGGTACGGAGAAACTCAATGGAGCTTCCCGGTCTAGTGGCCAAGCCGAGTCGCTGCTGGCGGCGTTTCAAAGAAAAGTAGTGGCACCTGGAAATCTAATCAAGGAGATTGAAGACCATCAAGCAGGTACCCATTCGAGTGCGAAACCTAAAGACACGAAGCAAGGATCTGAAAAGGAATACGAATCCGTCTCAGAGGAGGAAGAGGAGTCTGACTCGTCAGTGGAGAGCGATGAAGTTCCAACGCTACTCCCTATTTCATCCCTGCCCACGGGCGTATGCTACGATATCCGGATGCGCTATCATTGCGAGGTCAAGCCGACTTTAGATGTTCATCCAGAGGACCCTAGACGGATTTACTACATTTATAAGGAACTTTGCAAAGCAGGGCTTGTCGATGATCCCGATGCTTCACGGCCACTGGTATCTCAACCCTTGCTTCGCATACCTGCGCGAAACGCTACACTTGAGGAAATATCGTTAATTCACGATCCGGAACATTATGACTTCGTTCGCAGCACCAAGAGTAAGACACTGGCTTTCAGAGATGCTGTGGGCAAACTATTGACTTGATGTATAGACATGTCGGAAGAGGAGTTGATCGAGTTGGAACAAAGTCGAGACTCGATTTATTTTAATACGCTGACATTTACCTCTGCAATACTAGCCTGCGGCGGTGCTATTGAAACCTGCAAGGCGGTTGTCTCGAGCAAGGTCAAAAACGCGATCGCTGTGATCCGGCCTCCCGGGCATCATGCAGAGCAATGTCAGGCCATGGGGTTTTGCTTATTCAATAATGTCTGCGTTGCCGCTAGGGTCTGCCAGAATACTTTCGGCGACAAGTGCCGCAAGATAATGATCGTCGACTGGTAAGCAGTATGGTTTCTTATCATCACTTCTCACAATTGCTGACATGTCACGATAGGGACGTACACCATGGTAAACTACATATTGACCACCTTTTTGCATCATAAGTTCTCACATAGTTTAGGCAATGGAGTTCAAAATGCTTTTTACGACGATCCGAATGTGTTGTATGTCTCCATTCATGTCTACAAGGACGGTGCATTTTATCCGGGCGGCGAGCAGGGGAACTGGGACCAATGTGGTGAAGGGGTTGGATTGGGAAAGTAGGTTTCCCTCCAGGGATGATATGCCACGCCTCACTCACACCAACCAGAAATGTCAATATTCCCTGGCCTACCCAAGGCATGGGAGACGGAGACTATCTTTACGCTTTCCAGGAAGTGATTATGCCAATCGGCTATGAGTTCAACCCAGACCTTGTTATCAGTGAGTTCCTCCAATCCTGCGCCCGCTCCTTGCCCGATTTTGACGAAATTCTAGTTTCGGCTGGTTTTGATGCCGCGGCGGGTGATGAACTTGGCGGTTGTTTCGTCACTCCGCCATGTTATGCTCATATGACATCTATGTTGATGAACCTTGCAAACGGCAAGGTCGCTGTCTGCTTGGAGGTAAGGGCCCAATGTGTCGTTTGTGAGAGCCCGACTAAATATGCTCTAGGGCGGATACAATTTCCGGTCGATCTCAAAGTCAGCACTCGCGGTTACTAGGACGTTGATGGGCGAGCCCCCGGATAGACTTATTGGCGCTGGGGCATCTAATGCGGGAGTCTCTACCGTTCGTCAAGTAGCCATGATCCAGTCAAAGTACTGGCGGTGCATGTATCCGAAAGGTATTCAAATACAGTCAGAGCTTTCCAGTGTATACTCGCTAAAATTCAACCTAGGTCCTCCGGAGGCGTTCTGGGGTAATCGCGTTCATGGTAAGAATTAAAAGCTACTCCTTTCCGCTTGATTGCGTTTTGCTAACGTCCAAGTGTAGATATCATCCGGCAGTACCAAGCGAAACAACTTTACGACGAACACAAGCTAACCAGCCTTTATATCTATCGGAATTCGATTTCCAAGTCTTTCGAAAACCAAGTCCTTGCAAGGTGAAAAAGGATCCAAAAACGATCCTTTTGATGGTTACTGAACCATTTTGGCTAACAAATGTTCTGTAGCCACAATTATGATTGGGCGGTTCCACTGCTTGTTATATTTCATGATCCGTGCGTATCGACCTCGCCGAATGTCTGGATTGTAGCTGCTGACGATAGAGTGTTTGTAGGCCAGAGCTCATGGGCATCCCACATCCACTCACCAACACATTGGAAGCGCATAACTGTTGGATGGTGCGAGCTATTCACCCTCACCCTAATATAAAGGAATAGCTAACCAGAACGAAGGCTGATGTCGTCAAGGATTATATTGGATGGGCCATGGACAAAAATATCGGAGTGATAGATGTGAATATCCCGAAGCATTTCACTAAGAGTAGCGTACGTCTCTCACATCTTTCAGGGCTTTATCCTTTTAACTAGGAGCGCTAACCTTGATAAGTCTCAGTCTTTCGATCAATACGAGGACGAGGATAAGAAACGGATAGACATGGCGGAGGAACTTGCAGTTTACCTTTGGGAGAATTACATCGAGTATGAAAATATGTTGCTAGCTATATTTTGGACTTTACTGATTACTATTTTCTCCTTTTCGTTTCGCAGGCCCAACGAAGCCACCCACGTCTTTTTTATGGGAGTTGGCAACGCATTCGGGGGGCTTTCGAGACTACTATCCAATAAAGGTATGGGCGCTCTCGGCTCTCCCGATCGTTCAACACTGATGATCGCGTAGAACGCGTATATCCCCGTGTTAGCGGTTGCATCTCCTTTGTTGCGGAGACTACAGCGTGGACAGTCGCCAGCGAAACAAATAGCTGGCTTTCGAAGTGGTATAAGGACGTAAGTTGGAGCCTTGGCCTCCTCTCTGCTGCATTCCGGGAACTAATCTCTAAACGTTCATTTGCTTTAGAACTCGTTAGTCTACGTCTCGCAGCATCACCCGATATTCGATCTCTCCGAGAATAGCAAGAGGCCGTCGAAGCGGTACGGGCGTATCCTCCGATCGCCACAGAAATCGCTGAATGAAATGCTCCTTGCGCATAAGGGTGACGTGACGAAGTGGATAGAGGAGAGGATTGAGGATGAGGAGACTGACGAGGAGTGATACAAGGACGTGCCTTCATGGTCCCCCCGTTTCTTTTTCCCTGGCGATTTGACGGGGCGGTCTTTGCGCGACTGGGATGGGAGGTAATTTTTGGCACGATTGCTTTCTTTTTGCGTATTCTGGACATTTTCGCGGCGTTTGCATCTGCGAAAAAGACGGAATGAGATTTAAGCCATTTTTTTTCTTTTTCCCCCTTTCTCTTAAAACGGGATGATTCTCCATGACTGTAAGAACCGGACCTAATGCCAGATTGACATCTGCGTGATACAAAGCGTCGCACAGTAGATCCTGTAGACCTGTAAGGAACCCAGGACTTCTCCCTCTATTCCAAATACTTACAGGGTCTCAAGAACGGGTCAGCGGGCGACCGGCGGCTCTGCAAGTGACTGAGGAAGAGAGAATTTTGGTGAATTCAAGAGAGGAACTTTTCCCCATGTCGACTTCTCCCATACTCACACGACAGAATAAGGTACTTGTAGCATGTAACTACGTCTTTCGAAGGCATGTTGGGACTTGAAAAAGGTCATACGGGTTGCATTTGGGCAGAGGGCTCAAAGGGTATAAAATGGCACAGTATCAACGGGGTGGTGTAGCTAGAGCAAGGCTGGGAGCCAGTAATACGATTAGATCAGTACCCGTTGGTAGTCAAAGTAAAAGGGGATGGAGGTAGCTAGTTACATCTGTTCTTCAAGCCTCGGGAACAGCATGGAGTTTCAATCAACTAGGAGCGAAAACTTATATGGATCATTGGCATGTGAATGATAATGACTTTGTATATGTCGGCTTTTTCCAGGGATAAAAATTCTCCGGGCATTTTCTTTTTTCTATCAGTGATGTTCAAGATCAAGGTCATTATATTTATTAATATTCCACCAGGCTTGCTTGAATAAAGGACCATTAATTGCCATGATAAATTCTCATTCACCACGTTCCCAGATTATCCCCCGAATGAGCCTCTGGAGGTCCTGCTGGGGAAAAAAAAAACGGTCTTGGGCCTTTTGTGGTAGTACGACGTTGGCTGTAGCGTAACATCAGACACGAACTCCGCGAAGACGATTTGGATTTGCCACTGGCAGAAGAATTGCAGTGACGAGAGCAGAGAGGGCCAGAGGGGTTCAGTCGGCCAGAACCACATTTCTGCGGGTGCAGTAATTAACCCTGGCTTATCCACTGCTGGAGCGACCTAAAGAGCAAGGACCTTTGTCCTTCTTTTTTTTTTCTCTTTTTTTCCTTCTCACTACTTCGCTTGGAGGTAGTTATGTATTATTGCCTTCTTTAGGTGCTCGGAGAATTTAAGACTGGTGGTGCGAAGGCAAAGCTGAAGGCCCATGCATCATGTCGAGTGCGCGAACCGGTGACACTGCTACCCATGTCGCCAGGGTGGGAGCAGATGACTTGGGATCGTGACAGCATTGACATTAACTTAACTACTTCCTTGAGAACAAAAGCTCTAAGGCATTGGCAGTGATGTCAAGATGCGTTCTTCTGGGTGCATCCGTTGAAGCTTCGAGACCCTCCTCGAGGCTCCACGTTGATTACTCAACTGTTAACTATCATCATAAAGAACATGAATAGAAATGTTCAGAGGCCTCTCTACTACGTATTCCGTACTGCTAACTAGGTAACTAGTTAACTAGTTACTGTGCCCACAACCTCCTCAAGTTGTTCCTTTGAGATTTGATATCGCATCGGTCGAATCCGAGCTGGTTCTCCCTGTGAACGCCACAACTCAACAAGCCGCGCAGGGATCGCCGCCGCTCCACTCCCGATCCTTGTTCGCAAAGCTTTTCCTCACGCTCACCAGGACGAATCGAGCCTAGACCGGGGCCCGCGATGGGAGATGAGCACCGGCGTAGCAGATCAGGGTAGCATCGCGATGAAGAATCTCACCTTTAAGCTGCAAATGCAAAACCCCAAACCCCAGGATTCTCATCCCAAACTCACAGCTCGGTATCCACGACCGAAAAACCTCGCGGCAAAAAAGAAAAAAGGAAAAAAAAAGGCAAAAAGAAAGAGGGAGACTCGTCGAAAATCTCAAATCTCCACAGCTTCTTCAAGCTTCTCGACTCGGCGGATAGTCGATTAGTTACCATTAGCCAAACTGTGTTGATGCTTTGATCAACACTAGGAAGCTCTCAACACCTCAGCCATGCAGACTGAGAACCCCTCTGGCGGCCCTTCGCTGCAGCTTGGGCTTGTGCTTTGACTGCTCTGTGCCAGGCAGGAAAAGGAGGCACGGAAAAGCCCTATGCATAGCCAACGGGGAAGTGGTTTGGATTGCAACCAATTTGCCGTTGAGATGGAGGCCATGCGGGCAACCATCACAGCGGCCGATGATCCCACTCAAAGCTCGCCGGCCGCCCGCCAATCACACGCGCCGCTGGGGGCCGGCGACAGGGGTGCGGCTGGAGCCAGTTTGGAAGTCGCCATGGAGTGCTGGCACAACAAACACTCCGGCCTCGCCTGCTGGTTCGGGCAGGTTATATTAAACAGGCAGGAGCTGCCCCCTCGCGTTCCTTCCTGCTTTTCCCTCTGCTTGTCATGTGCTGCGTTCTTTCCTAATCCGGCAATCCTGTGAGGTCCGCGACCTGCACCTCGCGCTTCGTCCTCTCTTCTTCGTCTGCTTTCTCCCTCACGCAATTGCCCTTGACTGCACTCGCCCTCTCCCAGACTCCCCGCCCTCGACGCTCGCCCAAAGGATACGGCAACCCGCCGGATAGCGGAACAACATGGCCGGGACAGCAGACGTGTCGCGCGTGGAAGCGCCTGTGACCATGAAGGCGTACCTGATGTGTGCTTTCGCGGCCTTTGGTGGCATCTTCTTCGGCTACGACTCTGGCTACATCAACGGCGTGCTGGGCATGGACTACTTTATCCACGAATTCACTGGCCTGAACAAGTCTGACTTCTCGCCCGAAGAGGTCAAGGACAAGTATGTCGTGCCGTCGTGGCAGAAATCCCTGATTACCTCTATCTTGTCGGCGGGGACCTTCTTCGGTGCCATCATTGCCGGCGACCTGGCCGACTTCTTTGGCCGCAGAACCACCATCATTGCCGGATGTTTCATCTTCAACGTTGGTGTCGTCCTGCAGACTGCCTCTACCGAGCTCGGCTTGCTGGTTGCCGGTCGTTTGATCGCCGGTTTTGGTGTCGGGTTTGTCTCTGCTATCATCATTCTCTACATGTCTGAGATTGCACCTCGCAAGGTCCGCGGCGCTATCGTCTCCGGCTATCAGTTCTGCATCACCGTGGGGCTGCTGCTGGCCTCTTGCGTTGACTATGGAACCCAGGAGAGAACGGATTCCGGATCGTACCGTATCCCCATCGCGCTGCAGATGCTGTGGGCTATCATCCTGGCTGTTGGTCTGTTCCTGCTCCCTGAGTCCCCCCGCTACTTTGTGAAAAAGGGCAACTTCGATCGCGCCAAATCTGCTCTCGCATCTCTTCGTGGTCAACCAGTCGATTCGGAATTTATCCAGCAAGAACTCGCCGAAATCGTCGCAAACCACGAATATGAACTCCAGGTCATTCCTCAGGGAAGCTATTGGGCTTCGTGGATCAACTGTTTCCGCGGCTCGCTCTTCAACCCTGCCAGCAATCTCCGCCGCACCATTCTCGGCACTTCGCTCCAGATGATGCAACAGTGGACTGGTGTCAACTTCATTTTTTATTTCGGAACTACTTTCTTCCAATCCCTAGGCACCATCAACAATCCGTTTTTGATTGGTCTTATCACCACCTTGGTCAATGTGTGCTCAACTCCGATCTCCTTCTGGGCAATTGAGAAGATCGGTCGTCGTCCCTTGCTCATCTGGGGAGCTCTCGGCATGTTGATCTGTGAATTCATCGTTGCAATTATTGGTGTGACCGTTGGCGAAAGACCAGATGCAGTCAAGGCTATGATTGCTTTTATCTGCATCTACATTTTCTTCTTCGCCAGCACCTGGGGTCCTGGTGCTTGGGTTGTCATTGGCGAAATTTACCCGCTTCCCATCCGTGCGAGAGGTGTCGGGCTTGCGACTGCGTCCAACTGGCTTTGGAACTGCGTACGTATTTCCTGTTTCTTTTCGCCGCTAAGCATGTAGATACTAACTTTTCGATCTAGATCATTGCAGTCATCACCCCATACCTTGTCTATTCCGACAAAGCCGACCTTGGCCCCAAGGTTTTCTTCCTCTGGGGCTCTCTTTGCGTCATGTGCTTCATCTACGCCTACCTGCTCGTCCCTGAAACCAAAGGCCTAACTCTCGAACAAGTCGACAAGATGCTTGAAGAGACCACCCCTCGTACTTCTGCCAAATGGAAGCCGCATTCGACTTTTGCTGCTGATATGGGCCTCACAGAGAAGGATACGCTTGGTGAACCAATTAGTATTGCAGTCGGCCCGGATGGCAAGGGGGGCGATGCTACTGTCTAAATGTCGAATTCTCTCCGCCTGCTTCGGATTTTTTCATCGCAAACCCATCGATCCCTTTTGTACTCTGCTCTATCACAACCCAGGTTCCTTCGAGTGGAGCACGTGATGGGTTTCCCCAGCAGAGGGGCTGTGGAGTTCTATTTTGCATTTTCCATTATGGCATATATGGTTAAAAGGCATGGTATCTGGGTGGTATCGGTTTATTTTATGTTAACAGATATACTGTTGATTTATGAAACGAAATATTAATCTGCATTATGAGCAAATAAGCTAATTATTTTACCAAAACCGGGATTTCATGTTGTATCCTCACACGTGTTAACTGACTGTCTCAGCAAGAATGGAGCGACGGCCTTTTTAGCTTGACCACTGAACTGCTTTAGGGTCAAGATTCCGGCTTTGGAAGATTTGAAATGCCTTTTAGAGGACTGGACAGCGGTAAGTTAGAAAAAGACTTAGACCTGCATGTCTTGCATACGATTTTTATATATGGCGTCCGGAACTGAACTTCTGCCAAAACCTCTTCATGTCTACTTTTCCCGGTCCAGCTTAAGGAACACACAGGGTACACAATAGGGAAGCACCGCAGCCTGTACTTCGTACACGATTAACTTGCGATTTGACATTTCACGACAAACGCCATCAATCAAGCCGGATGCGATCTTGGCAACAGATTCCCTTCCAATTGTCTACCGTCTACGCATCGGGTCCCGCGTGATGAAAATATACCCCCATAGAGCTGGGTGTTGAATCGGATACTATGCAGAGCAAGACTCCGCCCTAGGTCTTGTCTAATGGAAGACGTCCTGGGGCTTTTGCCGATATGTCCCAAAAGGTGGAGAGCGGTGAAGGGTTGGTGTTAAATGGGGAGGGGGTCGCGGCCAATGAGTAATATCGTGCTGTTTTAGGCAGCGGTGAAACCCGTAGTCAACATGTAAATATTTACGATGATGGGTGTTTGTCATTGATATGGTCTCAACACGAGAGTTGGATGCGGGAAAGGGGGCACGGTGCAAACATAACAAACAGTCAACCATTTGGGCACATGACCGTAGGGCAAAACCTTGTCCTCACAACAGGCTTCGGGACCTGTGGGATCAGATGGGAAGTCTATTGCTTGGGAGCAAAAATGGCTCTTGCAAGGCGCTTGTTCAAGGGTCCTCTTTGTGGCGTCAACAGCTGATGAAATGCCAGGCCCCATCTATGGTGCTCCTTGCTTTCATCTCATCGCTGGACGAGGCCTTCAACTTGGTGTTGGTATCGGCGAGAAAGTCAAAAGGGCAAAGGGTGAAGAACTTGATACCAGGTGCTGAGAGATGTCCCTCTCAATAGGGGAAGGAGAATGGCGGTTCATACTCGTGTTTGAAATGTGGCGCTGAAGACAAATTGAGCTCTCGCAAATGTCCAAGGAGCTGGAATTGCGCGCATTAACTACGGGAAGGCCTAGGCATGATTTTTGTTGTCTGGCCGGCCACCGGAGCTCGATGTAAGTCGAATGATGTAGGAAGGAAGTTCTCCGAGATTCACATAAGTACGGAGTAATACTGACGTTTTGAAAGTCTATTAGGCTTGGAGGGAAAACGACTTCCTCAGGCTCAAGTCTCATCCGCTCTGGAAATGAGGTGATTGTCGGATAGCTCTGGGAACCTTGGGGGAGCTGGACTCAGATGCCAAGACGATTTAGCCCACATGGTTATTCTTCGTCTGTGAATCTAGTTTCAAGTCGAGGAAAAAAGACCCTACCCTTCGGAGTGAGCGAACCCAATTCTTGCCACAATGCTTAGCTCCATACCAACTGCCAGTGAGAAGGGACCTGGATCTCTCAAGATCCCGTCCGTGTCAACGACGCCTGTGGTTCCAATTAGAGTCGAGATTGGATCACTTTCACTAGTGTGTTTACCAAGTCAGTGTACAAGATCTATGCTTCTCCGGCAGCACATAGCAGCAGTCCCCAATTTTGTGGTGATTTTTGACAAAGGGCGCAACACCCCCAGTTGGACCCAATGCACCGCGTGGGGAAGGGCATAGTCAGAACTGCACAGACTCGAAACTGTGACAACAAGAACATATTATCAGGGAATGACCTGTTTTGCTTGATACCCACTTCGACTAGAAATTGGCTTACCAGTCTAGCTATAGGAGCTGCCAGTAGCTTGAGAGATCCAGGAATTCATTCTTCTTGTTGAAGTTGCTGGGGAAAACAACTCAACCAAATGCCTCCTGAGTTTTGCCCAGCTGGAAAGCCACTAGTATGTACGTGCTCTGAGAAAGACATCAGCGACTCATGGCTCCAGAGAATCTCCGTACGATGCGACGGGCATCTTCCGAGCAGATTGTCTCCAATGCTAAGCGTTGGGCACGTTGATCTTCAAACAAGCTTGCTGAAGGTGAGTCCTCTCAATTATTAGTATCCTAGCTTATTCACCTTGAACCATAGAGCAAACCAGAAGATCAAGAAGCCCAACCGAGGAACTTCTGCAACCATGCTGAGAGATTGCGGGGTAATAAGGTTATCACCCCAAGGTTAATGAAAACTTTATCTCAGCAGCCAGCAGCTACCGCTTTCTAGAACCAGGGACTCTCAGTGGCGGCTATTTCCAAGCTCACTCCGCGGGGCTTGGCGATTTTCACGCTACTGGGGACAATTGATGTTGTTTTATCCGCCCTCACTGTGGTTGCGGGTTGCTGTTGAGTTGAGTTGATCTCCAGCTCACCACCATCACGATTATCATTATTATCAATATTATCATTATTGCTACCCGTGCAAAAGAAGCCCTCTTCTCGTGCGAATCTTGGATGGCAAAGAGATTGGTGGATCCAACCCCGGATTTTTGCGTGGGAGAATTGGCCACGTTCTCTGTGCAAGAACGCAAAGGACCCGCCAGCTCTGCTTCAAGATGGTTAAGTTCTACCTCGGAATAACTGGGATTGGCTGGTGATAAGAATAGGCGGGTACGGACCATTTTCCTAAGCTGGCTGTATCGCACATGTTTACAGTTCTCGAACGTGCTCGCTCTTGGAATCCACTCTTTTCGGGTCCTTTGGATCTCGACGTTAACTTTATTTTAAAGCCTTTTTGCTGCTGAAGTTCAACTGGAGAGTGTCCGCTCCACTCGGGCAAATCCATTCCCGATTAAGTACGGAGTACCTGCAACTCCATACTACGGATGACTGTGGGATAAAGCACGATCGTTTTGCGGGGGAAAGGTTGTGGCAATCCTCACAGGGTGCATATATAGCAAGCCTGTTCGCTGCAGTTTGGTTTTTTATACAAACTGTGGAAGGTCAAATCTTCCAAATCACATATTCCCTCAGTCGTCCGATACTACGTTCCTTGGCCAGGAAAATGTCCCGGGACGAAGAGAAAGCTTCCAGCAGCGGTGTCGAGCATATCGATACCGTTCCTGATACCAAGTATTCCGATGTCGATGTCGATGAGGAGTTCAGTTACAAGGAGCAACGGAAAATCGTTCACCGCGTGGATCTACGACTGGTTACAACCTGTGGTCTGGGATATTGCATCAGTTTGATGGATAGAACCAACACGTCCATGGCAGCAATTGCGGGGTATGATTTGTGACTTTCTCGATACCTGCGGGTGAAACTGTGACTAATCTTTGGGCCTTTTTAGCATGAATAAGGAGTTGGAATTGGGAGTGGGATTTCGATACGTTAGTCCACTTCTATCATAGTTACGATTAAGCTAGGCGCTGACATAATTACGCAGTCCGTCATTGTCTTGATCTTCTTTGTGACATATATCGTCTGCCAACCTTTTGCAACTGCTATGATTCGGAAAATCGGACCGCGAATTTTCATCTCCATAATCGTGGCCACTTGGGGTGTTGTTTTGATTGTATGAGATCCAATACGGTGCACGAATTCGCTACATGCTAACCGCCATCGACAGGGTTTTGGATTCACGAAGACTTGGCAGCAGATGGCCGGTTTACGAGCGCTTCTCGGTATTCTTGAGGCTGGTTATTTCCCGGGCACCGTATATCTTCTTTCCTGCTGGTATTCGCGATGTGCGTCGCATGGGATCCTTCCTTTAAGACGAGCAAGGCAAACTGACTTGAACGCCAGATGAGGTTCAAAAACGATACTCCCTCTTTTATTTTATCGGCGCAGTTGCTGGCTCCTTGTCTGGTATTCTTGCATTCGGACTAAGCCAGATGAATGGCATGCACGGTTTAGGAGGCTGGAGATGGATTTTTATCATGGAAGGAGTTGTAAGTTTTGCCCGCAAACTGATGAGTGCTCGAGCCCCTATTCTAACCGTGGCCACTAGATTTCAATCGCTGTTGCCGTAGTGTGCTATATTTTCATTGTCGACTTCCCGGACAAGGCGCACAAGGCATGGGGGTTCCTCAATTCTAGAGAACAAGCATTCATTATTCGGCGGTTAAACAAAGATCGGGGCGATGCCGACCCAGAACCATTTAGTATGGCAAAGTTCCTTCGACCAGCGTTGGACCCGAAAGTCTGGGGCTTTGCGATGGTCTTCTTGTACGTGACCTAATTCCGTTCCCTCATTGCTGATGCATGCTTATAATCATGGCGTTGCAGCTGTCTTACCACCGTCACATACGCTATTGCATACTTCCTTCCTATAATTCTCGCTCAAGGAATGGGATTCGGTGTCGGCGAATCGCAGTGCCTTGTAGCACCACCCTACTTCTTCGCTGCCATTCTTATGTTTGCAACATCCTGGGCTGGAGATAAGTATAGGATGCGCGCCCCGATTATTGCTTTTAATGCTATTATCACCTTGATCGGTTTGCCGATGATGGGATTCGCCAAAGGAAACGCCGTGCGGTACGTGGGCGTCTTCCTCACCACTGCGGGAGCCAACGCGAACATCCCGGCGTCTATGGCCTACCAAGCGAATAATATTCGCGGACAATGGACTCGCGCGCTGTCCAGTGCCACGTTGGTTGGAATGGGCGGCGTTGGAGGTATTGCGGGTAGCTTGGTGTTCCGGTCCCAGGATGCACCCGAGTATATTCCTGGGATCTGGGCTGCAATCACGTAAGTGATGACTTCCTCTTCCTGACAGACAGAAGGATCTTGGTTGCTGATACTAACGGTTTTCATTAGATCTCAGCTCGTGATCCTTGTGATTCTCGTGGTGATGAGCTTATATTTCTGGAGGTGCAACCGCAAGGCAGAACGCGGAGAGCTCGTTATCGAGGGTTCTGCTGAGTTCCGATATACGATTTGAATGAATATTTGAGGATTATGAATCCATGCACGCATTATCTGTGTGCTTGATGATGGTTATGAGTGGAGCTATTGTTGATACGCTTTGTTTAGAATGCTTGGACATTAATGATCCTCTTGAGATAGACAATAGGATGTGCCATCCACCGTTTTGCATTTGCTTAATGGTACTAGGATATTGGTACCCTTGTCGATGTTCCGGAAAGTTACCGTACGCTTACTTGCTTGTGCAGGGCTGGTGCGGGGTGCACTGCAGTACATATACTTGGGGCCGTTAACCTGGAGTTGGGTAGAAGAGAGGAAACTTGTCTTATGATTCTGTAGTACCTCTTGGTGGGATTTATATGAAATCTAGGCATCACAGTGTGCTAATTGGACGTGTGCTTCCCAATGGCAGTGTGACAACATCAAGGCGGTACTTGCAAGTACACAATAGGTACTTGTCTACTTGAAGCATTAACTTTCTGGAAAAGAAAAATGTGATCAAAGTTTTCTTTGACGGGTAACTGTCCATGGAACAGCGATGATGGGATTTTCCAGGGTAGACAACGAATGGAAAGCAGCCCAGGGCAAGTCAGAAAGCAGAGAAGATTCAGAAATGAAGTGACACTGCAGGGCAGCAATAAGAGCGGCCGTTATTACTAATCACGAGGATCGCCCGGCTGCAGCCTCCGCGGTTACGCTAAACCGCATTCGGCGACCAGAAACAAGCTTTTCCCAGCCAATCAGAATTTGCAGAAAGTGGCAATAAAACTGCCCTGCCAAGCCTGCGCGACCGCCTGCCTGATTGGGCAACGCTGCGGCAATCGGGCGAATCAGAGCAGGCGATTCCGCAGAAAAAGCAATTTGGTACCCGATGTCTACCCAAGGATTGTATGGGCTTGACACCAAGCGGCCAGGTACCTGCAGAGTCACTCTCCTCCTGTTTTCCTCTCTCCCGCCGCACCTCAACGTTCGCCTGTCCAGCAAGACCACCAGCCCTTTGCCGTGCGACCGTCGCCTATTCATTCTTTCTTTTGAAGAATCACACGTCGTGTGAGAGTGAAACATCGGCCAGGCCAGGGTCATCCCTCCCCCTCATCGTCTCGCATCCGGTCCTCACTAATCGTTTGGCTTGGCTCTGCCGTTGAAAAGTAACCCCGAGCTACTTCTGGGTACAAACCGCCCCGTACCGGATTCGGCTCCCTGGCTTCCCGCCACCTGTCTCCCGCCAGCCTTCGCCTCTTTCTCCTCTTTTTCTTTCTGTCCATATAAAAATATATTGCCCTCTCTTTTTTTCTTTTTCCTTGACTCTGTTTCCGGTTCGATTTCGCGTCGTCCTATCATCGATTTTCCCATTCCCTCCTTGCATGCCTCCAAGGTCCTCGCTTGGGACCCTCCATCCATCCATTTTCAGTCGTTCGCAACGCCTGTTTTCCTCACGCTCGCTTCACTTGAACAGGGTTGCTTTGTCGTCATACCGGCTTTCTGTCCCTCCTTTCCATCACCGTTGTCTCCAGCCTTCTCCGCTTTTCCGCTACCCTTCACTCCTTGCAAGGGACCCCCCGGCAACCCTGCGCTCTCTAGTCTCTTCTTCTTGCAAATTGGGACGCCCTTCTTTCACCTCGAACACTTCGTTTTCTCCTTCAGCATCTTCGTCCATTCCCGTTTCTTTGCGCGACCTCGAAGCCAAGATGCTCGTCGAACGTGTAGCAGACGACGTCGAGAAGCCGGTTGTTGATGACCGCTCTTATCGCGTCATCAGGCTTGCGAACAAGCTAGAGGCTTTACTTGTCCATGACCCAAACACAGACAAGGCGAGTGCGTCGGTGAATGTCAATGTTGGCAATTTCTCCGATGATGATGATATGCCCGGCATGGCTCACGCCGTAGAGCATTTGCTGTTTATGGGCACAGAAAAGGTATGCTATCGACGCTTAGAGATCTTTCGATCGAAAGCTAATTCATCTGTTGAATACTAGTATCCCGGGGAAAATGACTATAATCAGTATCTTGCTGCCCATTCCGGCCATTCGAATGCCTACACTGCCGCCACCGAAACAAATTACTATTTTGAGGTTGCTGCCACGTCTCATTCGCACCCTGTGGAGCCCCAGACGCCTGCGGTGCCAACTCCCTCAGCAACTCCCGCTCCCCTGGGGCCTTTGGTTGATAGACGATCTAGCACCGTTGAGGAGAGTGCGTCCACCACAAACGACCCAGAATCGCCGTTGTACGGTGCTCTCGATAGATTCGCCCAGTTTTTCATCTGTCCCCTCTTTCTTCCTTCGACGCTGGACCGTGAACTCCGGGCTGTCGACTCAGAGAACAAGAAGAATTTGCAAAGTGACCCTTGGCGGTTGTTGCAGCTCAACAAGTCGCTCTCAAACCCGAAGCATCCCTATCATCATTTCTCCACTGGAAATTTACAAACTTTGCGCGATGATCCTCAGAGCCGTGGGCTGGATGTACGGCAGGAGTTCATCAAATTCCATGAGAAGCACTATTCTGCAAACCGCATGAAGCTCGTGGTTTTGGGAAGAGAAACTCTGGATCAACTTGAGCATTGGGTCATCAAATTGTTTTCCGATGTAAAAAACAAGGAGCTTCCACAAAACCGATGGGATGATGTCCGGCCTTTTGCCCCAGAAGATATGTTGAAAATGGTATACGCTAAACCGGTGATGGACACACGCTCACTCGACATTTTCTTCGTGTACCAGGATGAATTGGAGATGTACGAAACCCAGCCCAGCAGATATATCAGCCATTTAATTGGCCATGAGGGGCCTGGCAGTATTCTTGCATACATCAAAGCCAAGGGTTGGGCGACTGAGCTTTCGGCTGGTGGCATGCCCGTATGCCCTGGTTCTGCTTTTTTCAATATATCCATCCGTCTGACCGAAGATGGCTTGCATCATCACCAGGAGGTAGCCAAAGCTGTCTTCCAATACATTGCGCTTATCAAGGAAAATCCTCCCGAGCAGTGGATTTTTGACGAAATGAAGAACCTGGCGGAGGTCGATTTTCGATTTAAGCAAAAGTCACCCGCTAGCCGATTCACAAGCAGCCTCAGCAGTGTCATGCAAAAGCCTTATCCCCGGGAATGGCTGATCAGTTGTTCTTTGCTTCGAAAGTTTGATCCCGCACTCATTACTCGCGGACTCAGCTATCTCAATGCTGATAATTTCAACATCGAGCTTATCTCGCAAACTTACCCTGGTGACTGGAACCAAAAGGAAAAGTGGTACGGCACTGAATATAGGGTCGAAAAAGTTTCGGAGCAGCTGCTTTCTGAAATTCGTGAGCTGCTTGAATCCCCGCCTGCGGGCAAGATACCTGAATTGCATCTACCGCACAAAAACGAATTCGTGCCAACGCGGTTGGAGGTAGAGAAAAAAGAAGTTGACAAGCCTGCGCAAACACCCAGTCTGATCCGCAACGACGAACGGGTACGGACCTGGTTTAAAAAAGATGACACTTTTTGGGTACCCAAAGCTGCATTGGAGGTCACGTTGAGAAACCCACTTGTGTATGCGACTCCGGGCAACAACGTAAAGACCCGTCTCTACTGTGAATTGGTCAGAGACGCCCTGACAGAGTATTCATATGACGCAGAATTGGCAGGCTTGGATTATGACCTGGTGCCTAGTGTCTTTGGCCTCGATATTTCAATCATTGGATACAATGATAAAATGGCTGTTCTCCTCGAGAAGGTTTTGCACAGCATGAAAGACCTTGAGGTTAAGCCTGATCGGTTTAGAATTATGAAGGAGCGATTGGCCAGAGGCTTCCGCAATGCAGAGTACCAATTGCCGTACTATCAGGTCGGTAATTATACGAGGTACTTAACCGCTGAAAAGGCGTTTATCAACCACCAATTGGCAGAGGAGTTGGAGCATATCGAGGCTGCAGATGTTGCTGCATTCTTCCCACAGCTCCTAAGCCAGACTCATATAGAGGTTTTGGCCCACGGGAACCTCTACAAGGAGGATGCTCTTCAACTTACCGACTTGGTTGAGTCAACGTTCAAAGCCCGGCCACTTCCTCGCTCTCAGTGGCGCGTTAGACGAAATATGATAATACCTCGGGGAAGCAACTATATTTACGAATATACCTTGAAAGACCCAGCTAATATCAATCATTGTATTGAATATTACTTGTTTGTTGGAAGCATAACCGATCCTGTATTGCGATCCAAAATCCAACTATTTGCACAGATGGCGAGTGAACCTGCATTCGATCAACTGCGCACCAAGGAACAGTTGGGATACGTTGTTTGGAGCGGCTCTCGCTACTCTGCGACCACTTTAGGTTATCGCGTGATTATCCAAAGCGAACGTGATTGTGATTATCTTGAATCCCGCATTGACGCCTTCTTGGCAGGGTTTGCTAAATACCTTGAGGAAATGTCTGATGCTGTATTTGAGGCACACAAGCGCAGCGTCGTCAACAAGAGACTCGAGAAGCTCAAGAATCTTTCGTCGGAGACCAACCGTTACTGGGCACACATAGGATCCGAGTATTATGATTATTTGCAGCACGAGACGGATGCCGAAGCAGTGAAGCCACTCACAAAATCGGAGATTATGGAATTTTATCGAAAATATATTGATCCTTGTTCTCCCTCTCGCGCTAAGCTTGCTGTCCACATGAAAGCCCAAGCTACTGCGAGCCCTGTTGCCTCAACAGGACAGAAAGACACCGTGATCGAGGGGTTGACCAAGTTCTTGTCGTCCGTCAACGTTGAGGTCGAAAGTGAAAAGTTGAAGAAGGCGTTTGAGAGCGTGACGATCTCGAGCGAGGATATTGGTGGAATCACAAATACCATGAAGCAATTCTTAACGGAAGAAGTGAAACTTGCTGAAGACCAGATCGCATCCATTGTTGAGCGAGGCAACCAATTACTTGCCAAGTTACTTCCTGACATTGGCGTAAAGCCCGCTTTGACTGACGGTGAGAAGACGAAAGAGGTACAAACGAATGGTGTCAATGGTGTTGTCGTGCCAAATAAACCCGTTTATATCACGAGTGTCCCTGAATTCAAGGCTCATCTGTCCGTTAGTCCAGCTGCCTCTCCCATGGTGGATTTGAGCCAGTATGAGGACTTTGAACCCAAGCTATAAAAATCTCAATTCATTCCCCATTGTGTCAAGGCGCTACAATACCCTATTTTGCTGTTGACCCTGTTGCAATGCATTTCTTGGTCGTGTTCTTCGATACTTCTTTTGGGCTTTTCGCAGGCAAATTATTCCACCCGATTATGATTTAAATCTTTACCTCTGTTGTACAGTACTGGATTAGACTTGGACTGCACTTTTTATATGACTCTGGTTTGCAATTCAAATAGATGCATGAACAATGTGTTCTTCCATGAAGACGAATTTTATACTCCATATCTCATCTCAGAATTCGGTATTACATAAGCTGATGCTCTCAGTTTTCGGAATATCAATTTTCCTGCTATCAATCAGGCGGGAGCTTCGAACGGCTCACTTGGAAGCTCGAGGCAGCAGAAGAAGCGCAATCAACCTGGCAAAGCTCGAGAAAGCTGTCGTTATCAGCCATTTCGCAAAATATCTCTTTTATCGGTTTAATTTGCCGTCTTGAAGCTGATAATTACGTCCAATCCAACCAGGAGCAATGTCGGTTGTTTCGTCAACAGCCCAAGAGAGCTCGCGCCCGTAAGCCTCACCATGTCTATTCTGCCTGCCAGGCAACGCTCCCCAGAGTCTACTGACCCTCTCGTTCCCCTGACGGCTTATAGACCCATCATCCCAAAATCCTTCTCTGCAAAACAACCACCCACAATCCGTCTTTACCCACTGTCAAATTACACATTCGGCACCAAGGAGACGCAGCCGGAAGAAGATCCTTCGGTGCTGGCAAGATTAAAGCGCCTAGAAGAGCATTATGAGCAGTATGGCATGAGACGAACGTGCGAGGGGGTGCTGGTGTGTCATGAACATAATCATCCGCATGTGTTGATGCTGCAGATTGCGAATGCGTTTTTTAAACTGTACGCCGGGGTCTCTCTTCTTTTTCTTTTGGTTTTTGGGGGAAATAATATGTTCGTTATGGAACTAACAGGAAGAATGAAATTCGAGCAGTCCCGGCGACTATCTCAAACATGCCGATGACGAGGTCGAAGGTTTCAAGGCGCGATTAAACGAACGCCTCGCCCCTGTTGGGTCGCAGTTCACTGGTGAAGGTGTCAATGAGGATTGGGAGGTTGGAGATACCCTGGCGCAGTGGTGGAGGCCGAATTTCGAGACGTTTATGTATCCGTTCCTGCCGGGACATGTGACGAGGCCAAAGGAGTGCAAGAAGTTGTATTTTATACAATTGCCAAAGAAGAGTATGTCCTTTCCCCTCCTGTGCTTATGAGGACAGAACTGAAAGTTTTTAAATGGGGTTACTAACTGTTGGTTACCTTCTCACTACAGAGGTTTTGTCGGTTCCCAAGAACATGAAACTCCTCGCCGTTCCGCTGTTTGAGTTATATGATAATACGGCTCGATATGGCCCACAACTTTCCGCCATTCCACATCTCTTGTCGCGGTACAATTTTGAATTCGTGGACGAGAATGATAATGTGGTTGCAGTGACACCAGGAGATCAGACTCCAACTCCGCTATCCGATCTTCCCCGAACGAAAGTACTCGCTGGCGATGATGCCACGAATAATGATGGGCAAGATACGGGAATGGAGGACTTTGGAGGTGGAGACATATAGGAGCACGGGGAAGTTGAAAGAGATATTGACTGTGACTTGGTTGATTTGGTGCAGGAATCCTCTTACACATGGAGTTGTAGCTAAAATGAAGGATTTCTTGGAGCCAATAGACATTATAAACTGGCTCATCCGCTGCATTTTTGTTTCGCGCAAAGCTACGTTTCAAAACATAAATCCATCAATTCTCAACAGATACAGCACCGCGACTATGCTCTGTAGCGGGTGATCACAATAAGATTTAACCAGAATGGTTATTAAATGAACTTAACACTGTACACTATGACGAACGCCGGAAGAATATAGCCGCTTTGGATATCATCTTCTCGCAAGTCGTCGAAGCCGAGGTTGGTTTCGCCGAGAGATGCCCATCATTTCTCCTCTCCAGGCAAACCCATTGAGGTGCGACCCTCTTTTCTATATTTCGTCAAACAACCACCATCAACTCCGGTTCACTTTTTCCTCTCGCGACTTCGCTGCACTCATCCCATACGGTCCTCGAGATAACTAGGTAATTTAACAATCCTAGTTTTGTCGGTACGATTCAACGACCAGACATCCGGCACCCAGACCCTGCACGGCTCGTCCAATTTAACCAGTAAGCTAGAAGTCGGCTCTGGAGGAGAATTCTTGGGAAGAGAGAGCTGACGGAGTGGTTCCGATTCGCAATCTAGGTCCCTGCGCCCGTAACCGCTGATTGTACTACGCCTACTGTTGTTTCGCGGCATCGCCATCGTTCGCGCGCGTCGAGGATTGAGCACGGACCAGTGGACGAGCAGGCACTCGGGAAAAAGAAGCTTAAGAATACCAAAATACATGCGCGATTGCGACCAATAAGTCTTGGACAAAAGGTCGATTTTATTTGCATTGAACGCATCTTTCCCGGTTATGACGTACACATCAATACGCTCCTCATGCTCTTAATCGGTCTCACGGGCTCCATTGCCACTGGCAAATCAACCGTTTCCTCCCTCCTCACTGCACCGCCATACAACTTACCAATAATCGACGCTGATGTCCTCGCTCGGAAAGTTGTCGAGCCCGGTACATCGGGTTATAAGGCTATAGTCGACTACTTTGGTCCCACCACTCCAGATCTCCTCTTACCGGAAGAGACACCTGGCAAAGGACGACCTTTGAATCGGCCCGTGTTGGGACGACGAGTCTTTGGCAGCTCCGACGAGCGCAAGAAGGATCGCGCGGTTCTAAATGGGATCGTGCACCCGGCAGTGAGATGGGAGATGTACCGTGCGCTTTTGGGGTATTACCTCAAAGGCCATTGGGCAGTGGTGTTGGATGTCCCGTTGCTGTTTGAGAGTGGGTTGGATGCGCTTTGCGGGACGGTGATTGTGGTTGGCGTTAAGGACCCTGCTGTCCAGATGCAAAGATTGCGGTTGCGAGATCCACATTTGAGTGCTGAGGATGCGGAGAACCGTGTCAAGAGTCAGGGAGATGTGCTAGGCAAGGTAGAGCGGGCACAGTTCAGAGGTGTAGAGTCCGCAAGGGGCATTATTGTTTGGAACGATGGCGACAAGACAGAGCTGGTAACCGAGATAGAGAGGGCCATGTCCCGCATTCAAGCCTCGAGCCCGCGGTGGTGGGCATGGGTCCTTCTACTCGCCCCGCCGCTCGGAATCAGCGTTGCTGCTTGGAATTTGGCGATAAACTATCGCGGTAAGAGAGGTTGGGAAGAAAAGCAGCAGAAGGAAAAGGCAAGGCTCTGAACATACTCTCGCCGAAATCTCGCCCATCCTAGGCCGTACATATTTTTGGTGGATCTTTTGATGTCCTTTCGCGCAGCATGAAGCTGTATAATAGTTGTTTCTTTCGAAAAGCTGTAGCGCTCCGCAGTTGGGTAGCTTCATCCCATTCAAATTTTCCCCGATTCACCCTATTTAAATCCTCTCCTTTTGCCGCTGGGTGGCTTTCTATCTCTTGACATTCCCCCGGATATACTGTTTAGCTTGCGTAAGTGAGCTTCGTCGGATCGCTGGCCCGCCCTTCCCCCTCCCCCGCCTCTACCACCGCCAGAACTAATTCCCCTAGGAGCGGCATCTGGATTCTGACGATTGCTCTGGCTATGACCACCTCGTCTGGAATCACGGGATTGTGCTGAGCGAATAAGAGCCGACACGTCGTCCTCGTCTGGGTTCTCAGCGTCCTCGCCTGGTGTTTCTTCCGCTGGGGTATGTTGCTGATTTAACATCAAAGTCAGCAAATGCGCAACGCCCTTGATACGCGCTGGCAACTGGAGAACAAACTACAGCAGCCTTTGTCTTCTTCTTGAAGTTTCCATAACTCCTTCGCCCTCCAGACTCAAGCTCCTCATCCGTATCATCGGCTTTGTTTCCGGCCGTTGACGTATTTTCAATCGTCCCGGCCGGAAATTCCAGTACCCATTGCGTCTCGCCGGCCTCGGCTGCTTGCTTTGCGATTGCGGCGGCACGCTTTTCTTCCTCAGCTCTAATTGCAGCTGAAATAGCTCGCATGTCCGAGGACGACGCATTATCCGACACTTTCTGGCGTTTGGGCGCAGGCGTGGCCACTTCGGAGTCGATATCTGCGGAATCGGGCGCTGAGGGTTGACTGGATGGAGTGGCTGGGGAGCTGGAAGTCGCAGCGGCAGCACGTTGCATAAACTATACCGTAGTTTAAAAATTAGTCCCTAGAGCTTTCCGAGTAGTCATTGAGACGAGAGACCTACTTTCATAGTGAGAAGCCGAGAAGACATTGTCTTCCCACCCTGTGGACGAGGCATCTTGACGATGACAAGGAACCGGCAAGTCAGACAGCTCTATTCTGACACAAAGGGATGTAGGATAGAAGAGCGATTGAGATCATTTGCTATTTGACACTCTCGCAGCAACCAACCGGGATTTTTTCTCGCGTTTGCGGGAAAACGAATTCGACGCTGAATTTCCAGTGAGGCGCCAGGAAGGGTGCTGATTGGCTGCTTCCACATGGCCGTCGATGCACCTTCATTCCACCGCCAAACCAGACTGTCGCTTCTCTTCGCCCACGAGCGAGTCCGCCACCAGGTCAAGATGCTGTTCTCAACACGCTCCAGTCTGCGCCTTTTTACGGCACGATCGTCACGCTTCATTCCCCGTGCCAATTACACCGCAACCGTCCCCCGGCTCTCCGAGCGGTCCGAAAATGCCATCCCGACCAACGACCCCAACCCGCAGAAGAAAGTAACAAGCATATCGGAGACCAACACGGTGCCCTTGGACTCTATGGGCGGGCAAGATGCTAAACTGCAGGAGTCCGTGGAGCAGGCCAGCGCGGAGGTGCAGATGCAGGCGCCGAATCGAGCGACAACGTGGGCACGAAGCCAGCAGCCGAGGGAGGTGGCTATGTCTGGACCTAGATTTGAACAGACAATAATGGACTACCAGGTCAGTGCCTATGAAAAGCTTAATCTTTTCTCCGTCAATTGAGCGGCTATGGGATGTTCTATGTGTGAGGACCTAATCGCTGATGAATTGGTAGCCACGCCCGTATGCCGCCATTGAGTTGATCCACAAGCAACCCGTGAGGTGGACAAAGGAGAGAATCGTCTCATGCGACGGTGGCGGTGGGCCTTTGGGTCATCCTAGGATCTTCATCAACACCGATAAACCCGAGATCGCAGCCTGCGGATACTGTGGACTTCCCTTTGTATGTCCTTTGATTTCTCGCTGTTCAAATCCGTCACTAATCAATGCAATATTAGGCTCATGAACACAACCGCAAATTCCTGGAATCTCTCCCTCAGACGTCGTATCCACTGGAACCGCTCGGGGACGCGGCGGAGGTGCCCGAATCTCAACGAATTACAGAAGGAGGCTACGAGCAGCGATAGTTAAACTGTATAGATAATCTCCAACTTGCCATCTGATCTTTCTCTGAGTGCTCCCTCCTCCCATTGACGCGAGACGGTAGAAACAATTGGAAGCCGTGTCAGGGAGCCTGTTGCTCTTTTTATCTCACTGGATTCATGGTTTATATTGTACAGGTATCAGCTTCTGTTGAACGGAAAATCCATTGATTCAAACGTTGAATATTCTTATGCATTGTGTCCTCTTACATAGTGCGAACCAGCTATGATTTCGAACCTCGCGTTTTCCTCCTACGAGGTCGGAAAGCAGGTTCCTAGCATTTTATCTAAGAACTATAGCCCCTCAAGCCGTGCCTCTCGAGCCAGTATTCGCAATTCTCTTCCACCCTGTATTGTGCCCTTTATTTTGGATCCGGAATCCAAGTATTCCCTCACACTCAAGAGTTCTTCTCTCCCTGGATGGTGGCGACCACCTTTCTTTGATGCTTAGAAGTCCGGAATTCAAGATACCAAATTCCCTGCCATGTTCCCGTAGCCAGACGGCCGTTCGTAATAGGGACTGTCACACTAGCACCGACCAACGCGGATTTAATATGGGCCTAGACGTGATTAGAGAAGGAACCGTCCTTTCTATCAGTATGCACAATGGTTTTGCTTACCGGCATATCGTCAAGCCCTTCCGCGCTATGGCGGTACAAGTTTCCCTTCCGATCCTCTGGTGCAATTCTATCCAATGCATCGCTCATATCGGCACGGACATCTTCATCCCAATTCTCGTTCAGACTCAGCGCACAGCTAGTATGCTGGACGAGAGGTTCAGCAGCCGGTTTTGTAGTTGCGTAATTCTGGTAGCTCGGATACGATCTGGTCTGTGATGAGATAGGAGCCGCGCGAACGAGGGGGAAGGTTGATGGTCTTTTGAAACCAGCTCATCGTCGCTGCGGGCACCGGGGCGGGTGACTGTGAGGGCGGGGACGCCGGGTGGGGAGAGTGGTGTGGAAGAGCGAAGTGAGCGATTGAGGAAGATAACGAAGCCAAGCGGTTCAGAGACGTGAAGAGGATGCTCGGGAAGAAAGCGAGAATGAAGACGAGGAGAAAGACGATCTGGAGACCAGTTGAAGCTGTTGGTGGGGTTCTTCTTGGGCGTTGCGGCGACGTCATCCAGAGTCCGGGAGCTCAGCGGTTGAAGATGCGATGAAAAGACACAATGGGAGAAGATGTATTTTTGGATATCAGACAAGTAATGGTGTATGGATGTGCATGTTCATCTTTGGGATTCTAGCTGATAAGCTATTTACAGCTGTGGCAACACACATCGTCACCTGTGCATGGGGGCCACGTCTCTTCAATTCGGTATAAATCTACTCTCGTCTCTAAAAACGATCACGAATCCATTCTTTTGCTCGAGTCGTTCAAACCCTCCCATTTGGGTTTCCCATCGTTTAAATCTATGAGTCTCTGCGAATAGAATATATGGCAGCTACGAAGCAAATCAGCCGAACTGGTACGCATGAGAAAGACAAGACACGGGCGAGTCCGACCGTCGAAAGAGGAAGATTCTTACCTAGGAGCAAATAAATCCAACGCCTCTTTCTTGCGTTGACCTGTGCCGAAATCAATCAATTCCGGGAATAGCAGTATCACATTCCGGCCTTCATCCATGATAGGAGAATGGCAATGCGAGCACAACACTTTGCAAGGTAGACTGTGCTCGCGCAGATTCTCGCCGCTCTTGTAAAAGTCCAAGCCATTGTGCCCGTTTAGAAAATTGACATCTGATTTGTGAAATATGGCAGCCCATTGAAACGGAGCGCCTACCGTCAGCGGTCAGCAAGGTTAGCGGTTAGATGCACAGTGATTTCGATATTTAAAAGGTTCAACTCGGAAATACTCACCATGTAGTCTCTGGCAGCTTGTGCAATGGCAGAATTTGGCATCCAAGGGCTTTTCTCTGTTCAATTGATATTTCACTTGTCCGCATTGGCAGCTACCGTGCCAGAAGACCCTACCAAACTTCTCCGGCGATTGAGCCTGGTATGGCGGATTGTCCTCCCACTTTTCCCCCTGTTGGGGAGTCTGAGAAGACTGTGCCATTGAGAAGCGCGAGATTGGTACGGCGTGATGAATATTCCGAAAACGCGAGATCAGGGAGGCGTATTGTCTGGCTGACTTGAGCATCGGCTCCCGGGCACATGCAGAGGACGGACGGAGTTGATCATCTTCCAAAACACAATGCAAAGCCCCCTTCGCTACTTATGGCTCTCAGGTGGACGAAGCAGCTTGTTTTCAAGGAATCCAGGAATGACGTCGGAGCCTGCTTATGTCAGACTCTCGCGAGGGAATCTTTGAAGGTATTATTCGAGTGAGGGCCATATTGCTCTGATGGCTTTGATTGTAGTGGTAAGTTGAAAAGGCTGTTTTGCTGAAGAGATAGCTAACTAGCTAGTTTCCCTCCTGACTTCAAGCTTTGACGCCGCCCAGACCGAGATGCCGAGCTGCACCCCAGAGGCCAAGCTACCGACCGAGGTGTTGTGGAACTTGTAGCGTCTACAAACACAGATGCGGCATTCCTCAACTCTTGCTCCTAATCGTTCGCTTTATCCCACAGGAGGCTGACTTGAGCTTTGATACTGAAATCTAACATTAAATCTCCTGCCGCCATGTCCTTCTCCTCCCCGCCGCCAGAATCCCCCTTCTACCTCCTCTCCTACCCGGCTCCTGGGGTGCTTGTCGCAACCATCAACCGCCCAAAACAAAGGAACTCTGTGCCATTCAAAGGTCACTGGGATTTACACAAGTTATGGCAATGGTTCGACAATGAGGGGTCCCTGCAAGTTGGGATTATCACTGGAGCTGGGGACAAGGCCTTTTGCGCGGGCCAGGATCTCCTCGAAGTCGAAAGAAATAGAATAAATCCCCCACCTGAGCCCTATCTGCAAGGGCACCCCCCTTCAGGTTTCGCGGGTATAAGCACACGCAAGGGAAAAAAACCAATCATCGCTGCCGTGAATGGGTTCGCCTACGGGGGTGGCTTTGAAATTTGCTTGAACTGGTAGGCATTGCACAGTAGCATCTCAGCAAGATATGGCTTTTGAATCTAAAATTCTATAGCGATATGGTCATTGCCTCCCCACGCGCACAGTTCTCCCTTCCAGAAGCCAAGCGTGGCATCTACGCCGCCGCCGGCGGCCTTCCTCGCATTATGCGCATTGCAGGTTTGCAAGTTGCCTCTGAAATTGCTCTTACCGGCCGTCCAATTTCCGCTGAAGAAGGCAAAGCTTGGATGTTTGTTAACCGGATCTCGAAAACCCATGAATCGCTACTAGACGAAGCTGTAGAATTCGCCAAGGAACTCTCCCAGTTGAGCCCCGACGCACTTATCGTCACTCGCGCTGGAATTAGGGAGGCCTGGGAAGTGGCAGGTATTGACAAAGCAACGGCGAACACGAGGGAGAGATATGATCAGGGTTTGCATTCGGGGGAGAATGTGAAGGAAGGTATGTTGCCATTTGATACCTTTCTTAACTGCATTGAAAAGGTTATGGAAAGCTAATGGAGTTATTACTATAGGCCTAGCCGCATTTCGGGAGAAAAGAGCTCCAAAATGGGTGAAATCTATGTTATAAAAGGCCAGTTACCCCCAGTATTGGCATCTAGAATAGCAGTTATCAAGCGTGATTGATTAATAAGATGAATCCGATGACGACAAGTAGAAAGCGGCATCTTGTTATCTAGTGCCGTATCCCTCAGACTCATTCAATCTATTGAATATTTCCGGAAGAACTGCTTTTGATACTCGGTGGGGAAGATGCCAAGAGCGGATGCCCTGTCAGTAGCTCTGGTCTGATTGGCGCGGAGCCTCGGCTCGGCAAATCACATCAGCGGGGAAGGAGTGTGGGGTAACTAACCCCAAGCAGGCCCCCATCAACATTAACCCCAAAGGAGAAAACTATATGCTGAAAGACGAGGAATTGCGCATTCCACATAGTATGCTCTATAGTCATACTCTGCACAGCCGGTGAGGGCTACATCGGAATGGCCTCGGATTTGCAACTCAGCCAGAACGGTATTGCGAGGTGACAACTTTTTCGAAATCCAGTTCTCCCTACCGCCTTGTTTTCTATATAAATACTTATGACACCGAGTGCCACTCTCCCAATCTAGATCACGGCATTATCTTAAGCCATGGCTCCCCGAATAGACTTGAGCTCGCCGCCCCCTGGTAGCAACAACCCAAATATTGATCATCCCGCCTCCATTCATCGGCCCATGTTTTGTCCTGAATGGCCAACGACCTCTTCAAGCGGATACAAGATATCAGAGCACATGGTCAACGAACCATTCCCGGAACGGAAATCCTTCAAGATTATCATGCTGGGTGCTGGTGCTGCGGGAATTGACTTTCTTCACCACGCACGTCTTGCATTCAAAGATGACCCGGATGTTGAATTCGTCGTCTTTGAAAAGAACCAAGATGTCGGCGGTACGTGGTTGGAAAATCGCTATCCCGGATGTGCGTGTGATGTTCCTAGTGCGAGCTACCAGTTTCCATGGTACCCGAATCCGGACTGGACAATGTATTATAGCCCATCTAAAGAGATTTGGGAGTATTTCCGGAGGATTGTTGACAAGGAGGGATTGATGAAGTATATAAAGCTGCGGACGACGGTTGCCCATGCTGCATGGCAGGAAACGAAATCCAAATGGGTGTTGCACCTCGTGGAAAGAAACGACAAGGACGAAGTAGTAAAGAAGTGGGACGAAGAATGCGATGTATTCCTGAGTGGTGCAGGTATTCTAAAGTGAGAAAACCCGCACGATAAGGCATCCAACCTGTCTAATTCGAAAAGTGCCTGGAAATGGCCAGATATCCCGGGCCTCCACAGCTTCAAAGGGCGGATTTTCCACACCGCACGATACGAAGAAGGCTTCGATCTGAAAGGGAAACGCGTTGCCGTAATAGGTTCCGGAAGTTCAGGTGTTCAAACAGTCGCTGCAATCTACAACGATGTTTCAAGACTCTTTACTTGGGTAAGGACGCCGACATGGATCACTGCGGGATTCGGGCAGAAGTATGCTGGGTTGGATGGAGGTAACTTTGCATGTATGCCATCAGTTACTACTCTCATTGAGCACGCTGGTGACGATTGCTGGCCTAATAGATAGCGAAGAGCAAAAGGCCACCTGGAGAGCGCATCCCGAAAAATACCGGAAGTATCGCAAGATGATTGAGGACGAACTCAATGGCCGTTTCCGATTCGTCTTGAGGAATAGCAAAGAGTCTGACGAGGCCAAGCTGGTATGCGCTGAGATTTTTCGAACTGCAAGGTTGGTATGCACGAAATAGTCGATTTCTGATATTTCCCTAGTTCGCCTTCAACGAAATGAGATCCAAACTCGGCGACAACACTCGCCTTAAATCGAAAATTATCCCCCAAACCTTCAACGTTGGATGTCGCCGGCCTACTCCTGGAAACGGATATCTCGAGGCCCTGGTTGGGCCCAAGACAACATGCTACACTGAAGACATCGGCGGCATAACCCCCCACGGATTCCTTACAGCTGATGGCACGGAAGTCGAAGTCGACGTGATAATCTGCGCGACGGGTTTCGACACCACGTTCCGTCCCCGGTTTCCAATTATAGGTCTCGATGGAAAAAACCTTGCTGATCGCTGGGCGGACAGGGCAGAGAGTTATATCTCGCTTTCGGTCCCGCAAGTGCCGAATTATTTCATGTACAGTGGCCCATACAGTCCGCTTGCCCAAGGGTCTATTCTGCCACTTCTCACGTTGTTCTCAAATCACTTCATCCAGATTATCAAAAAGATGCGAAAAGAGCATATTCGGCGACTTTCGCCTAAAGAGAGTGCAATGAGGGATTTTGTCGAACACGCCTCGCTGTACTTGCAACGTACTGCATGGGCAGATGATTGCAGTAGTTGGTTTAAGCAGGGTAAGAAAGACGGAAACCTCATCATCTGGCCTGGTAGCCGGTTAGCCTTTTTCGACTTGATTAAGGAGCCCAAATATGAAGACTATGAGATCGAGTATTGGAGCAAGAATCGCTGGGGATACCTGGGGAACGGTTTTAGTACGGTGGAATTCAACGGGTGTGATATCAGCCATTACCTGAACTGTGAATTGTTTCCGAAGGAACTCTTTTTACAGGAAGCGGAAAGCGACGATAGTGCTTTGGAAATCTCGGGTGATATTTCAAAGGCGTCTGGGGAATTGGAATCCTTGGGACTCCTACCGGATACTCCTGGATATCAGGTGGCATCTGGCGCCAACTGACAGCCACCGTCTCATTCCTTTCATTTCAACCTAGCTACAGTCAATAGATTGTTAGCCCCTTGCAAGATACTCCGACTACAGTCCAAATGCTGCAGATGGGACCTTAAAAGGTTTAAATTTGCTGTCCAAGGCATATCTGATACAGATAGCACCGCTGGAATGATTTTTCAAAATTTCAAAATATGTTTAGATGCTGTTTTTTAGTTGCAGTTAGCGCACATCTGCACCTCCAGCGAGATATCATGCACGTCCAATACCCTCGTATTATTATCCAAAACCACATGCAAAGTTTTCAAACCAGCCATAGCTGGATTCCCCAATGACCATCAGAAACCGATTAAAAGTGTATAAGCAAAAGTGTCAAGCTAGTTGTACACGGCTGGAAAGTCGAAAAGGATAATTGAAACAAATCTTTCCAACCGTCAAGTAGGGTAGAAAAGCACAAGGATGAGTGTGAAGTTCATTCAATTCCTGGTATTCGGTGAGGCTTTATCCGTCATAACGTAGGTAATCTATTGTTCATTAATTCGTAGCTCATCGCCCACCCAAATAAGAAAAAAAAAAGAAGAAAAACCGCCTAAAATGGTTGGATACAAACGTTGGTGGAACTGTTCCCGGGGCTCTGAACAGGCAGGGCGAAAATTGAAATTTGCTAATGTTGCATGCTTGAAAGTAAGTTGTTATCATGTTCTTGCAGAAGAGATTAATGACTGTGCTTCTTTCGGGTCTACCCCGAGCACACGGACAAGATAGTCAACGCTGGAAGCGACATATTAGCTATAGTGTCAGCAAATTGGTGACGCCGAACCTACCTTGCTTCGCTTGCCAATCGCCGCTTCTCCTTAGCAAGCTCCTCCTGGCAAGTCTCCCACATAACAGTACGTTTCTTAGGAGAAATGGTTTTGATCCGCATTTTAAAGAGACCGCTGACAGGCCTATGGTCAGACACACGAACTTCATGTCTTCTGTACTGTGTTTGTTTTATTCTCCCTACTCCGCGGTAAAGGAGCCGATCACACCACGCTGGGGAACGCTTCTTTTCGCTGGAGTCATAGTTGTCGGTACCCACATCGTATTTATATGTAGGGGCAAATGTAATTGGCGCCTCATTGAATGCCCGTAGTCGAAAACCGGGATTCTTTCGCTTCGATGCGAGCAACTGGTCTCGATCCAAAAGTTTCGGCAGGTTATTCACTTTGATAGCTTCAAGCACCGTATTTCGGGGCATGGAGTCGATCCGGTAATTTAGATCACCGTTCAAGATACAGATCTCATGATCCAGAATCATTGACCCGTCTCCTCCGCCAACGAAGCGATCAATACGTGCCGAAGAACTTGGCTCGACTGGGAGGGAGTCGCTTTCCATGATTCCAGCGATGTCATTGTTGCGATGGGCGGTTTGGGTTTGACCAGCCGCTAAGTGACAATTAACGAAACAGAGCGACGTATCATCCAGGATGAATCGGAGAATGAGAGCGCCCTAAGTATTGTTAGCAGAGGAAACACGACTGAGTTATTAGGTTGATAGTAACCTTATTTCCATGCAAGCCTCCCATCCCTCGCTTCACCTCCGCAGCGCTTATGTTCTTGATCCTTTGGCGCTCTTCCTGCTTCACAAATACACAGGTGAACAGCCCAATGAGGCTTGCTGTGTGAAGCAAGACATAGGTCGTATCTAGCGGCATGAATTCGCGGATACACAGCGCAAGATGGTCTCTCCAAACACGATATTGCCGGCTCACATGCTCCATATCATGATCTTTCCGTTTGCTTCCTTTTAGTAGACTTTCTAAATGAACTATTAGCAAAACCATTCGTTGGTTAGAGAGCATGCCTATACTAACTTGCCGTGATCTTTTTATTTTCAAGATCAACAAGCTCCTGGAAGCCGAATACTAGAATATCTGGCGGATTTTCGGGGTTGATGGCTTCTCCGATGAAATTGCTATTCGATAGGTTTCCTGGCACTGCTGCACCCGCGTTCCATGTTAGGACGGCGGCTGTAATTTCACGGAATTCACAGTAATCGACATCTCGATTCTGCATTTTCGACTCTATTATTTTTGTTAGCCCTGCCAATCCCAATATCAAGAGAATTGCCATACCAAGCCAATCATCCTCTAGCATTCCATCCCAAACGCGAATATAACTGTCAACACCCAAGGAGACAACCTGGAGCCTGTTTACCGTCCAAATGCTACTCGGATCCAGTAGTAGCCCACAGACACCATGATGATGCGCTTCCCAATCCTTTTTTACCGTCCACGGGTCTGTGGATGTATCGTACACGTATATCATACCCGTTTTATAACCAGCCCAAAGATAGTCGCCAACAATTGCAAGCGAGCTAATCTTGTACACGCTCACATTGACGGTGCCAACACACGTAAAATCTCGGGCGGAATACATCGTCACTTTCCCATCAGCATGTCCTAAATACACCAGATGCTTTTTCGTGCAGACGGTACCGGAGGTTACATCCCCAGAATGCACCTTTCCAAGAGGGGTTTTGAATATTTGAAAGGACGTATCGGCGGTGCTTGGTTTATACAATCTGACTTCTTTGCCAGTTGCATACCATAAAACTCCGTCTACGACCATCGAAAACGTGTGTCCTTTTGGAAGTCTGTCGTGAGAATTGTGATAACTGTACTGAAGATTTGGCGAGCCAGATTCATCTGGAGGCCATATAAGCAACTTTCCGTCATCGTCTAGCGTCCAGAGTTCTTTCTTGTGTCGATATATTTTGATTATCTCTCGTCGTGAAGGCGAGGATCTAGACGAGACGATGGCCTGCGTCGTAATATCAATTTCGTAAATCTCTCCAGTGCCCATCCCAATCCATATAACATTCCCCTCATCATCCACAGTTTTTCCTGGCTTAAAAGCAATAGCCAAGCCTTTTACAGACTCGCCATGGCTTATGCTTAGGATTTGCTCGCCAGATATAAGGTCCCATACCCTAGTGAAGTAACCGGTACTACAGGCATATTGTCCGCAGACATCAAATACCCTTGTATCGTGTTTTATATGAATACCACGAGTGCCCGTGCGAAATACAGGTGCGCGTCGGTTCGTATGCGACGCATCCGGGTAGTCCATTCGTGGAATGGCCCCTTCGTCTGTGACAATTCGAGGTTCCGTTGCCTCCTCCCGTGGAACACTGGAGATGTGAAGTTTTGACGAGATTGTCGACGAATTGTTCGGTAATCGGGGAGGGATAGGGGTCATAGGGGTTGATGGCGTTGAATGGTGACTCTCTGAAGCTGGTCGTATGGAAATATTGCTAGTTTCTCTTCGAGGCGGGGGAGGTGGTGGGAAGTTTACAGTAGACTCGCCATTAAGGACTCGTAGTGCTTGTTTGTGGTTGACATCCTGGCCCTGGGGCGAGACCGATAACGAAGGTTGATAATTCGAGCTATCCAAGCTGGTTTGCACCGTCGGTCGAGGCAAAGGAACTCTTTGGGAGGCGGGAGACCTAGAACGGGGAGGCAAGCCGGGTCTGTCTTCTGGTTCATCGTTGGTGGCAGGCTTGCTAGTAAGATTCTCTGCTGTTTTGATCCTTTTCACAGTTCCCTTTCTCTTCATCGGGGGTGGTGGCGGCGGTGGTTTCGTATCACGGTTGGGAATTGGTTTCGGTTTTGTTTGATTTGAGGGACTGATTTCCCGGGAACGTGATCCAGGTGATCGGGATGATGATTGCAAAGGCTCAAGCCGGGCGTATCGAGCAGGAGAATCGAGAGAGAACGGAGACGACGAAAGGAGACGTGAAGATCTCGCTCCAGCTGTTGAAAGCGCGGGGGACTTCTCAGGGCTGCTGGGAGGTGTGCTAAACGGAGATATTTGTCCTCAAACGAAGTCCTTTGAGATGAGGCGAGAAGCGAATTTGAATGAGATTCCGTTCCACTCGGGATTCCTGACTTCTTTACCGGTATTCTAGGCTTTTCAGCTCGGTTGACTGGCGGAGGCTGCGATGAACATTTAGGGCTTTTGCTAGTGTCCTGATCTCTGTCCACAAGTCGCCTGCCATCTGGAGTTACCGAGCCTGACGAGTCAATCAACGGGGTTTTGGATCGCGCCGACGAGAGACTGGGGCTGCGCCGGATGGAGGGCGATGTGCCACGTAATTGAGTATCCCTATCATCCCGCGAACCATTAAACAGATTTCTCCGGGGTGAAATGAAACTATTCGAGGGAGGGGAGCGCGGCGATTCAACAGTCAAAATTGGACCTCGAGGCGGAGTGGATTGGAAGCTCATCGATAACGGTCGAGTAAAGCGTCGCCTGCTTGGTGAATCTCCAGTTTGCGCAGGCTGTAAAGGCCCTCTGATGCTGTGCTGATTCTCAGATCGTGTGGGGGTCCACATCCCTTCAGGGCGCGGCAGATCCAGCGAAGAGCGGCCCAGGGGAGCATCATCATCTCTGGCCGGCGCTTTTAAGAAGCCTGACGAGGTTTCGGCCCGGTCTAAAGTCCTGCGAGCCGGCTTGCTTTGGGATAAGTTCTCAAAATGCGATAGGAGGGAGGACACGGGGCGCTATTAGAAGCCGTAACGTCAGTCATGCCCGCCTGTAATATCGACCTTGAAGAAGACTCACTATAGACTCCTGCTCCGCGTCCTCAGGCCTTTTCCGCTCCATCGTAACGACCGTGTCTTGAAGCCCTGGGTTTGTCCACGAAATTGCTCATTCGAGGCCTCAGCCGTCGAAGAAACCGCGATGTATAGATGCGACGGCGTGAATTTCACTCTAGGGTGCACCGAGAGATGGTAGCAGACGGTCTGCGGCGTGCCCATCCACCATTCCCCAGCTAGTATGGAGTTCCTGGTGTCGCTGATATCGGTTCGCGCATGCGGGCTCTGAAATGTGGGGGATCGCTGAACGAGTTACTGCCTGCGGCCCAGGTAGAATGGTTCTGGCAGAGGGTTTATCGATCATGGGTTTGAAGGACGGGTTGCAAGTGAAGTCGACCGACGAGGTCTCGTGAGGCCTGTCTGACCCTCTCCGTTAATTAATCGCATCTGACGCTGTTGCTGAATTGAAAGCCAAACGGAATCGGGTGACTCCCAGCCATTCAACGGGTCGTGGGAGGTGACTTACGTCGTCCGCCTTAGTGAGTTTGCTAGTCGGAGGCGGTTTGACGGTTGTTTCAGGGATATCCTGACGCTCTGCCGTTCATCCACCACGCCTTGTCACTCGCTAGTGTTGTCTCTCGCCACGACGAGCTGCTTTGGTGAGCGCTGAGGCCTTTTCTGCTGTGCCTTTGTCTTCAGCACCGCATCCGGGTATTTTATTGTCACTGACTCGCGCTGTGCGAGAGAGAAAGAGAGCACGGGGATTTCTCGCGCTTTTTCCCTCTGGAGCCTGCGTACTCCGTACAGCCACCAGATTTATCCAAACTCTATTGAAACTGACATGTGGTACGGCCCAACCACTCTGAGCTGTTCCAGCTGAATCGTGAGGCTGGGAAAGAGAGACATCGATTGCTGACGACAAGGTGTTGGCTAGCCACCACATTCTCAATGCGCAGGTGTCGATCCGGTCGCCATGCTGCAAGTCCTCCCCATGAACCCATGATGGCTACATATTCGAATCTTGCTTTCTGACATTCGATTTTCCCCGTAAAGGTCGCAAATGGTTTGATTGTGTCGAATGCCACCGCGAACAAGAAGAGCATGAGCTACTGCAATCTTTCGAGATGGTTAGCCGATACGGAAGCTGTACACAAAAGACTACTGTATGGTTCTAATGGCTCCTCTGCTTTTAGACATTTGCATGCAAGAAATGCAAAAAGTGCTTCCGAAAGGATGCGGCGGAATTCGATGAGAGGCACGTCCTCACGGTTTCGTTCGATGAACCCTTTGAGAATAGGCTAACTAACAACATTCACTGCACAGCGACGAGTATTGCCCCCACTGCGATAACCACTTCGTACTCGAAGCCGTGACGCCCAAACCCGCCCTAAAAATTGAAGGAGAAGATGTCCGGGTGGATTCTAGGATGTTAAAGGACGATAGAGTGCGCCCAGAGGCGCAGCGGTCCATTTTCGATGTGAAAGAGGCCCCGAACAAGCTGGGATAGAGGTGCCGTGTATTGGATCATGATGAATTTATGGAAACGGATAAACGCCTCAATCCTCGGTTTCTCAAGAGATGATTTAGCTAGCTAGGCTGCAATTGCATGAGCGGTTCGAGCATGATAGAAACGATTACTTCTAATGAAAACGAAACTAAAAGCCGTACTAGAAAGCGCCGCATTCTGAGTACCATTCAAGCCTTTCAGCTAGCGGAGCCCTCTCCACCGCCCCGGGTCAGTATCGCAGCGGTTCCGGTTCCTGGAGTCCTTCCTGTCTTCTTCTTAGCCGCTTCCTCCTGCTTTTCCGCTTCTATGCTCTTGACGTAGGTCTCAATCTGTTCGCTCGGGAGCATCTCCACCGGTTTCCCAGGAGCCATGATCGCGATTTCGATGTTCTTGGCACCAGTCTGGACGACCTCAAGTAGCGATTTAATCGTAAGTTGGATAGTTTCTTCCCTATCCATCCCATCCTTGTGATTTCGTTCCAAGAATTCCCGGACAGTCTTGCTCGACCGGCCGATCGCATTGGCTTTCCTGTAGACTTTTCAGTCGTAGCTCCATGTATTTGTCTCAGTGGTCCAACGTACCATGCGGAGTATATTCCTGAGGGCTCAGTCTGATAAAGACGAGGAGTTGAATCGCCGTTATCAAATCCCACCACTAACGTACTAATACCAAAGGGTCGGACACCACCACTCTGCGTATACCGTTGCTGTACTCCGGCAACATATTTCGTGATGTATTCGATCGTCACTGGATCTTCGACTGTCAATCGATGGGACTGAGCCTCGACTCTTGCCTTATCGACCAATATTCTAGCATCCGCATTCAGACCGGCAAAAGCAAGGCAAACATGTTCATCGATGAGTCCGATTTTGGAGGGAGTAATTCTGGTGTCTTGAAGTTTCATCGCCGACCGCTTTTCGCATCCCAGGACAACAATATCTTTTCCCTTCACCCCGACAGCGCAGGTGCCTAGTTTGTGTAAGCTTCGTGGACCGTTCAAGGGAGTTCTCCACCGACCTCGTTTGACAGCTTCCAAAGCATACTCGACTTGGAAAACATGTCCATCAGGACTAAAATAACGTCAGCATGACCATTACAGCCCCTTAAAGCTCGAGGTGTACCTGAAAACTAGTAGAAAGGTGGGAGTTAGTTGATAAACAAGCTTGATGAAGCTGGGGTGGTTGACTTACCTGAAAGAGCTCTGTCGTAGCCGGATGCCATTTTAGCTCAAGGGTTAGTGCAAGGATCGGTGAGAGGAAGGCAAGAGAGAAGGGGAAAGTGGCAAAAAGGAGTGATCAAAGCACAATGGGATATGGATTGCGAGATTGGTTATGGACGGCCCAAACCCCAGCTGTTGGATTGGGAGGTGAGGTAAACGCGGCTTGCGTCTGCCTATCACGAGCTGGCTAGGCGCGCGCTTAGCTCCACCTCACCACAAAGCGACTTGCACTCATCCAGACTCGAGGGACGAGCGATGGCTTCAGTGCCTTGCTTAAATGAAGCTTGACTGGGCATTTCCACCAAATTGTGGACAACTGCTACCATGAATCCACTGGGACTGACCATGGAGGGCACTTGCGGCTGTTGGGAACAACATTATCACTCTGGACAAGCCTCCCAAATCTGGTCTCTTCGTTCGTGGACGGCTATGGGCTGATATACAGTCTAAATAAGGCTCCAAACGCATGCCTACTGATTCATTCTAGGCACATGCCAGTTACCCGTTGTTGATGAATATTTGAATGGACGCTTGGTTGCTATGATTGCACGAAACAGTGTGAGGAATCAACTGCCGCTGCCAACAGTCAAGGACCTTGGCTGTGTCTGAAGATACAATCAATCAATCACCCGCTAGTTGCTGCTCTCGTCAAGCATGACCTCGCTTTATGGTATTAGCCATCGATTGATTGGTAGTAAACCATCATTCGATTGACTCACGAAGCCTTTGAGCTATGAGCGACCTCTCTGCGCAAACCACAAAATTAAATCCTTTCTCACGGTTGAACTGCCGGCTAGCAGTCAAAAGATGGATAGGAAGATGGCCCTCTAACTATCATTGAGCCCTTCCACCCCACTTAGCAGTCTCAGTAGTCTACAATTCGTCATCATGGCGATTGCGTGATCCTCGTGCTCTAAAGGCCATTTATATGTCACTACGGCCCAAGATCAGGTCCATTCTCGCTTCATCCATCTTTGGCTGGATATCTCGTGGATTCTGATCTGATAAGAGAGACGTTCGGCATAACTAACTTGTTACCCCAGGTTTCGGGATTTAGCTCAACATTAGTTAGCCGAGAAGACTCCAGCATTGCAACTCCTCCCCAATCTAGGTCAAAACAAATATCGTTCAACTGTTGTCACAATACAACGAAGACGGGATAGTGAGTACTTGAATAGAAAAATAACTGGCCTGCACAGACGGCTCCTGGCTCCTTGCATCGCCTTCCTGTACAACATCGTTATCATGGGTTTCCGAGGCCCTTCTTGGGTCCCACCGGCGTCAACTATATCAATTCCCGACTCTATTCCTATTAGCGAATTTATCCTAGATGAAGATCATGGTCGTGCATGCTTGGCAGACTCAAAAAAGCCGTTCGTCTGGGGAAATACTGGCGATGGGTACAATGCGCTCGAGGTACGCCAACGAGTCGACTACTTAGCACGAGCTCTGGCAAATGAGTTTGGATGGCAGCCAAACTCGGGGGTGGAATGGGATAAGATGATTTGCATCTTCTCCCTGAATACAGTACGAATCATATACTTAACGCACTATTTAGATGGTTCTGACCTCTACGTAGGTTGATTTTTTCCCTCTTGCATGGGCTGTTCATCGTCTGTCAGGAATAGCCTCTTTGGCCAGTACTGCATACTCAGTTGATGAGCTTACGCATCAGCTCCGTGCATCCAAGGTTCAAGCATTGTTTACCTGTTTGCCATTGTTAGACACCGCCCTGAAGGCAGCAGCAAATTGTGGCATTCCAAGATCTCACGTATATTTGCTTGATATGCCGCAAGATCATGTTGGGAATATTGCAAAACCTCAGGGCTTCGTGTCCGTCAACAAACTAATAGAGCAAGGGTCGAAACTTGAGGAGCTGGAGCCCCTGAAGTGGAAGAGGGGACAAGCCGTCCAGCAGTGTGCTTATTTATGCTTCTCTAGCGGGACGTCAGGCCTTCCGGTGAGTAAAGAACTTCAAGTCTTACTCGACGCTGCTTAACCATATACCACCCAGAAAGGGGTTATGATTTCACACATGAACGTGATTTCACAAGTTTCACTGTTCAAACTTTTCGAAAGCCGCACTCGAACACCAGATCAAAAAGACACCGTTCTTGGACTCCTACCCTTTAACCACCTTTTCGGGTTAGCCGTGTTTCATTCTGCATTTTATCGAGGAGAGTCCGTTGTCGTCCTTCCGAAATATGAGCTTGCTACCCTGTTGGAAGCGATCGAGCTTTGCAGAATCAATGTTCTCTACGTTGTAAGTCGTATTCAAAACCATCTTCTAACGCAAACCTTCCTTAACTTACTCGCTTTATACAGGTTCCGCCAATCATCATTGCAATGGTGAAGAATGGGAAACTGATGAAGAAGCATGACTTGAGCAGTGTGCGGCACATAATCACAGGTGCTGCCCCCTTAGGGAACGAAACTGCAGAAGATCTCCACAGATTGTATCCGACTTGGTCTATTCTTCAAGCCTATGGTGAGTATATTCGTTTGATATTGCATGTTGGCTTGCGTTCTAATACGCAGGAAGGTCTTACGGAAACAACCGCTGTCGCCACACACACTAGTCCCCATGATATCTTTTTCGGTTCCTCTGGATGTCTCCTACCACTGCTAGAAGCGCGATTGGTCACACCTGACGGCGCTGACGTCGAGGAGTACGATACACCAGGCGAGCTTTTATTGCGCGGCCCAACCATCGTCCTAGGTTACCTAAACAATGAAGCCGCCAATAAAGAGACTTTCCAAGACGGTTGGTTACGAACAGGTGACGAGGCGGTATTTCGGAAAAGTCATAACGGAGAGGATCATGTTTTCATCGTGGACCGCATAAAAGAGCTGATCAAGGTCAAAGTAGGCTTTTCCAGACTGCAATTTCTCACCGTGATTATCCTTCCGACAGACTAACTGAAAGTTCCGTTGATAGGGATTCCAAGTCGCTCCGGCGGAACTGGAAGCACACTTGCTGACGTACCCCGCCGTTGACGACGTTGCTGTTATCGGCGTCCAAGACGATTCGGCCGGTGAAGTGCCAAAGGCATTTGTCGTCAAGGCCAGCGGAGTGGAAGGCGATGATCAAACGCTCATTCGTGACATCCAAAAGCATGTTCAAGACCACAAGGCGCACTATAAATGGCTGAGTGGCGGGATTGAATTTATTGATAGCATTCCAAAAAGCGCAAGTGGGAAAATACTCAGAAGGTATCTAAGAGATAGAGAACGTGAGGCGAGAAGGAAAATAATCGCGAAGCTATGATATCCGGTAAGTATGTTGTTATACGACTGCGTGCTCTGCACATGCCTAGACATAGTCAGTAGATAATATCTGTGCAGACTTAGAGCTGCTCTTTTGGAACGAGTTTCAAGGAGAGAATTGACCACTGTTTTCTTGAAAAACTCCCGCGCAATAAGCGGACTTTCGTTATAAGTCGGGAAAATGTCAACTGTTAAAGCCCAAAACAACAAGCGCATCTTCGCCCGTTTGAAAGACTCTGCCCATATTTTTCTTCAACGGAGAAGCTAGCATTCAGAACTAATAAATATTAACCCCATTAATCGTTAAGCACACGCGCAAAGTGCAAGTAAAGGATCGCCAAAGGCAGTTAAATCGCGCATCTCCAAACATCGTGGACTCTCGTCCATAGATCATTAACCAAAAGGGTATTTAAGAATGGTGAAAAGGGGGGCGTAAAAAGTATGCAATGTACATGTCGGTATCATGATATGTCATCTAGGTTTCTTGTTACAATTGCCAAAAAAAAAAAAGAAAATATATGTATTTCAAGAAAAAAAAGTGCAGAATTCCTCTCGGGATCTTCATGTCTTGGGCCTCGTTATATAATTTTGGAAGATGCATCGTGCGTAGTCCAGGTGGTTGGTGACAGATCGCCTAGTTTTCAGTCGCTTTTCAGGTCCTTGCATTCGTTATCGTGGGAGGGAGACGGCGAAGGTGACAAGCTTCGCTCCCATTCCGCCATTAGACTTGATGCCGTCCGCGTCAGGTTAGAGGGATGGAGTTTCGTCAATGCCGGCCAAGGAATATTTTCGGACTGGTTGCCATCGGCGCGGTTCGCATCTTCGACGGCCTTAAGGTCTGCGAAACTAATGAGGACGTTAGTTACTCCGAAACAAGAAGCGATTCCAGTGAGGTAGTCGAAGGTGCTGACCTTGCACTTGTCCGAGGACTACTCGCCCTCGTCGAAGGCGACGGGTCTCGCCGGGAAGAAGGAAATGTGGAACTGCTTGATGATGGAGTATGAGTTTTGGGCTGAGGGGTATCCCATACATCCCAGTTGTCATCCACGTCTAAAAGACTCGACTCTTCAGCCTTTTGTTTCCTGCCCTTGGACTTGGATTTGATGGAGGTCGTTTTGGGTTTCTCGGGAGACTCGATGCCGAATTCACTCCAAAATGATATGTCATCCCGGGTTGAGGTCGACGTTTTGCTTGTAGGTTTGTTCGAAGTAACGGATCTGGTTGCAGTCGACGATGCTATGGACTGCTCTCGACTCGTAGAAGGGTGCATGCCGGCCCGCTTAGGAGGACGCGAGGGACGATGGGCTCCTTGAATCGACCTGGACTCTGTCGCGTTGATTCCTTCGTCGCCAACCGTCGCCTGACGAATATCCTCCAAGAATGTCCATAGGCCATCTTTCAGATCTGAAGCCATCTGTTTCCCAGTGCGCATCAGCGTCTCCGCGGTCCCATCCTGAGCGATAGGTAACGAACGCCGCCACAGAGTTCGTTGATCCATGTTGACTCTGGCTGTCGAAACGACGTTTTCGCTCGAATTGCCTTCGGTACGGTCGATTGAAGGAAGGGTAGCGGATCTAGGGTGGCTGGAGCCTCGGATTATTTCAAGGCTCTTCGATGCATCCGCGCTTTGCGTTGGAGAGAAGGGCTCAAGGCCATTTGGCGAGAGTAGCGAGAGTGTTCGGGCATGACGCGAGCTTTGAAAGACGGTCCTTGGCCGTCCAGACGGAAAGGAACCACCTCCGGAGGGAAGATTTGAACCCGATTTCCTATGGCTACCTTTCCTCTCAAGCTCCCGACTCATTCTTGTCTGTAACGCGAGCTTGGTAAGGTCAGAAGGCGTGGATCGTTCAACATCTATTCCATTCACGATCGATTCCGCCGGCGGCGGCTTGAGAGGCTTCATGACTTCTGCATGATGCACAATCTCCGTTTTCCTCCTTCCTTTCTCCCCCATCGCCCACTGTCTCTTGAGATTTGCAAGCTCCGCCTCGGCTTTGTGAAGTTCTTCCCTAAGCTCAAGCACTTTTCTCTCCTGGGCTGCAAGAGCAGTCAGAAACATGTAGCCCTCATCAGCCGGCTCGTTCAATGCCGGAGTCGTAGCCGAGGATCGACTGGGAGACGGAAACGTCGAGGATTGAGCCAACGGGGACATGACGCGCGGCGAGCCCTGCTCGGACGGGAGGGAATTCGAGCTAATGGGGAAATTGAGCGTCAAACGTTTCGAGTGTCGTGCAGCAGCATTGGGACGAGAGGCAAGCGGTGCACGCTGGGCTTGCTGTTGTGGTTCATCATGGCCGTCGAGACCCGGTATGAGCGAAGGGGGTTCGCCGCCCGAAGGTTTATGGCTCGGGGGTTCGTCCATGGGACAGGAGAGCCACGCATTTAACTTATCAGAATCCTAGCAGAAACGCAATCATTCACTGTGGATAGTTAGAACCCATCACGCCTCGCAAAGACAGCCGTCGCTCCAGCAAAAGTGTTTCCAGGGGAGATTTTATAAAACAAAACAACAAGCTCAGGGGAGAGTCTCCAGGATGATTTCTTGACGGCAGCTTTGATTGTCGTTTCAACCAAATGGATCCCCCGGCCGCGCTCTTGGCGGCTACCTAGCCCCTTGTGGGTTAGTGTGTTCATTATGACATTGATGATTGTGATGAGCAGCTGGACTGAACGAGCGGCGATTGTACACTTGGGATCTTGTATTTATTTTCGCTGACGCTTGAGTCAGTTGATGGTCCTTGCTGCTCAAGGCCATGGCTAGTCAGAGAAGTTGTTATGGCACTAAAAATAAAGGAAACGAACAAGCCGGAAGGGAACAGCCCTGGAAACACGCATAGTACAATCTCCAAGTAGGGAACAAGGAGACGGGAAAAGCCGACGCTGCCAGATTCTCAAGGAAAGGTACACTAGATCCCCAGCCCAAACTGCAAAGCTGAGATGTCGCTGCAAGAAGCCTTTCAACGCCAACCCAATGTAACGCTCCCTAGCCTCTCCAAGAATCTCGGTGGATGCAAAAGGCGTGTTCAACCCGAAAAGAGGGCAAGAATAGAAGTACAAAATTGCTCAGAACGCTAGGGGGAGATCAGGAAAGAGCCTCAGCCAAAAGAAAAGAAATTCGTGTTATACATGGGATCAAACAGTCAGTCAAATGGCGACGTGATTGCGGTTGCGTGGAATGATGGCCTAGTGAGCCGCCCATCTGTTTCGCAGACTATCGCTCCACCGGCCATACAGAACATCGGCAAGTTGCTTTGTATGCTCCATCCCGGGGGCAGCGTGGCCAGGAAGCTTCCCATCGCCCGAATGCCATGGCTGTTCAGTTGCGAGGTGGGCTGATTGGCGTCGCTTATGGTTCTTGAGATGTGGATTGTTTTGCGCCAGCATGAGCTTGGGTCTTTGAGGAGAATCCGCAGCGGGTGGTTTTGGGAGCACCGCAGCAGTTTTGGGATCACTAGAAACCACAACAGTAAGCCATATATTCAGCCGCTGATTACAAACAGGCCAGAACACTTACGCTTGAAGCTTTTCATACGAAGCCTTTACTATTTGATATAAACCCTCCGGGTCAACCATTTCAAGCTCACTCCAAGCTTCTGCGAGCCGGGAGATGGCGTCTCGTTTTCCTTGGTCCCAAGTGTTTACCAAAGCCTCCTGGCATGCCAGTCCGACTCCAATACTGTACATCCGTCTCCCCAGAGCCGCTTCCTTGCTTTGTAGTGCTTCGGAGGCGAAAGGCGTCTTGGGCGAGTAACCGTCCTCCGCTCCCGGATTATAGCCGGCTCCCTCATTCTCGTTGTTTTCTTTATCCGAAACACGTCGAAACTGTCTCACAGTGGATGGAGTATTGCCAAACGTAAGGTCCACTCCTAACGGTTGCTTTGCGCCGCTGGATTTTCGTCTACTGTTTGTGCGCCTCACCGACGATACACGTCGCCTAACGGAAGTCCGGCGTACTGTCGAGTTCATGACAGGCTTGGGTTCAGAGGTGTCATCTGTTATGTTGAGATTTTCCATCATCTCTGCTGTTTCGTCAAGATCTCCTAGCGAGTGAACCGATGGCTTCGGCCGCTTCGCAATGTTTCTCGTGGAAGTTATGGTACCAGGCCTGACAGTGTCGAAAACCCAACCATCGTCATCCCCATCATCATCGTGGAGAGCGATAGTATTCCTGTGTTTTGTTAGCCTCTCCACCTAGCACAAGGATCTCGGGGCGATTTCGTACAGCGATTCTGCATAGTACTTTACACCATCTGAAACTCCCTTGGTCGCCTCCCATTCTTGTCGTCGTTGGATCAGTTCCTGTAAAGCCTCTGTTTTCCCCGCTCCCCGAATGAATTTATGCCTCAACAGCTCCTTGGCGGTTGGCCGTCGATCCGGGTCCTTGACCAGACATTGAGCAATAAAATCCTTGAAGTGGGTACTGTACTGGTTTCCTTCTAGCCTCGGAGCTGAGGCCTTGGGAATAAGGAACAACACCTTCATCGGATGCGTGCTCGCATGCGGTGGCTCTCCGTTGACCATCTCCATCGCCGTGATTCCAAGAGACCAAATATCAGCCTTGAAGTCGTATCCCGCTTGCTGAATAACCTCCGGCGCCATCCAGAATGGCGTCCCGACCAAAGTGTTCCGTTGCGACTTGATGTTTGTCAATTGCGCTGCGACGCCGAAGTCCGCCAATTTAACCTTTCCTTTTTGCGACAAGAGGACATTGGCAGCCTTGATATCACGATGGATCTTTCCCTCATGGTGAAGATAGTCTAGACCGAGTAGAAGCTGATGGCAGATAATCGCGATATGCGCTTCGTTAAACGGTCCTGGTTTGAGCTGAAGTCATGCGTCAGCGGTCGGTCGCGGGCTTCGAAAAACGCGAACAGCATAAAGTACCAAGTCAAGACAAGAACCGCCACCTAAGTATTCCATCACGATCCATAGCTTGTGCCCCCGCAAGAAGCTGGTCTTGTATTGCGTGACGTGAGGGCTGGCGCATGTCGACAAGACAGAGATTTCTTGCTGGATTTCCTGAATATCATCGTCGCTTGACTCGAGATCAATCTGCCTCAAACAAAAAATAAAAAGTGTAAGCCCGGCGCGCATAGAAATGGGCTTGTTCTGTTTGGTTTCATACGTGTTTGATTGCGACGATCTCCCCGGTGGATTTCTCGATAGCTTTGTAAACGATTCCGAAACTGCCACCTACAAGTGATTGCGAACAGACATGAGCATCAGCGAATATCAATGGATGAGTCAAAGAGAAGTCTTACTCCCAAGCTCCTCCAGCACCTGGTAATGATTCGCCAACGCGCCCTCGTCAGCCATCGTTGCCCGCGGGGTAACTTATTGGGGGAGCTCTCAATGTTGCCGTTGAAGCTCAAACTCGAGGGTTCCACAACGAAAAAAGGTCAGCAATGCTAACAGACAACAATGCCCCAGAGCATGATCAGATCTAGATGGAGAGAAAGAGTATCCACAGGCGCGCTCGAGAGCTAGCGGGGTTTGTGTACGGGTGTTTGGAGGGGATTTTCCCCGAGACCAGCATTGAAAGTTGTTGTTCTTCAAGGGGCGCGGTCAACAATGCGCGTTGTCAAGGGCAACAGCCGGCACTTTGCTATGTTTAGGCCTCCCGACCGTTTGGCTGCACGATCTTGGGGCCGATTGAAACTCCCGAAAGCTTGAACTGCGATCAGGGCAAACATAACTAATTATCCGAAGCTATCAAGAGCAGTAGCTGACGATGGGTCAGTGCTTGCAGCCTTGGATGCAAATCGCTTTCAACTACAGCTTCTCCCAAAACAAGGTATCTGCGAATATCTAAAGTACACAAGACGTCTCTCTAATCTGATTATATATATTTGTATGGATTCATTATTCCATTCTGCCACAATGTGTTAGAAGTGCACCCTGCTGTAAGGAATGGAGATAGGCAGTACTCACAGGATCATAAAGGCTCTTCAGCTGCTTCATCAATTTCATCATGGTATCATTTTTACTATAACCGACAAACTCCCTTTTCGCGATCCCCAAGCCATGCTCGGCGCTGATGCTGCCATTGCGCTTCTGGATCCATTCGTAAACCCATGGTTCAATCATATTTTCAACTTTCTTTGTGTACTGCCTCACGGCAACATTCAAATGAAGATTCGAGTCGCCCATGTGGCCATAGCCCAACACCTTGCGGACAGGGTGGCTTTCGTCGTTGCCAACGAGCCCAGCGTTTGTGAGGCGCTCGTTGGTATCCTCAACAAGCTGATACAACTCCGAAAGGGGAATAGAGACGTCGTACTTGTACGTTCCTCCAAGATGGCTTAAAGCTTCGGTGATGCCTTCTCTCCAACGCCATAAGGATTGTGCTTGGGTTTCATCCTGAGCTACCACTCCATCTTCGACGATAGATTCGCCCATAACATGCTCCAAATACGCCTCCAGTTTCGCATTGTCGTGCTCCCCGTTGGACCCACTGGTTTCGACAAGGCAGTAGAACGGATACGATCCGTCAAGCGGCCTCTTGAGGCCGGTGACATCGTAAACCGTATCTTGGCTCTTTCCGTCCATCAACTCAAATGCTGAGAGAACCTCGGATAAATGCGCCTTGGCCTCGCGGAAAGCCTTGCGTACATGATCGTAGCTCTGCAGGCCAAAGTAGGCGACATTGACGGCTTTGGGACGCTGAGGGCAGATTATCGAAGCTCCTGTAATGATGCCGATTGTTCCCTCACCACCGATGAAGAGATGTTTCAGATCATATCCTGTGTTATTCTTCCGCAGAGCACACATGTCATCAACAATCGTACCATCGGGAAGCACAGCTTCTAAACCAAGTACATTCCCATGTAGACTTCCGTAACGCAGCAACCGTAAGCCACCAGCATTCGTTGCCAAATTCCCTCCAACATGGCAAGACCCCTTGGCGCCGAGATCCAGTGGGAAGATGTGGTTTCTTTCAGCGAGGTATTTCTCAGCAACCTCAAGAATAACGCCAGCATCCAGAGACAGGACGCCAGAGTTTTCGTCAAAGGCCCTGATCTGATTCATGCGCGATAAGTTGATCACAATCTCATCAAACACCGGCACGCTACCTCCAACCAATCCGGTATTTCCACCCTGCGGGACCACAGCCAGCTGATTGCTATTGCAGTACTTCAAAATCTGGCTCACTTCCTGAACCGACCGTGGCTTCAGCACCAGTTTCGTGTGTCCTCGATATTTTTTCATCCAATCTCTGTTGAATGGCTCGATATCGTCGGTCGCGTCCGTGGTGACGCCATCGATGACTGCGGACGGCGCGCCGAGAAGATCCTTGAAGAATTGGACGTGTTCGCTCGTTACTTCGGAGAAATTTGGGTTTCTTTTGATCTGTGGGTATGCGTCCGTGGTGAATTTAGGCTGTATCGTAGGTGTTGTTGAAGAAGAGGTCTCGGGGGCGCGAGCGGTCGGAGTGGTGCTCAACGGCCGGAGTGCGAGACAAGGGAAACGCTGTTGGCGGAAATTAAACTGGCCTCTGTTCGAGCACAGCCGCCGGAGGGCAGCGGACAAGTTTCTGGAGCCCGACATGGCCCAGGGACTAACTGTTTTGCTGCAGACAGAAAATGAGAGAGGGAGAGAGGCGTGCATGCATTTCAAGCTGTGAACAAAAGAAGTTGGCGCGCGAGCTTATCTTGCCGCCGAGCTCGGCAAAACGCCGGCGAACTCGGAGGACATCTGCGATCCTGATGCGCTCTTCAAGTCCAAACCATTGTCTGTACGGAGTATAGATATATACATTGATTTTAGCAGCATTAACTATTGTCGAGATGCATAGAATCTTTAATGACCGTTCTTTGATGGCTACGGTAACAACCCCTCCTCACCTCAGACCTGGCCTCGTACTTGGCAGCACACGCTTGTCTGCGGATTTTCGTCACGTCAGATGGCATATCCAGTGATTCCATCTTCTTTTCTCTCGGCCGGAAGGCTTCATCGCCTTCGAATCAAGTCGCAGCGGCAGTCCTTGCAGCCTGGGCGTGGATAGGACTGGTCCGCCACTGTCCACACCACCAAACTCTCGTTGCACAGTTGATCAACCTGCCGGTCACCAATATGCTCTTTGCGTTACCACCTCAAAAACAAGACAAGCAGCCCGTAACACAGCCATGTCTTGACTATTATCTCCAGTGAGAGCACAATATATCGGTGTCCCCGCTTAGTCATGCGAATGCCAAGCCTGCACTCCGGGTCTGTTGCGGCGTCTGTAGCAAAATCTCGATGTTTTTTTTTGCGCCGGAAAGTCGACCAGGCGGCATCGTTGCGACGAGACTCAGTCTTGCAGCTTCTTTATGTATTACTAGTCGCTCATTTTTATCGCCTTGCCGGAAATATCCTCACCTGACTTCCACCGTGATTGCCGCTCGTCGTGCTTTGTGAAGCCATGAACTTCCCAGGAATGAATAGACCCGGAGCTCCCGGCGCGGCCGCCGGAGGCATGAGTGAGCAGGAGCAAGCTATTGTGCGGAATGTACGTTTGACATCGCGTTGGTGCCTGAATCTGTCCTGACAATGGCTAACGTGGTAACCACAGATACAAGTGGCCATGGAATCATGTCCCGTCAAGGCCGTAATGGCCGGCGGAATGGGCTTCGTCCTCGGCGGAGCATTCGGTTTATTTATGAGCAGTGTGCGTCTTCGACAACCCGCCTCCTTTGCTTCTGCCCTCGATTGCAGCTCGCTCACACAATATCTTTATTAGATGTCGTACGATACTCCTCTCACACCTCAAGGCCGTGAAATTTCGAGTCTCCCCGTGCGCGAACAGCTCCGGCGAGGATTTAAAGACATGGGCAGTCGATCGTTCAGCTCTGCAAAGAACTTTGCTATCGTGGGGGCCCTCTTCAGCGGGACAGAATGCTGCATCGAGGGACTGCGCGCGAAGAATGACCTTACGAATGGTATCGCGGCCGGGTGCATCACTGGCGGGATCCTCGGTGCCAAGGCTGGTCCCCAAGCTGCTGCGCTGGGATGTGCTGGTTTCGCTGCGTTCAGTGCTGCTATCGATGCGTACATGCGACAGCCTTCGGATTAATGCTGGAGAAACCTAGGGAAAGACGTCCTATCATGCAGAAATTGCCTGCTACTTTGTTGGGACAAGCGGATACTGGGGGGTGGTTTTAATTATCAGAAGGCGTTCTAGGGGCGAGGCGTTTACTCTGTACAAAATATTGGGATGCATTTGCCGGCGTGATTATTCAGGATTGTGGTGATACTGATTGTGTAACTATTCCAATCTAGACCAACCATTGACTTTAGCGGCACATGGCCTTGTGATATCAAGAGCAGACATGGATCATTTATGAGAAATTATTGGTTCCAGCAGCCAGAGAAAGCAAAATGTTGGGAGTTGGGATCCGATCCGTTTCTCTTTGACTATTCACGCAAGTCAATGATGCAAAGGAATGCAGGGAGGCGTCTGGACCCGTTAGTTCAGAGAGACAAAGGTGCAACAGGCGCCTGGATGCCATCCTGCCAATGAGGAATCTATAAGCGGGCTCAATATTAATCAAAAGGGCTGTCCAACAGTCCTCCCGATAGGAATTGATGCAAGCCACCGGTATGCGCTCACAATTGGGGCCATTAGCTCCCTGATCCCGCACCCGTCCGTCCTGCTCCGGAGTTCTTAAGCATGGTAACTTCAAGATGCGATGTCATTATTCGCCACGAATGGATAACATGACAGCTCACTAGTAGACGGGAGTGGACTCGGAAAAAGCGCCTTTTCACAGCAAGTCCCCTCCCACGGTCCACCGTGTGATCGATTGTTGGCAGGCTAGCCGTCAATATTCAGACTGTTGGCAACAAACCGCTTGCTGGGCAGCCGCTTTCGCAACCCCGAGAATCCTACGGGACGCAGTAGTTTAAAGAGCATGTTTCCCCGAAGGATTTCTAGCTCTCAGGTTACTCAAGGCGACCGTCTTTTCTGCGTCCGGGAGACTGATCACCAGTGCCTGCCGATCTTGAAGCGAGAGGCGCACCTGGAGGAAGGCCACTTAAAGCCCAGACGCCCGCCTCCCTGTGTCGCACCCGCTGGATTGCTTTGTGTATTTTGCAGCTCTCAGGACTTTTACTATTGGCCTTTGGAGGCGATTGCTTTTATCTGGAGCGAAGAAATCGGTGGGAATGCGATTGTGAAGATGAATGCGAGTTTTCTGGTGTGTAAAATGACGTCTTTCCCCATCTCCAGTCATTTCTCGCGGCCGCAACTCGAAATGCAAGCTTCTAATTTGTCGTTTTTATTCTCCGCTCAGCAGCAGGAAAAGCCGCTTAACCGGGAGCCACGGCTCAGGGATCTTGTTTCCAGGTGTGTGGCCTAGCCGTTTGATCCCTGAACCGCGAGACTTTGCAATCCTTGTCAAGTGTCATGGTTCTCGCGCTAACAATGCAATGCCTAGATATATCACCACATCAGGAGGATATCATCGAAACCACAGCATTTTCCCCCGTATCGACGGGGGTTTACACCTAGTTCAGGTGGACGGCGAGGTTAAGCGTCCATCGACGTTTACCGTGACCCAGCTGCGAGAGGAGTTTTCTCAGCATGAAGTGACCTGCGCCCTGCAGTGTGCCGGGAATCGACGGCATACGATGCGAACTAAACTCAAAGAAGTCCGCGGAGTCGACTGGAAAGATGGCGCGGTGATGAATTGCACTTGGAAAGGCCCGAGATTAAGGGACGTCCTGCTTCGTGCTGGTGTCAAGAGCGAATATGCTGCCCAGAGCCCACTGCACGTGGAATTCTCTTGTTTTCAAGCCTTTTGTGAAGACGACGATTACTATGCGGGTAGTATTGAGTTATGGAGGGCACTGCAACCTGATAAGGAGGTTATTTTGGGCCTTGAGGTGAGATTGTCATTGTTGCAATGCCGCCTTGGAGTTCACTTTCGTCTAATATGGCTTGTAGATGAATGGCAAACCCCTTACTCGCGACTCTGGCTTTCCTGTTCGCGTTGTTATTCCTGGAATCATCGGCGCCAGATGGGTCAAATGGCTGGACCGGATCACAGTCCGAAAAACGGAATCTCCGAACTTTTACCAAGCTCATGACTACAAAGTCCTTCCCCCCGATGTTCTTACCTGGGAGATGGCAGAGGAGTACTGGGACAAAGTTCCATCCATGCAGGAAAATCTCGTTAATTCCGTTGTTGCGGTGCCCGACGATAACGAAATAGTTACTCGATCACCAGATGGCTTTATTGAAGTGAAAGGATACGCCGTACCCCATGGTGATCAAGGACCGGTGATTCGAGTGGAAGTGTCAGGGGACGAAGGAAAAACCTGGGTTAATGCCGAGCTATTCTGTGCTGGGCCGGCATATAAATATAAATGGGCCTGGGTTCTCTGGAAAGCACGGGTCAAAGTCGATCAGGGACCGAATAGAACCATCTACAGTCGCGCTACGGATGCGGGAGGCAACACGCAGCCGATGTTTTCAGAATGGAATATTCGGGGCGTTGGTTACAATGGATACGGAGCGTCTTGGGATGTGACAGTGCGATGACCATTCAAAACCCTGCCTGGGTCACTTTTCTCTTTTGATATCGTTATTTCGAATCATGGCCCACCCTACTTTGTATAACTATTTCCCCTGAGCGTTCTCTTTTGCGTTTTCCGCTATGCATATTGCATATGGTTTAGGGCGTTATTCAGCGCTTTGTCTTTTCCAAGCCTCCAGCTTAACTTCCAATATACATAAGCGACTTCATACAATAAAGTACGAAAGCAAGCAGATCAAATATATGCATGGGAATCCGAAAACTGCTAAATCTAGTGCCATGGGCTGATATGGGGGCAAACAGCCATGAATAACAACGAGGCATGCTCAAGCTAAATATATACACTCAAAAACACTGTATGTCCTAGATCATGGCAATACAATGTACTTTTCAAGATGCTTGGGTATCGAATCTCGAAGGTTCTTGCTCTTCAACCATGTATCAGAAAACAACCGATCCGCATATCTATAAGCACCGTCACAAATCATCGTAACGACGGTATGTCCTTTGCCCAACTTTTCAGCGACTTCTTTAGCAGCAACTACATTTAGAGCCGAACTGGCACCGATGTAGAGGCCTTCCTCGTCCAGACAGCGGTACACCATTTCAATGCTCTTTTCATCAACAATTTGTAGGGCGCCATCTAGGAGCTCAACGTCTGGCTGAAGGTTGTCGGTGACTCGGCCTTGGCCGATACCCTCGGTGATACTGCTTCCTCCTCTCTCTATAAGCTGTCCACCGCTGGAAATGTACTTGAAAAGAACGGAACCGGGAGGATCGGCGAGGAAACATTTCACTCGACCATCGCTCACTTCTTTTAGGTATCTCGTCACGCCGGCAAGCGTACCGCCGGTTCCTGTGGCGCAAGTGAAAGCGTCGACTTTACCCTCTGTCTGTGCCCAAATTTCGGGGCCGGTAGTTTCAATGTGTGCCCGGCGATTAGCGGTGTTGTCAAATTGATTCGTCCACACGGCATTCTCGAGGGATTCGGCGTGTCGTCTCGCTTGGTGATTGTAATTTTGGGGATTCTCGAACGCAACGGCAGGGACCGGATATACCTCCGCCCCAAGCAGTCTGAGTAGATCGATCTTGCCTTGCGATTGAGTGTTGGGCATGTAGATCACCAACTTGTACCCCTTGGAGCGGCAGACGTGCGCGAGGCCGATGCCCGTGTTTCCTGCCGTGCCTTCAACGACGGTGCCGCCAGGCCGTAGCAGGCCACGCTCCTCTGCATCCTTGACAACGTATAACGCGGCGCGGTCCTTGACACTGCCTCCTGGGTTTTGGAATTCCGCCTTCCCGAGAATGTTGCACCCGGTTTCTTCTGAGAGCCGATTGAGGCGGATGAGAGGTGTGTTCCCGATTGCTTTGGTTTTCAAGCCTTGCGTTAGCTTTGTCACAATTTAGCCACAAGGCGAGTCAAGTGTCTACCTCCAGTCAGCCCCTTCACCACCCCTTGCGCTTTGGAGACGCTGATTCCATATGGGTTCCGCGTCGCGGCTTGTGCTACCAGGTTCTCCATTCCCCGAAACGTGGTAGTAGAAAATCTCCGGACGCCATTGCGAAACATCGTGTACTTGGATTTTCGGATATGAAAAGCAACGAAAGAAAATGAGTGAAATCAGGTCCAGCAGAGTTCTCCTGCGGCTTCAAAAGCGCTTTCGTGTCTCAACAAGGCCTTCCTCCGTATCACTTGCAACAATTGCGTGATCTGGAGACGGGGAGCCGATCTCAACGTTGATTGGCGGATCACAACATTATCACGTGAAGATAAGACGGAGATAGAGATTACATAAGCAATTTATACAAACTGTGCAAACACCCAAAGCCCGACGGGCCGAATGGCGCTAAGCTGTACCTGGACTAGCGTGTGTTTATGCATCTGATCCCAAAACGGTTAAACCAAATCAATGGCAACGAGGCATCTTATCAGCGGAGTAAACAGACATCACTGACGACCACCCACCCCGTTCCCTCAGCGCGAAGGGAAAGCCCAAGGACAATCGCTATTTATCTGGCATTTTTGGGCCAATTGACGCTTTTATAGTTTGCAACGCTGCCCCGATTTGCATTCTTGCTGGACGGGCCGCGACACGTCCGAGTTCGCAGACGATTCGCCGTGGAATTCATCTCGACAAAAGATACACCAGTATGCCGGCCCGCTCTGGAACGCGCGCCTCTTCTGTTGCATCCACGCGCAAATCCTCCGTTCCCCCCTCGACTACAGGCGCCAATGTCTTCATACCCGATGAACCCGCAGAGCCCACTATCTCACCCAACTTACGTGCCAATATCGTAGAAATATTTGCGGATGCGCAACGGTCGACAACCGGGCATAGGAAACTGGTAGTGCGGCTGAGGAAGCTACAGGAATCGTCTTGCGGGCTGCGACCCTCGAAGGAGAAAGATAACAAGGGTAAAAGGCGAGACTCGGAGGTTTTTGAAAGCAGTTTCGGAGAAAAAGAAAAGCCTGCAGAGAGGGAGTTTAACATTGAGATATCTCGATGTCTATTACGGATACTACCAATTAAAAAGACGGAGGGAGCGGCAGATCGGGTACTCAAGTTTCTGGGGACATTCTTGAGGGCAGCAACAGATAAAGGTAGCGTGATCAATATATCATTCCCATTGCGCCCTTTCTCCTAATGAAGATGCAGATCTGGAATTATTTGGCCAGGGCGATCCAGATGAAACCCACACTCTACCGGAAACCCCAACTTCTAGGCTTACTTTTCATATTGTCTCTACTATGATTCCTTTCCTCGCAACAAAAGAGAAGACGGTACGATATCGGGCGACGCAAACAATTTCACATATTGTTAACTGCTTGGACTCAATTGATGATGAACTATATCACCTGATTCGACAAGGGCTTGTCAAGAGAATCAGAGACAAGGAACCGACTGTGCGAGTGCAGGCAGTGATTGGGCTCGGAAGATTAGCGGGTAACGACGAGGAAGATGACGATAACGATCAAAACGACGGTAGCTCAGCTTTGGTTGAGAAATTACTGGAAGTCCTTCAGAATGACACAAGTGCCGAAGTACGGCGTACATTGCTCCTTAACCTGCCCCTTACCCCAATGACTCTACCTTTTCTTCTTGAGAGAGCCCGTGACATTGATGCATCAACGCGACGTGCCTTGTACTCTAAGCTACTACCAACACTGGGCGATTTCAGACATCTTTCGCTGTCAATGAGAGAAAAGTTGCTGCGATGGGGTCTGCGCGATCGCGACGAAACCGTCAGGAAAGCGACTGGGCGCCTCTTCTCTGAGCGTTGGATTGAGGACTGTGCAAGCACTCAAAACGCAGGAGAAAATACGAATCAAGAAAAAGATAAGCTTGCTACGCCTAGTATGCCCGCTCTTACAGAGTTGTTGGAGCGCATTGATGTCGTAAACTCTGGGATGGAAGGTGGCATTGCCCACGAAGCCATGAGAAACTTCTGGGGAGGCCGGCCGGATTATCGTGAAGCAATTGTCTTCAATACACAATTCTGGGAAACATTGACAGCAGAAACAGCATTTATGGCCCGAAGCTTCAACGATTTTTGCCGCGAAGAGGGAGACGGAAGATACGAGGAGCTTGCAGATGAGAAGATCCCAGAAGTCACTGCTCTCGCTTTTTACTTGCACAAGTATACGACGACACTCCTGATGAGGATAATGCACCCCCAACAAGCGGAAGGAGGAGAAGAGGAAACTATGGAATGCGAATTTATAGTTGAACAGCTTCTTTATATATCTCTAACTTTGGACTATAGCGACGAGGTGGGTAGAAGGAAAATGTTCTCTCTCTTACGAGAAACATTAGCGGTTTCAAATCTTCCTGAGCAAGTGACGAAGCTCACTGTCGAAACCCTGCGGAATGTTTGTGGACCCGACTCGGCTGCAGAAAACGAATTTTGCAGTGTTGTACTTGAAGCTGTGGCCGAAGTTCACGACACAATTGTATACGAAGAGAGCTTCGTTTCTGCCAAGTCGGAAATCAGCGATGCGAGCTCCACGAGAGCTCGTTCAGAAACGCCTGGAGGCGGTAAAGAGGCTGAAGAAACGCCATTCAACAAGGAAGAAGCCAAGGCTAAGGTGCTTAAAGAGATCATGGTCAATATGAAGTGCCTGTACATCGCTCAATGCATGCTCCAGAACGTTGGGGGGAATCTGCAAGATAACGTTCATTTGGTGACGATGTTGAACAATCTAGTCGTCCCAGCGGTCAGGAGCCACGAGGCCCCAGTGCGTGAGCGTGGCTTGGAATGTCTTGGTTTATGCTGTTTGTTGGACAAAGTGAGTCTCGAACCTGCCCAGCTGTGTGATTATGGGGCCACCGCTAATATCCTGGTTTTATAGACACTCGCTGAGGAAAACATGAGTCTGTTTATCCATTGTTACAGCAAAGGCCATGAAGCTCTGCAAGAAATGGCATTACGTATTCTCTCCGACATACTCACGGTGCATCATACGATCCTTCTCCCAGTAATATCGCAAAATGACCCGAATGCTGTCACGCCACCACCATTCCAAAAACCGCTGCTGAAAGTATTCGCAAAGGCTCTAAAGACGAACTCCCCAGCATCAGTGCAAACTATTGCGGTGACGTCTTTAGCAAAGTTACTACTCACTGGCACACTTTCTCCATCAGGTCCTTCGGTGCCGCCCTCTATCAAAGAATTGAATGAAAGCTCCATCGATACCCTTCTTCAGGCGCTTGTTCTTTCGTTCTTCCATCCCCGAACTCGTGAAAACTTGTCTCTAAGGCAAGCACTAACATATTTCCTTCCTGTATACTGCCATTCCAGGTTAGTCAATGCGCAGCACATGCGCAAGATAGCAGTACCGGTTATTCGTGTTGTATTGGCGGCCGCAGATGACTTCTATGCTCTTGAAGCAGAGGAAGACAGCGACGGAGAGATCGACGAGAGTCTCGGTGAAAAGAAGTCAAAGCTCTCATGGCCGGTGTCATAGGAATGCTTGTCGAATGGACAGATGATCGACGAATTATCGGCCTCAATCCCGAAACGCCGTTGCCCGGCACATCAATAGTTCCAAACCCGCCTTTGAAACCAAGCGAGAGCCTTCACCTTGCTTTAGCCAAGGATTTGTTACAGCGTGTCTTGGGCGTCGGGGGATTTAGCGCTGCACCGAGAGAAGAGAGAAAACTGTTGCTTTCGATGCTTGGGAAACTATATATCCCCGTTCCTCCCTCGGCTCCTTCAAGGCCTGGCTCTCGTGCGCCTGAAGGTCCCGACGAACGGGAAAACCTGCGTTCGAGTATTAGATCGGGCCGATCAGACCAAGAACAGGGAACCATTGAAGATGACGGCGAGTTACTTCTAGAAGTCAAAGAGCTGCTTAATCAAGCCATTGCTTCCAACGTCGCGTCAGACGCCACGGGAAGAAATGCACTGGTCAAAGCCAAGAATGCGGTATTGAAATTACTTGCTGCATGCCGACCTGCAGGAGCGTCTGGGAAGGATAAGGATTCGTCGTACGTTAAAGAAGAACCTGAGGATGATAGCTATTTGCGTGAAAACAGGAGGAGTGTCAGTGTTGTTAGCGGCAGATCCAGCGTGGCTCCGAGCGAGTTGGCTGCTGTGGAGGAAGAGGACGAGGGCGACGAAACGATTGTTGTGGGAAAGCCGAGTGGTAGACGCTCGCTGGCGTCAGATGCCGGCACGGAAGTCTCTGTGCAAAGTGAGAGATGATGATCAGTGGAGTAATGATACTTATGGGCATGGGGGGCGCGTGTTTGATGCTTGGCTCGCTGGCGTTCAGTTCTTCGATCTGGGTAGTTATATATCTCTTGAAATGGAGATACATTTTGGCTTTGTTGAAATCTTTTCATATCGCAGCATATCTAAAGGAAATGGGAGCCATGTTTTTGATCTTGAGATCAACTTCAATGGGGAAATTTGAACACAGTTTAACCCTGACCAGAGGACGTTTCTAGGAAGCAAGGGAGAAAAATGAACGAGACGTAGGGGAATTTTCAATTGGCACAAGATACATTAGCAACAAAAAATGCAAGGGTAAGCTGGGCATCCAGGTTAGAAAAGAATCAGTAGCTGCGAGGACAGCCATCTAGTTGCAATCGGCGCCCAATACATAAAAAGGTTGGAGTATAACAATGGAACAAAATAGAAAGGCAATCCACCAAGCCGCACTCCAAAAACCGCCCACCATCCCAATGTTACCAACCCAGTCGATAAAAGGCCAAAAAGCGCTCCATCCAACGACCAAAAAGCTAGCCCGCTTTGCCCAACTCAACAAGCATCTCCAGAAAGAAAACAAACCAAAAGATCCAAAAAGCAACCTAAATCAAGCTGATTGAAAATAATCCAGGCAAGGAAATGCCTCCGTGATACTCCCAATCCTGCTGCTTTTTCTTCTCCAGTTTTCTTTTGCTGCGAAAATTCCATAACCCATTCTTTTTGTACGCTTCTATCAATATCCCATGTTTCCAGATGTATTGTCCCTTTTTGCTTTTGGCTTCCCGTTGTAAGAATAATGCGTCACAAAAAAGTTCGGAATGGATACAATTGGCCTGTCCAATAACCAAAATGACAGCCCCGATGCGGTGCTTTCCAACCCGATAAAATATTAAAGCTGTAAAACTCGATTTCGCAATGCCGACCATGAAATAAACCCGAAGCAAGTCCGTTGTCGCTCAATATGCTGACGATGGTAACGATATGGCCGATGGGAGATGTGTTTTAAGAAAGGGAGACTGAACAACACCATGCTAATGTTCTTGTTACATCGAAAATGGTGCCGTTCCGATCAAAAGCACGACGGCAATGACCGGAAAGAAGAAAAGGAAACCGCAAAAATTGGAAACAGAAAAAAAGGCGAGAGAAATACACAAATGGAAACTTAGATAAAAAGGGGGTTTGACCTGGGAGAGATCGTGCGAAAGAGTCGCCAAATGATGCCTTATATCGATGGGTCGGGAACCCAAGGCAATGAGAGCCAGGATGATGGATCGGCTCTCAGGGAAGTAGCATCGCTACATTAGCCGAAGGCATTTCGGGTCATTAATACCTCTTGTCCCAGAACATTGGCTCATAGATGCAAGCAGCTTGTTTATCAGAAGGTAACGATTTATAGTATCAGCCGAGACCTTCAACTCGTCTGGCGAAGTTGTTTGTGCTGTTCGAACTGGCCTAAATCAGCCTATGCTGAGGATTGCTTGTTAGAAGTACCGTTTCTGCGGCCATGAGGTTCATCTGCAACTGTCAATCCACCTAGGCCGGTGGAGAGGAAAGCGAAGGGGTCAGCGGACGAATCGTTATTGTAGAAACTGCCGTTTGAAGTGCCAACAGGTTGCTGCACGTGATCGGCTCCAGTGAATGCAGCCTGTGTTGCAGGGTTGCCGAAAGATGCAGCAGAGTGAGAGGCAGCGCTAGACCCATATCCAGTGTTCATTTGCCCCATGGGAGGATATGGTCCAGGTGCAGCTCCAAGTCCTGCTGGTAATCCGTACGTGCTGGGTGGGGCCGCAAACTGTTGGCTAAAACCGCCAAAACCCGCACCAGTCGATGGAAATGGAGCTGCGCCAGGAGCACTGCTGATCGAGCCAGGTCCCATACCAAAACTGGTTGAGGGATCCATTGGAGAAGGGAAAGCGGAATCCGCCACAACCGCTGCGCCTGAGCGTGGACCACCACATCGTAGGCAGTTGATGTTTTTGGCAAAGTTGTGGTAGCCGCAGCCTTCGGCACCGCATTTCCAGTCACCAGCGCGGAACGGTACGACTCCACCATTACCTCCCATACCTCTACCATGGCCCATGCCATGCCCGCCGTGATGACCCATGTGGTGAGGCGGAGGCAACATGTTTGGTGGCCCGTAGCCATAAGCATAACCCATTGGGTCAGGACCGGGGCCAATTGCCGGATAGGAACAGCGGAAGCAAGCCGTGCGACGCTGGAAGTTAGAAAATCCACATGATGGACAAGTCCAATCTCCCGGTCGAGGGCGGTTCTTGCTTGGCGGAAAAGGCGTAAGGATTTCGGCAGCGCGGTCAAGAACCCTGCTCGATGAAGGAGAGACCTCAATCGCCCTCTCGTTCAATGCACGACCATTCATGCAAAGACTTTCTGCAGCCTATCAAGGGATAAATATGTTAGGACATGGAGTAATTAGATGGGATGATATTAGCTGTTAACAAAGGATCATTGTTTTTGTGAAAACTTACTTCCTCGTGAGATGAGAAAACGGCAAAGCCAGTACCTGTTGGCTTGTGCTGATCTGGGGTCCGCAGAGTCCAGAATGCAATGGGACGTCCACCGAACTGGGTGAACCAGCTTTCTAACTCAGACTGCGTGGTGTCATGAGGGAGCCCACTCATGTGCAAAACCTTGCTGCGCTCCGCCAAAAACGCGCGGACGTCGGCTCTAGCGTCCATTGGACGGGTCAAAATTTCGGGGTGTTCGTGTGCGGGCTGAGACTTGCGGATCAGGCCCCGAAGAACACGAGCCAAAGTGATAACCTCTTCCATTGCCCGACGTGGAGACGCAGGAGCAAGTGCTTGAAGGTGGAACGGAAGATTGTGTTTGATCGGCGCAGAGGACTGCACAGGCTCTACTTCCAGGGCAGCACAGATATTTGCGAGATCGCTAGGCCCGAATGGCAGGGATTCTGGGTGGTGTTGCTGCCAGCGCTGGTATTCAGTCCGCAGATCGAAAGTGCGGGAATGCTGGAGGTAGGGGGGGAGAACGACGGCCTTGTCTCGCGCCTCACGAGGAAGCTGAACACGCATATCCCACGAATCCAATGTCACGAAGGCGAACTCGAGGTTCTTGGACAAGAGATGCTCCTGGGCGAAGGCATCGAAACGGTTCACCGCATCACGAAAGGTCCCTGCAGAGCGAACATGTTCCCAGGTCAGGGTGGTCAAGCTCGCTGGCCGTTCAAAGTTAGCAAAACAATAAACATTCCTTCTGGAAGGGTTCTAGAGCAGGGCCAGAATGTCCTGGACACGTACTGCAGAGTGGAGTGATTGGAGTGTTGACGGGCTTAACAAGGACGCTCTCCCGATGGAGCTGCATTTCCACTGTCCGTCAGCAAAGGTTGCATTCAAGTAACTCCCAGTTTTCCCGATCAGGTCCGACGACGGGCAGACTCACCTCCTCGCAAGATTTGGTGTCTAGCAGGATCCATCCCAGCTCAATTACTTCGGCTGAATCCTTGGTGACATAGACACCATGCTCGTCACAAGTGGTGGAGACGTGGATCACAATGTACCGGTCCAGCTTGGGGGATGGAGACTGCAGTGTTGATGCCATAGCTCACAATTGAGTCGAAAGGACCTACGAGATTCGATGAAGCGAGATGAGAAGGCTTGTGGGCAAGTGTCGACGGATGCTGTCGGCGAGCTGGGAGCAAGAAAGCAGAATTGAATCGAGGAGATCTTGTCGCCTAAAGAGGGAGAGAGAGCGGAAGAAGCGGCCAAATACAACGCACGCACCGAGGGAAAAGCAAGCAGGAAAAGAAAGCCAGAGAAACAGAAAAGCGAGAGCGGGAGTGCGAATGAGACAGATGGCGAGAAGAGAATTAGAGGGGGAGAAAGGGGACGAGTGTGAACGTCGAGCGTCGTGGTGAGAGGTGAGGTTGGAGAGAAAAGGGAACAAGTGGAGGCTTTTTTTTTTCTTTTCGACGTCGAGGGCGTATTTCCCGTAATTACTCTTTCACCACCCCGGGCTGCAGGCGGGCAACACGACCACGCCCGCGACTCTGCTGCATCCAGAGCTGCTGCTCTGGCCCGTGGCCGTCTTGCTTGCTGCTTCGCGCAGCTGGTGCACCGCATGCGTGCCGCGGAGCGAGTCAATGCGATTGTTCCCGCCGCTGCTCCCTTACCTGTATTCTGGCTGTAACCATGTATCTTTCCGGACCCTCGAGCAAAGCCCCCATCACCGCGTTGCATGGCCCGTTCAGGAGTCACTGCAGGGGCCTGGCTGGACTCCAGTCATCACTCATCAGTCTTGGATTAACTAGCCGATGGCTGTCGGGGGAATCCAGTGGCTTTTGGCTGAGGTGAGATACGTCCCTCCCCGACCACCCCAGCGCAACCGCAACCCCCCTGAGTGGCTTGGATGCACTGAGAAATTGGGCTTTTCGATATTACACTGAGACTAATACTAATATTAGCACCAGCAACTACCTTTACTCTTACTCGTCCTGTCCAGTGGACCGTGGTTGAATGCAACGGCTTCCTCCGTGATCAGGCAACGGTTGCTATCTTGCAATTGAAGATCTAATTCAGCTTGACATTGCTGATACCCGAGATATTGCCCTTGCCCATAGACCTCTTCTAGCCATTGGATAATGCAACCGCAAACCCGGGGTTCAAGGAGCGTAGGAACTATGAACCAATCTGAGTGGCTTCTGCATCAACATCCAAACCTCCAGACCGTGGATATTTACGTATATCTCAATGAGGGATCTATCTCGGTGACCAGGTGCTGAAGTGACAATGGGTGATAGAATGAAACCCAAGATCCGGTCGTGGCATTTGTAGAGCATGGGATAATCATAGCCTGCATGCCTTGGAGATTGTATTAAAACTGTGCCCCATCCGTAGATAATGGAGTCAACCACTCTGTATTTTGTCAAAAATCTTGTCGGCTTCTGGAACCTGAGACTGTCTCAAAAGCAAACTGTCAACAATTCTGGATTGTGAAGTTGTCAGGAGCAAACTTTCAATCCCAGCTTCTCCAGATGGTCCTGACCTGCAAGCATGCGCGAGTTCCACGATGCTCCATCTCAGGCTACTTGGGGGTGCACAAGCACCAAACCAAGTCACAAATTCACTCAAGCAAGCCACTTGGGCCTCTTATTCGTCAATTCACTGCCGTTGAGTGACAGTTTATAAATAGGATGCAAATCAGTAACTAACGGCCGTCCAGCACTGATGAAACAGCAACGTTAGCCGCCCATGCGAGCGGGTTCTGCCGTTCATTTGCTGCGAGAGCTCCCTCAAAAACACCGGCCCAGGGTTCTGTTGTCAGTGAGCTGGTTCACTTTCCCTCAGAGCTGCTGTTCCTTCAAAGAGAACTGAATCTGCATCTCAGAAATCTCAGCCGGAATTAACTGCAGGCATGGGTTTCCTCAAGCGCCTCCGATTGAAAGTCAAAGGCAAGAGCAAGAAGTCTGCGTATCCCGACCAGAACGAAGGTCGGTACGATGGCAGGGCCACAGACTACACGAAACGCCTCCCTCCCGCGATTCTGCGCCATGTCTTTGCTCAAGTATGTCCGCATTCGCTCGATGAATCACTTACCGCCTCCGAAGAATCGGTCGCGGTGAACGACTGTATGCTTTGTGATATGCGCGATCTGGCTCACTGCGCGCTTGTATGCCGCCGGTGGTGTAGCGGGGCCCAGGATCTACTGTATGTTCTCCCCCCTTGCGCCTCCCATGTCTCGAGGAATCGGCTAAATCGCGTATCGCCGCGCATTGTAGGTACCAACACGTCCGCATCGATGCCGTCCATTACTGCGATCTCGAAGTCTTACTAGCCGCGAAGCGAAAGAAGAGCTCCTGGTTAAATCATAATGCGGAACCGATTGACGCACCGAGGACCCGTTTATTGTTGTTTATGCGGACGGTCAGAGAACCCAATGACCTGGGACGGCTGGTTCTGTCTCTGCGCATGCCCTACATGACCCGGGAGACGAGCAAAAACGAGCTGGCGCGGACCGTCTCTGTTCTTCCGAATCTACGTTATGTGGACCTGCCGGTCGGGGTTTTCACTGACGACGCCTCGTCACATATGCTGAAGTTGGAATTGATGGCGCGGTGCCCGGATCTTCGCCGGATGAAGTATATTCACGGCTCAGAGGGCAGCTTCTCGGCGATTCCCCAAAAGCAACCATGGGCCAATATCGAGGTTTTGGAGCTCTCTAAGCTTTCAGTTGAGCCGACGTTACTATGCCAGGCCCTCAGTTCCTTCTCGCGACTACAGGATCTGAAGCTGGAGGACATGCACTGGTTGGAGGACCGCATGTTTGAACCGATGCCTTCATCACCGCAGTTTCCACCGTTACAACGACTTACACTCGAAGCCACTCCACAGATCACCACCACAGGGCTGACGGCATATCTCTCTTCGCCTCAAAACAGCCACGCGTTGAAGCATCTTTCACTCTTCAACACCGGCATCCTCCCTCAGGAACTACATGAGATCCTCACACGCGCCACCTCGCTTGAAACGCTATCCATTATCCACCAGGTCACTCGCGCACTTCCGACCGAAACCGTCCCTTTACTCTCCTCCAAATCCTTGACCCTCCTCCACTACGAAATCACCTCCGAATCCGGGCCGTACGGCGCCCAGCCGATCTCCTCGTCATATTACACCCACCTGATGTCCTCGCTCCTCGCCGGAAACCTCCCCGCTTTAAAGGTCCTCTATGTGCGCGATGCCCACTTCTCGGAGTCATTGATGCTCGCGCCCCCGCCCCGACTTGGCGGCGAGGGGGGTCCACGGCCGCGCGGAGGAGGATTCAACCAAATGCTCGCGGTGTACAGCAAAGGCGAGGACGAGACGGAATGGAATTTCACCAATTATGAGCCCCTGGCGGGATCTGGACGGCCCACGAGCATGGCGCGCCCGGTCAGTGTCCACGGAGCGCAGCTAGGTCCGTCCTGGGGGGAGAACGCGCGTGAAAGTGTGTTTATGGGGAACGGAGTCGACGGATTTCTTGCGGTGCCATCCGACCAACGGCCAAAGAGCAGTGGCGGATGGTCCCAGACCGGTTCGCGGAGGGATTTGTGGCGGTAGATTTGGAGGGATCGCTCCTGGTGTTGTTTTGTAGTAGCTGCAGGGACAGTCGAAAACGACGTAATGACTAATGGATTATGTGGGAAATCCCTCGCTATAATACTCCGTACTCTCCTCTCTTCCTGCGTAGATGCCCATACAGAAGAAATGATACTTGGAGTATCTACGCCGAACTAACACCGACTGTTCTGCTTATGTAAGTCAAGTTAGTCAAACAGTGCAAACATAGCTCTTCACCAAAAGAGGCAAGCACCAAGCACTGTGGAGCCGTGACTCATCGCGTGTCCTAATCCACCAATCACAGCGCGCCAAACGGGTCTCGCTTACCCCTAGCGCCACCATCCGCCAGGTATAAATAAAGCGTCTGCCGCCCGCCCTTCCCCCGAAGTTTTTTCCCTTCTTTTTTCTTCTTTTCTTCTTCATCCAAGTGCACGGGTCTTACGTTTCCAGTGAAGGTTCGCCTGAGGCAACGTTTTTGCTAGTTGAAAACTGCAAATTTAGACCGCTTCAGTTGGTCTTCGGATCGGCTGGGAATTTTTGAACAACTTTCACAAAAGTATAATATATATTTTTATCCGCTGTTGGACTGGAGGGGTCCCGAATGCCATAGTGGCTTTGGGACGGCCTTTACCGACGGGGGGATCTTGATGGCTTCATTGCTGTTGAGGTTGGCTCAGTCATTGGGCTTGAAGTGTATATTCTTGTTTTTCACTGGTTTGGTCTCCTGGTTGGGACCTTGCAGAGAAGAACTGCAGAGTTGTCGGTCGATCTGCTTGGGATGTGGTCTTGTCCCTACGTAAGCCTCCCCTTTTCTACATAACACGGAGTGATGAACACATGAATGTGAGAAGAAGCCTAGTTTAATAGGCGAAGACGTGCAGGTAGATTCCCCTATGTATACTAGTTACCTAGAAGAAACAAATCTGCATGCTAATAAATCCCAAACCCATCCTGTTCGCATCAGGTCTGTAAACTGCATGGTATCATTGGCTTCCCTCCCCGTTCCCGCCGTCTATGAGTTCGGTATTCGTCTCGTCATCGCTAGAAAGGAAATTTTGTCAAAGTAGAATGTAAAACCGGAATTGAGTTAAAAAAGGCGTCGTCAGTTTTCATAAAAGAATGCTTCACCCCGTTTCTATCAATCACCCGGGACCCTGAGCTTACCCAGCCCTGTGATGCTCAACGCTACGCAGCAAGCTCCCTTCTGCGAATTTACTCGACTGGCACACATCAAGTAACGGCCGTCCAGCCGTCCTGGCCCCCGTCGCCACACCACGGCCCGTCTGCGCAGAACCCTGCGCGTGGTTTACCTTATTCTGCGCAAGCAAGCCCGTGGGGATGAACGGCGTGTCTGGCAGCGGAACCGCCGATATAGCAGCTGGATGGTGTACCGTGCGCATCGTGTTCGAACGTTGGCGGGCACGTGCCGAATGCGCAAAGTGATCCGGGCGCTGGACGTGTGACGACATGGTGCCGCTCCGTTGCGGTTTGCGCCAGGTGTTTGCGCTGGGGACGACGATTGCGCCGGGGCAGAGCTCGGGGCCCGTGGCTTTGTCCACGAGGAGGGTTCCTGGTTGGGCGGCCACGCCACGACCCTTGCGCGCGTGCTGAGGTGGTTCTTGATAGGTTGGGGTGAGGTCGACAAGGGGCTTTTGGGGCTGCTGGATGGATTTTGCACGGTGGCGGCTAGAAGGGGGGGAGCGGATGGTGTTTTCTCTGCTTGGGGGCTTGCTAGAGGTGTGCACCGGAGGGTCTGAGGGCCGTGGGGGCAGCTCCAGATTATTTAGTAGGCCGTTGGCAGTAAATGGATTGTTTTGTTCTGCCAACTCTTTCTCACGCTCCCGCATTGCATTCTGGCGCACGGTATAAGTACGTCCCAGCAATCCCGTTGACGTGAATGGCTCACCGTCAACCGGTGGTTTCCGCCTGGCGGTCGTCGTCTGGCTGCGTCCACGACTCTTCTCAGTCGCACGGTTCGGAGGGTTGTGTGACCTTTTTGGTGAAGTTGGAGCCGAGGCAAGCGGTGAATTGGAATGACTCTTTATAGGAGTAGCTTTTATACTTGACGAGTTCTTCGGAGTTGGCGGGCCTTCGTCCGAGGGCGTGAGTGGTCTCGCAGCTATCTCATCCGCCAGCAGATCCATATCAACTAATGGCTTGAACGAACCGAGTTGATATGGGGTGGCAGACCCGATAGAAAGACGGTTCGCACTGTCGTGAGAAACCCCTTTCGCACCCGTTTGAGCTTCAGGTTTCCCATCATTGCTACCCTCTCCCATAACGCTGACCAGGTACCAGCTGCGCCACTGCTGCACAGCGTTATACCACTGCCAACCGGACTCTGAATCGCTCATGGAAAAGAAGTGTGCGAAATTGTCGGTTGTAAGGAACATGTTCGACTTTTGCTGACTTTTGATCACGAAGCACAGCTTCTTCGGTGGCTTAATCCGCCGATACTCCCGTTTCTTAGGGGAGTAGATGTCGAAGTCTGACATATGGCATATATTCGTAGACTCCGCGCCTTGCTTTTTCGCCATCAACACCTGGCCATCAGACCTCACGGTGATGAATCGCTTATCCCACTTCCCTTGGCGTTGGCAGTGGTAGATCTGGAAAGTTGCATCTTTTGGTTGTTTGCGAGGCGCTGATCGAACGTCGAGGCCTTCACTGACACTGTCGTCCGGGGCTGTAACGACTTCCAGATGATTCTGCGTATCGTCATCCCACGAATTCATCACGTCCCGAACATGTTCATATCTCCGTAACGGTCTTTCTATGCCGAGCTGCTTGAAGCTCTCCATCAACACAGCTGTCTTGGGATCGATTGATTCACTCAGGCAGTTTGCAGCAGAATACAACAGATCCTGGGCCTTGGTTGTGGGCGTGATTGGAAGATTGATAAAGGAGTCATTGCAGGTAACCAGCACCTTTCTTTCCCCAGCATTCACCGCAGAAACTGGGGTATCATCTGGCAGCCCAGTTGGTAAATCTCTCGGATCTATGAGTTTAGGAGAAGATATTAAAGTTTTCAAATCTTCCCTGGCGTCACGCTGTGTTTTTGAGGAGCTGTTTGGATCCACGCCTTTGATACGTGACAGGAGACCGCCTCTCTCTTTCACAAGCTTCTTGCTCGAACTAGGGGCGTTATGTATTGCTGCAGCTCTTTCGTTTGCAAGAAGCTCTTCACGCGTGCTTTTGTGAACATCCACTGGAGATTTAGGGTTATCTTGCACATGTGCATGTTGCAAAGGAGAGGTAGGAATGTGAATATTCTCAGGTCGTCCACGGGTGCGCTTGGGCTCTGCCTCCTCCCTAGGTCCCGGGGAGTAGATGGCTTTCAAATGTGACTGCATCTCCCCTGCAGATCGTGGTGGAGAAGGATCTCCTCCATCCCTGCGCCGATCCAAAGAGTTTCTCCCCAGGATACGCGAGAAATTCCCAAATTTCGGGCTCGACGGCTGTGACAAACTCTGCTTCGGCGCGTCATACACGGGTGCCACTGGTGCTTCATGCTCTGGTTGCAGCGGTGGTGCTTCATACTGGCTGCTTTCGGTGTTGTCAATCCAATTCTCAATGTCCGCGTACTGTCGAATCTGCGCGACGGGAACGGGAGGTGGAGGCGGAGGAGGTATCGAAGTCACGATCTTGGTAGGCTTCGCGTGGCGATAGCGAGACATGCTCCGCTGGATTGATTCATTCTGAGGTTGAGCAACGCCGGGATTGCTGCTCGACGGGTGGGTGGGCAGCGGAGGCGGCGCAGTCGAGCCAGGAAGCTGCTTCGCGGCCGCAGCCTTTCTCACTGATCGATATCGAGAAAACTTTGCGGGCTGCTGGACCTGCACCGTTGACGACGCGTCGTTTGTGCGGTGCATGCTGTCGACATCTGCTCGTGCGAACAACCCAAAAATGTCCCAAGGAATCAAGCCCGCGTATTTCAACCCCTTCTGTCCCGATGAGATGCCGATTGCCGGGCTGCGATCATTCACTGGTTCCGCTCTCGTTCCTTGTATTTCCTCCCAAGTGTGGAACTGTGGAGATGTTGTCCACGATCAAGGTGACGTCGATCTTATCGCGAATGTTACCAATGACAGCGGCAGAGGCCCGACGGGAGATGAGGCTTTTGTATTCGCCGGAGATCTGTTCAGAGAGGGAAAAAGAGTCAGCGAGAGCAAGGAAAAAGCAAAAACTCAATTAACTAGAAATGAGAGAATGGAGGTTTCAGGTGCGCCATGGAAACTGAGGGCCTGGGGAAGCGCACTCAGCGTATCTCGACTCTCTTCACCTTGCGACGCCCGCGTGAGGGCGCAGCAAACGTCCTCAGGCGGTGACTTTGCAGCTCAGGAAGACTAATTATCGCGGTTCTGCAGAGTGAATCGATTGAAGCCGTCCGGGCGTGTGTCGTCCAGGCCGTCTTCACGCTACGGCTTTTTAAGTTGCGCGGGCTCTCGACTGTAGTCTGTGATGTCACGAAAACCCTGCCCTAAACCAGGGGTTCGGCGGCCTAGAACTGAGGAGGAAAAATTGAGGAAAAAACAAAAATAAATCTCGCGACGATGAAGAGCGTACGGGTTGAAGGGGGAAAAAAGAGACCAGGAGTCGAGCGAATTTAACCACAAAAAAACATGGAGATAATTGCTTGTTGCTAAGACGAAGAAGCGTCAGGGTTTCCAGTTACATCGAGGCCCCAGAGTGGTTGGATTTTAAAATGAGGTTCGTTTTGCGGCCGCCCAATGGACCGATGGCTGCGATTGCGCTGTTCATGCATGGCCGCACGATGCTCTCCAGATGCACGGAGTCGGCTGCTTGTTGCATGCAATGCGTCGTACATGGTGACATACATGACTACGGAGTGCATACATGAGCGATGGGGACGACGAGGTACACAAATCTCCGTCCACTTTGGTCTCGCAGCGATGAAACAAAGCAATGCTTGAGATATTCTCTTCGTTGACAAAGACTTGCACATACATACAAACTAATTCCAGAATCGCCCGTCGGTGAAAGGCGCAGCAAGGAGCAAAGCCCTGCAGGCCGGATTCCAAGTTGCGGAAGCAAACCAACGGCTATCTATCCGCCCCTGGTTGACGTACAGGAGCCGCGATCGGAAATATACCCTGTCAGAAAACTCTCCAGCTCGGTATCAGACTCAAACTTCTCAACGTCGATAGGCACCGAGTTCTCGTCTCCTGCAAAAAAAGCTCGTCAGAATCCAGCGGCAGTTATCCCTGACTTTCAAACATGATCGTTGGACAGGACTGCCACATACCACCAAGCAACAAAGTCCTGAGTATCAACCGGGATTCCCAATTCCCTCAGCCCCTTCGTTGACAGATGCGTGTCGTACGGTCGTTGCACGCCCTCGCCGGGTGTACCACTTTGCTTCACCCTCTCCATACCCGACAACGGCAACCCAAGGATCTCCGCGAACCTCTTACAGATTTCGTATTTGGTCACCTTGTCCTCCGAGGTGAACTGGAGGATAGTTGGGAGCGAGCCAGCTTTGTCCTGCTCGCCAAGATACTTGACTGCAATGTCATGGCACACCCTTCCGACATCCTCGGTGTTTGTCGGATATCTCACTGACCAGTCATCCATCTTGACCTGGGCATTGGCGTCCTGTGCCTTTTGTACCGCATCGATCAGAACATTGACCGCGCTGTCGCTGTTGGAATTTGCGGATCCGTAAAGGACCGGTATCCTCAAAATCACCCCCTTTCCGGTGCCCTTGGTTGTCTCAAGCACAGCGATCTCTCCATCCCGCTTGGTTTGCCCATAGATATTCGGAGGCTCCGTCTGCATCGACGCCTCATAAGGAGCTTCGCCAGGACGGCCGGGGAAGACGTAGTCCGTAGATATATAGATCAGGAGAATATCCCTCGACAACGTTGCCTCCGCAAGCGCCTTGGTGGCCTCCACGTTGACATTGCGCGCGAGGTCAGGATTGGCATCGCATTGGTCTGGGAATCGGTTGGCGGCGCCTGCATTGCATTAACACACATACATCCGCCCCAAAAACCAAGAGAGTCACAGCGCCAGCACGGGCCGTCCAACGGAGCCATTCATCGATCCTCGATGACGGATGGGAGCAAACTTACAGTGTACAACCACTTGCGGCCTGTCCACCACCGCCAACCGACATCACCGATTAGCCCTATTCGTCTCCCGCCTCCAGACAGAAAAAGAACTGCCTTTCCCATATATTCCACAGAGAAAAAACCACTTACTTCACCTCGTCCAGTAGTTTCTCAATCTCAGCAGCGCTGGTCAGATCCGCCTTGACGATGTCGGGCGGGGCAGCCCGGGTGAATCCTTGCCCAACTGCTTCCCAATTGACGTCCTTTTTGAAGGCATTGAGCACCTGGCGCCCAAGGAGGCCGCTTGCGCCTGTGACAAGAGCTTTCTGGGGCATGTTGGCCGGTTTATGGATTCCGATGGAAGTGAGACGAGGAAGCGTTGCAATCGAGGGACGAACCAGAAGCCTTTTGGCTCTGATATTTTAACTACGTCATGCCACGCAACAGTTGTACAGGCATATTAGGTATTCAGAGAATACTTCATGTTCATCACATCTGATTTATATTCGCTAGAAGCTTTTAGGAGTTGATGCAATAATTGAGCAAATGAGCTATTATGCAAAGTTTAAAGCCGCTAGTACTCCGTATTTCTACCAATATCTCCACGCTACACTGAAATCATCAGCAACCCTCTGGATCAACGCCATGTCTTTCTCTCTCTGCGCACTCGCGGCCTCGAGCACTGCATCGGCATGGTGCTGCCCCCAGGTACTTTGAAGAACGCCCCACGCCTCAAGCCTCGCGCGATCCCACATCACGTATCCCCATTTTCGAAGGGGGAGCCGCTCGTCAGCAACAGCGAGGCGCCAGTAGGTTTCCGACTCGCGCGCCCAAGCCCATGCGTCCAAAGGGCCCGTGTCCGCATCTGCCGATGACGGGAATGAATTCCTTATATCTTCTATTTCATCGGCTATCGTACGGTAAAATTGTTCTCTCGTGCAAGTTCCTAGACTGTCCTCGAGGAACCATCCTTGAGAGAAGTAAAGCGAGCTCCGATACCTTTCACTGACGAGTATTCGCGGGTCATGAAAGATCATGTAGAGGTAGTCTAGACCCCGAGCCATGTGATATGCAGTGCAGCCGCTATAGATTCCCTCCTCCACTCTTACTAAATATTCGGACCAGCGGGGGAAAAACATAAAAGCTGTCCGGAGAACTAGAGTCGGTTAGCTTTATTAAAATTCATTGGTGAATACAGATTACGCATACCATCTTCCATTCTTTCCCACAGGTATTCATAGACACAGGCAAGTTGTTCATTTTCCCAGGGAGGGAACATTCTGTGGAAGAGGCCCTTTTCAATTTCGAAAATATCGTCAGAGTAAGCCTGCTCATCTGGTCGCTTGAACAGCTGGGAGTATATCTCAAAGCGATACAAGGCAATTTCGATGCGGTTGATTTCTTGCCTCGATAGTTCCCATGACCCCGGTTCTCGCTTTTCTGGAGCGAATGGTGTGCTGAACATCGTAGAGGCGAAGTCGTGTGTAAAATATCGAACAACGTCGTTGGTTCTGCTGATTTTCAATGCCGTTGAAAGTGTCCACCTCCGCTCGAGAATTGAATGTGCGCGCGATCGAAGGGCCCTTTCAAAATCAACCGTTTCTTTAGGTATCCAAGAGGCCCCGTGTATGGACACGTCGTGAGCGAGAACAGCACGTTGAATTATATCCGGATTTAGTTGGAAGGTTATGACATTCAAGGTAAGTAAATGTTCGGCATCCATGAAAGCTCCATACATTGCCGGGCAGCTCAATGCCGCAGCCCTCAGAGATATCACATCTGGAAGGGCAGCTAGTATCAGTTGTTTCAGCTCTGTTGGGAGGCCTTCCAGGCATGGTGTATGCATAACGTAGTAACTGTCCAATTTCAGCATCAGGGTTAAACGGCATAGAATATTCAAATGGAATCCAGGAACAGGAGACGCGCAAGTTCCTTGAAGATGAGGGTTGAGGTCTGGAAGATTAGTCAAGCAGCGAGGGAAGCTCCGGTTAAGTACGCACATACTTCCATACCGCTGTATAGAACCAAATAATCATAGTGAAATCGAAACTGGGCGCAAAGTTTTTAACCAAAGCAAATGCCATGTTTGCTGAAGCAAGCCTCTGTTTGTTATATCACCTTACAGTATAGTCAATAGTGCTAACAAATAGTAAAGCAATTGAAGTTGACCTTCAAACCATCACTCGAAAATAACCAACTGGAACCGAAAAGGAGAATAGCCAGGTGAAGGATGGTCCTACATACGAAATGTGAAGCCCTCAGAAGCCAGAAGTATGGGATGTTCGAGGCCTATAAATTCTTGCGCTTTGGCTAGAGTTGATGCATAGAAGTATCATCGACCCAAGTGCAACCGGGTACCAACGACTACATATTCGACAACATGTCTTATCCATATGGCGTGCCCGCAAGAGAGAACGAAATGTACTGGCGGGATGGCAAAGTATATATGCACGGGCAAGAAATCCGCAAAAGCAATGCACCAAGCGGAAGTACGAATGCGACAGGCACTCGAAATGACCGCGGGTCCGGCTCGGTCCCAGGGGATCGCGAACCAAGCAAGATGAGGCGACGGGCAGTATCAGGCCTTCCAAACACATTATTTGGGGGAGCCAGCCAGGCGAGCGCACCCCTCCACGGAGCCGACAAGCACGATCACTTTCGCAAGGCACTCGACGGGTCATGAACCACCGGCCGATAGCCGTTTTGCAGTGGATTCCGCTAACTATCATAGGCTGGATGCGGAGGCACGTTTATATAGACAGCAGTATCAATCTTTCCGAAAAACTGCAAGACCTCTCGGTCTGAGAGACTTTATCAACGAGCCGGGTATGTACGATGGAGAGCCCCGGGAATCAATGGCGTGGCACGATCGAGGTGCAGCCATGGCCCAGCATTCGAGAAACGTGTACGAAGGGTAGGTTTTCAGATCCAGACAAAGACAAGACTAGACACTAAAGGGTTTTCATGTTAGTGTCGTAGATGCTCGCCGGAATATGGCCAACGATTATATCGGATACGATTTGCAAAAAGGGCGCCGAGGCCATAAGAATCGAATAGAAAGTTCTGAGAGCTCCGCCCGCCATATGCTCAGAAAGGAAACGCTCCATCGAACAACCCATGGCAGGCGGCCCTAATCAAGGTGCTAATGCACGTTCATATTTCATACTGGTAGCCTAACATATCACGCGAGTCAATATCAATACCATCTTAGATAGACTGAATAAAGTGCGAGCATAGAATCAAGCCATTTCATTGACCCACCATTAGACCCAGCATGCCATCTTAACTCATCTCCCAGCCCCGAGCCCCGTCTTCGGCTTTGGTGAAGCAAGACGGTCAATATATAGTGTGCGATGTTCGTCTGAACCTCAAACTTGCAGGCAGGAAGGCAGGGTGGTCGGAGGAATGTTGATCCGATGAAGGGGTCAAAGTTCACCGCCTCAAGGCTGCATCTAGGGCGATGGGCAATGCATGGCATATGGAATCTGTTTTAAGCAAAGAGTTGTCTCAAATTGTTGTTACTGTTTTGTATAATCCAAACATCTAAGGGTGCTTGTTGAACTGGATGTGACATTAACAAAGTACAGGTCATTATAAAATTCAAGGCATAAGGCTGCAAAATATATACAAACGTACGTGAATGCATCATACATCATAAGTTCTTCCAGGCTCCCTATATATACGCTAGAAATTATACATATCTCGTGATTCAACTGACATAAACTTTGGCTGGACGTTCTATGTGTTCACGTCGATACCGTCTTGTTGACACTGGTCTTTCCGTCTCGATATACGACGATGATCGTCTCCGGTGTCTTCTGGGAGGAGAATCATATCGGCTTTTGCGATAAGTGACCGTGTCTGACGCATTTGTGGAGCTGAAGGCAAGTTTGATAAGCCAATACAGGAGGAAGGTGCCGATTATGCTGCCGAGAACGATGCCGGCGATGGCGCCGCCGCTCAGACAGTCGCAAGAGACCGGTTCCGCAGGGCTGCCGCCGGATTGCCGCGCTTGGAGGAAGTTTGACGGGAGTTTCTAAATCATGTCAAGTCAGAAATGATTGCCATTGAGAAGGTATCCCATTTGGGCCGGGTGTGCTAAGTTAGGGGCCCGGGAGAGGAACCAACCATTTTGTGTCTTCCAATATGTTGACGTTTCCGTGGAACGCAAGCGGGAACGGCCCAAAATCAGAAATGTTGAGATTTTGCAAGGTTCTAGCTAGGCCCAGTGTTTGCCAAACAATTCCAAAGACTGTGCCACAGGTTTTCTCTTCTAAAGAGATTCAATTGACTGAGTCAACAGGCGCAGTGGCAGAACGAAGCAGGATCAGAAAATAACTGGGGAACCGGAAAATTCTGGGGAGGCACGCATTATTACAGCCGGGCTCCCAGGGGAAGATCCATCAGACTTCCAACGGGCGGCAGGGCAATGATGTCAGGGTCAGAGCAGGCTGGCCATGACAGACACGACGCGACGCCCCTTACCTTCCTTAGTATAGAAACTCAATTGCGACCCTAGATTCCGCCCGTGACATAATGCCTTTCGGCATATCAGTCACCCGTAAATACGGGGATTTGAACATTCTCCCATCTCATCCAAGTTCTGAACGGTGCCTGACGTCATCAGCAAGTGGAGAACCGAGTTGTTCGGGAGAGGGTTATTCCATTCCGAAGGTCCGGGAAGCGGAGGAATTATTATCCGAAGAACGCGGTTGGTGAACCTCGGCGAGTTTCACAAGTTCACGAAAGCGCAAGTCTTCGATATTATCAACTTGATGCCAGTTGGTGGTCGAATCCATGGTTGTTGGGGCGGAATTGTTACCAAGTGATGTATATAAATTGGAGACTAATATCACAAAATGGAAGTTCCCATAGCATGGTCATCAAATAGCAGCCCCTGAACACCTTGCTTGAAATTGTCGCTCAAATAAACCAAGGAATTATGTCGAAATCATAGATGAAACGAACCATGTTTAGGGTCTTGTCAAAAGTCTAGCGGCTCCCGCTCCGATGAAGAGGTAATCTCGCAACTGCGTTGCCCTGGGAAAGCGTCCACGCACCACCAGACGGACTGTGCTGCCACCCAGAAGTGGTCCCGCTGAAGCCATCCCTCGAACTCGCGCGGCGAGACGCAGCAGTACTAAACGCCGAACCACGGCGCTTCATCCGCATGGCGGCGTCGCGAAGCTCTTTCTCATGCAGGGCTTCCGACGGGAGAAGAACGGCGCGATCGAGCTGGTACGGTAGCCCACGGTGCCTTCCTCGGATCATCATGGCGATGATTACCAGTTTCGAGATGACTTTGAACTGTGCAGAAAAGGACGTGTTGGTGTTGGGGTATCCGAGCGACAAGCCGACGGTGCCGTATGCAGACACGACCTCGAAGAGGATTGCGAACATGGTGAACTGAGGGTCATCCTGAAGGCGTGAGCCCTCGACGATGGCGATGACGAATAGACCCAGGAATATGTACCAAATGTCGAATCCAAGCTGTCTTCGTAAGTGTGAGCCGACATAGCTTGGTTCTTTGGCCGGATCTTCATACTCCTCCTCCTCCTCTTCTCCGCTGTAGTAGATACCCAAGCTCTTTTCTTCGTACACGTTCGTCCTCCGTAACGAGATCGCGATGGGGTAGATGGATATATACATCATGATCATGTACGAGACCTGGACTGCCGGATGGAGCGCCGAGAGACTGACCACGGACAAGCCGGCGGTTCTCGTGGCTGCCGCTTGAAAGAGCCCGTCCACGAATCGTATTCCGCCGGGTAAACTCGAGACAGCGCGATCATGCAGCTGTTGACACCGTTAGAATTTGTTACCCATCAGCTTTGCATGATCAAAGCACTTACATCCAAGATAATGAAAAGGATTAGGTCGGTACCGTTCAAGATCACCAGGACCCAAAACAACCACCATGTGGCAGAACTGGGGAATAAAAGAGTGAAACATCGCCGCGGGTGGTCCAGGAGAAAATGTAGTTCTTCCCAAATAGCCGTGTGCTTGGGGAATATTTTCCAGAATAGCCAAATAACGAAACGAAGCATGCAAGGAAATCCAGTGTTGCCAATAATGATGAGAAAAGTCATCAGCAGCAAGGGGAATATAGCATCATAAAAGGACGCAAGGGAATCGGGAGTAAGCGAGAAGCCTTGATCGTTGAACGCGGATCCTGAGATAAAAACGGCCCACCAGGGCCTACCGACACCAACCCGGGTGACGAATTTGCCCCAGTGCGTATGCAAAATCCAAGGGACCAAAGAGACGATCCCTAGGATATGGAAGAAGAAGAAATACCCGGCCAAAACGTAGGCTAGTGTCTTCAATGCTCTGTATTCAATACCGCCGAGTTCATTTTTCTGGTCCTCGCTCAAATCAACAAACGCCGAGTTCCTCCCAATCGTAGGTTGCCAGCTCAGATAAGGTGCATCCCGGGCCCCAACGTGGGTACCGAAGAAGAAGAAGGATGCAAGTGTCCCCTTTCTACGCCGCAGTCGCTGTTCAGGGGTGGGCTCTTGGTTGTAAGCGGCGTCATTATCACCAGTGAAGCGAGAGTTGACGGGAGGAAATGTCGTGGCTCGTCGAGAACGTGCGATGTTTGGCTCGTCTATGGTGATGTGCTGTCTTGGGGAAGGGAGCTGCTTCAAAGGGTCTCCTTGGTCTGATCGAGAAGTCCTCCTCCGCATGAGAGTATCACCATAATCAACGGCCTCGGGTACTCCGCCTCTATCGAATTCACGAGGACTAGGTATCCTGAGCGCTGAGGTTTGCCGTCTCTGGTTTTCAACAAAGGAGATATGGTGTTCAGCACCGTACTGTGCCGGATAAGGTCGAGTGCTGTCTGTGGAGCTGTCCAGAGGCGCCTCCGCTGCGCCAGAGTGTTCGATTTCTGCAGGCAGAATCTGGTCACTCACTCCATCCGTTGGCGTCAAGTTACCATGGTCCGAGTTTCCTTCGCTTTTCCGTTTGTTCTCCTCGATAAAACGCCCCAAAGCCTGGCCCTCACTGTTCCGCAACACCGTTATATTCCGGCCCCGTACGCCCATCTCTGCTCGATTGGCAGCATCAGTATCGGTGGGCACGGCCCTCGATCTTGTTCGCGTGCGCGTTTTTCTCAACATTTTCGCCTCTCGCACGACATGTTGGAATCGCTTCTCGAACCACCGCAGGCGGATAAAAACGACCGATGAATGGATAACGATGGGATTCGCGATCATCGAACCCAGCCATAGTCCCACCTGTTGATATGTAGAAATGAGATTCAAGTCAACAGTATTCAGCCCGCTTTGAGTCGCAGAACCTGCCGCCAGGAACAACGCATCGGTATAGGACAAGTGTCCGCCGGGATAGAGATAGATTGATCCGACGATGGTGACCCCGAGGATGTAGGTGTAATGGAAGAAGATGAAGTTGAATTTGATCGACTTGACCCATGGTATCTTGCTTTTGACCTCGCAGAGTCTTGTGTAGCAACGCGATGCGAATCGAGATACAGACACACCCGCTTCCCTCAACCATGCCTTCTTCGGAGCGAGTTTCGACATCCGTCCAACAGCCTGCCTGTCGAGGGCCAAAACGCGGCCCACAGGACTTGGGAAACGGAACTAGTTCTCAGCACAAACGACGATCCTCATATAGTACACATCCAAAATATATTCCGAATTCAAAAGTCAGACCATCTCTTCCTTTTGCAAGGCACAATGACGTCGAATTCGACGATGCCAGGGCGATTATCAGCCAGGGCAGACGAGCTGTTTCTTGACACAGGATCGACGAAAGGATAGAGCCAAAACCAGCGTGTGGCACACATCATGGGAAGATTGCTTCAAAAGAACCTGAGCCGAAGCCCACGGGGTTAAAAGGTTTGGAGAAAAGGCTGCTGGCGAACTGTGGATTTCAGACGTCAAAAGATCTTCGCCGCTGAAAACTTTGGTGGGCTCAATCAGACAGGCTGTGGCCTTTAGCGGACGACACCAAGTTTGACGCCTCTTTAGCCCGGAGCACTGCCTGGGATGCTGCGTATACGGGCTGCTGGGGCGTGGCGATATGCAATCTAGACTTTTTCCGATGCAACAGATAACCTTGGCTCGACAGAGGGCGAACTCAGGGCTCCCTTCTCGGTGCTCTTAGCGCCAGAGATGCTGGAAATACTCGAGTGTCAAAACGCAGTGGCAATTGAGTGAGAACTCAAGGGAATATTCGCAATTGGCGCTGTTTGAATGCTGTTGTTCTCCATAATCGTTTTGATCATGATGCCTCAGTGTCCGAGTTAGTGACGTAAGATGTGCTATATGAACCCCTGATCCCTGAGACTCGCTTCCCCAGACTCGCCAGGGGGTGTAAACAGCCGATGGTCAATATCAAACGCGAAGGGACGATTCAACACGGCCAGTAGCTTTGCATCCGTTGGTAACTGGCGGCTCTCATCGGGTTAACTGGCTGATAGTGAGAAGAAACCAGCCGTAGTGTGGCAAAGAACTGCCCACAGTCATACCCTTCTTGGAGGCTTGAACCGAAATAAAGCCATATCATTTTCACGGATAAGTTGAATAGCAAGATACCTAAGTACCGCTAAAACTAGCGGACGGGCTGGATCTTTATCATTTCGAGCTACTCCGTACAGGTTTAACTAACTCAGTGGTCCTCCTATTCTCTTCATTCAAGCTTTGTAGTCAACAGAGGCCCTGATTGCGTCCATATCAATAGTCAAGGCAGTTAGAACAGACTTTATCCACAGTTTTAGCCTGGAAAGCACTGTCAAGCTTACTTATTCTCTACCGTAGTACGCTGAGAAATTCATGTCCCGAAGGCGAAGTATGGTTATCGGTCGGGAAAGATCTCAATTGAGCTGGTGACAAGTTCGTTTCTGTCTGAGGGACGATTGCAATATTTTCCACGGACTTGATTTTCACATTCGCATATCTCTGTTGTCGACGGGTCAACGGCTTTGGTTGAGAGACATCCGGATACCGATATGGCTATCCGAGACCTAAGGAGCTGCCTCGGATAGGCACCTAGCTGTCAACCATTATGTTCGGCGGGTGGTATCCTGGGAATGCGGGACGTCTCCGCATTGACATTGGGGAACCAATCTCCACAGGAACGACGGATGGGAAATCGAATATCAATGTCGAGGGCTAGCATGCGCTCTTTTATACCTGAACACCTCGCTCCAGCACGTTTTACCTGCTGTTTTGGCATCTCGGGCCTGTGACACCAGCTGCGAGGAAATGGGGCCTTGGGTATTGACCTCCTTAGTTGCAGGCATCTTACTCTCTATCCTGGGTAAGTATGTTGTTTCCGAATGGCACACACTGAGCCCTGGTGTCGGGGCAATGGTGGTGACGTCCAGCGGACGAATTCACGGACAGGCTGCGAAAACACGTCCCTGGGTATCTGAGTATCTGGGAATACCCTACGCGCAGCCGCCGGTTGGCGAACTTCGCTTTGCCGCGCCGGTTGCATTTCGATCCGACGAGACGCTGAGAGCTGTTGCCTATGTAAGTTCTCATGATTGACTGAGCGAGTCGGAATGCTGACACTCTTGTATAGCCCAAGTACGTATTCCGGTAGATGGAAGGACTTTGAAGCATCTGAGCCTTTGATAACAGGGATTGCCCGCAAACGCCTTCTAAACGCGTCGTGTACCCCAATGCGACGGAGCTGTTCCCTGAAATCATAGCAAATTTTGCCAGTCAAAAGGGCAACCCACAGAGCGAAGACTGCCTGAAGCTCAATGTTTGGTCAAAGGCCACCGGGTCTACGAGGAAACCAGTTCTGATCTGGTTTCACGGAGGCCGTATGGTAACCCTTGATTCACTGGGCCTCGCATTGATCTCTGATATTCCCATGTTTGTAGGATTCATCGGCGGAAGCACGAACAATCCTTTTTACCAAGGCCAGTACATGACCGACAAAGAAGATGTCATCATTGTCACCGTTAAGTGAGCTATCTATACCTGAAAACTGGCCGCCTTTTAATGAATGACACAGCTATCGACTCAATATATTTGGTTTCGCCGGAGCACCTGGCCTGCCTCAAAACGTCGGTCTGCTCGACCAGCGCCTTGCTGTGGAATGGGTTCGAGACAATATCGCTGCATTTGGCGGCGATCCAGATCGAATTACCATCTTTGGCCACTCTGCAGGAGGCGTGGCTGTTGACTACTATACATATGCTTGGAAGCAAGATCCCATCGTCAGTGGCGTCATTTCTATGGCAGGGACAGCGTTGAGTATGGCCCCGAATACCCCAGCGGAGTCCACCAAATATTGGAATGCTGCCGTTACAGCGCTCGGATGCCAGGACTCTAGTGATACAGTTGCCTGTGTCAGGTCCAAGCCGTTTTCAGAGCTTTCTGCTGCAGTGTTGAAGGTTCCGCCGGAGCCCAGCAAGGCACTCCCACAGCCAGTTTTCCACCCAACAATTGATGAGAAGGTGGTGTTTTCGAATTACGAAGAGCTTTCAGCCCGGGGAGAGTTTGCCAGAGTGGTACGTTGGTCAATTCTATTCGTTCAATGAATCCCGTCATCCCATCACTAATAATCGCCATTAATAGCCTTACCTCGTCGGCAGCGGTGACTACGAAGCCGGATATTACAAAGTATCCGCACACGGAGCAGGCAAACGTCTAACCGACGACCAATGGAACAAATTTAATCTCGCCGCGTTTACATGCTCTTCGGCCCGTGCGGCGCACAATCGCGCAACCCACGGTGTTCCCGTCTGGAGATATCGCTACTTTGGCCAATGGCCAAACACCGCATTGTACCCGGGCAGTGGAGCATACCATGGCACCGATGTGGCCCAAGTTTTCGGCACCGCCGCAGATGCCAGCGGCGCGCCAAACACGGATGCCGAAAATCAGGTATCTTCGCTCATGTCGCATGCCTGGGCGGCGTTTGCGGCCAACCCTGCGTCTGGACTGTCTGAGCTTGGATGGCCACAGTATTCTTCTTCTGGTGAGTCAAAGCCCCACGAACATGCGCCCCGTTGCTGTGATGTTTGATAAGGGGGAAATACTAAATCTTTTTCTTTTAGGAGACACCTTGGTACGTTTCGCTTTTGAAAATAATGTTGGCGTGACATTCGCGGCTCCAGAATCGACGGACAGCCGTTGCGAAGAGATAGGAAGTGACATTTCGTATGGGCGAGGCGCATTTTAAATCGACCCATGGAATCGCGTATACGGCATTCGGGGGAGAGATTGGGAGATAGATTGTGAATATAAAAAGAGTTCGAATGTATCATAGAAAGTGACAACTTCAACTCATTTAGGCGCAAATATTTTAGACACAGGGGCAAAAGAAACCAGTGCACCTCCAGGCTAGAACTAAATGGGTCTCTCACTTGCATAAATTCAACCATACCAGGCTATTGGAACGAGAAGAATAGCCGAAAATAGTCATGAGTAGCTCGTGTAATTCGGGAGGCATGGCCGTGTATAAACAAATTATTAAAAGAGAATAGGAGCAAAAGGAATGGATTGGCGCCCCAAGATACAGTCTGCCAACGATTCACCATGGACATGAAAAAAGTGAAAAATATGGAGGTATAAGGGATATCATATATTGAACCTCAAAGCCCCATTCTTTTGAACACGGTCTAATTATTGGATCGGTTTCGTGATTATAGTTCCTTGGTTCAAGTAAATCCTAGATACTCTAAAAGAATTCGCTCGGATTTACTGTACCTGGCTGACGATTTCGCTTGCTTTGGTCAAACTTTCAACCATTTGCTGACATTCCTTTCGGCGGCGAATCGTATACTCGCTCTCGCGGAGCAAGTCATCGGGCTCTTCGGACTTGTACATATTTGCAAGCAATTCTCGCTGCATTTCGTCCTTGGTGAATCTGGAAATAGTTAGCTTATTTGAAAATGGGCATGTAGGCCGGTACTTACTGCACGAGATTAAGCATGATAGCTTTCGGAACCATGTCGATCATCGTTCGTTTCACGATGTTATAGTAAGAGTTGATTAGGATTTCTGCATTGACGTTAGATGGATACATAACTGCAGGGCCGCGGAATCCTCACTGATAACCTCGACTTCGGAACTTTCTCGTTCTGAGAGAGTACCGGAAGCTTTCAACGTTGGGGGCGGAGCCTCCATTGCAGCCATCTTCTTTTTGTTTTTGGAAGCGAAAAAGCTTCCAAAAAATCCAGAATTCTCTGCAACCTCTAGGGACGGGCTTGCGGAACGAGGTGGTTGTTGAGAAATAGGTAGTGGTTTGCCAGTTTTAGGATCAACTTGCGTCGGTTTACCGGCATTGTGACGTTCCTGAACAATGGCCATGGCCTGATACATAGAGAATTAGCGACCTTGTATATCGTACTATGTCCATGATTCAAACTTACCCTGTTGCCAGTGATAAAGTCAGGATGCCCCGTGTTAACATAGCAGGACTCCATGGCTACGAGATCTCTGACAAGTTTATTCGTTGGGTCCATAGCCTTCTTGAAAAATGCTATGACAACAGCATGGAACTTTTCTTTGAGTTGAGGATATCTTCGGAAGGGCTGTTTATTCAACAGCTGGCCCAAAATGCGAACAAGCTCGTCATACACCAATGACACGCATTTTAAGCTAGGTTCCTCTAACCTTCGAATTTGCTGTTTCACAATCAACTCGAATGCAGTGGTGCCGACGAACAGGGCGGGTGATGAGCCGGAAGAATTGTAAAGGATGGTGCGAATATCAATATCCTTCACCTGATCAAACGGCTCAACAGCCTTGACACCGTTGGAATAGAGCTCATGGAAAACAAAACTGATACGAGCACCGCCGGAGAGTTCGATGCTGGAAAGCTCCTGATAATTTCCGTCTAGAACGGTTCGGTATTCGTTGCTAAATTCAGTGATAATATTTAGGACAATGTTGGTGCTGTTCCCGAGTATCGAATCGCCCAGCTGGTTTAATTCGGTGGTATATTTTTGCAACGAGGATGCGATGCGGGTTTTGATATCGGGGAGAGTTTGTTTAATATGCATCATTAGAATCTAGCAAAAACGAGACCGGTTAGTGTACGAAGAGCGAACGAAGGCAATGGAACTCTAACTACTCACCAGATTTAACTTCCTGGCCAGGTACGGAGTGCCGCAATAAGACGATTTGCTTCGATACGCCTTGTGATTGTCAAAGAAGTTCTTCTCATGTTCGAGCGCGTAGGATATTGGCCGCTTATTCTCAATGTCTCGTTGACCCCTGTTGACCACCGGAACGTAGCCCAGGCGTAGCGGAATAATTCTACCAGCAAGGATATCCACAACGTCCGTTCCTGCGTCCATAAGATCGACTTTGGTGAGAACACCGATTGTCCGTTGGCCCTCTGGGTCTACCTCACGAGCCAACTTTAAACCGTCGGAATTAGCCAGGTCTTGGTTAGCGGCGGTGACGGCAAGAATAATCGCATTCGGCTTGCTGATGTGTTTTAGAACCATCTCTCTTATTTGTTTTTCAATATCCTTGGGCTGGTCTCCAACTGGCACCTTGGTCAGACCGGGTAAGTCGACCAAAGTCAGCGTCAGCACATTCGGGGAGAAGATTCGTAAATTGATCGGCTGAGGCGAGATGCCTGCGTTACGGCCGGTTTTGGCGTCGGTCTCTCGAACAATTTCCTCTCTTATTTTGTTGAAATCATAGAATTTCTGGCCCGGGATATGTAGAAACTCTCCATATTCGTCGAGATTCGACTCCTTGTCGGTGGTTTCGATTTGCTTCTCTTCCGAAGTTCCATTTGGCTGGCTCTTTACAAGGGCGGGTCGGTTAACGAGTTGCAACACCAGTGGTCGTCTGGTCACAATGCCGGATCCTCTAGGAAGACTGTATTCATAGCAAGTGTCAGTCCAAGCAAGAACACGATAACCCTACCACCACAAGTTTCCTTACAAATCTCTGCCCACGATATTTTCTAGCACCGAGCTCTTTCCACTAGATTGTGAGCCAACCACGACGATCTGCGGCAAGTCTATCGGGTTTTGGACCTTGAGAGCCGGTCGTCAGTGTCCGAAGCTATATGGCGACGACGCAACTAGGTTGGAAGAAGGGACATACTCCGACTGTCGTAAACACATCTTGCAACTTATTAACAAGCGAGATAAGCGACGGGTCATTAACATTTATACTGTTCGCAACCGGCGATTTGCCATTAGCTCCTGCACACGTAGCCAAAGGGGAGGCGGAAGCACTCACGAAGCGCTCGATGGGGACGCCATGCCTGGCGAGAAAGCTGAGATCCAAGTTCAGAGGCGCTATCAATTGGACAACCGGGCTTTATGGCACAAGGGCGTTCCTTTCTGAGAAGCAGAGAGCGGTTGAATGCAAGCTGGGGAAGTTGAAGGTCGAGAAGTTGTTGCGGGTCAAAGTCAAAAACGGCGCTGACTGCCAAACAAAGGTCGGTTCACGTGCGGTGTCTGGACTCTGCGCTAATCAACGAACAATCGACCTGAAGGATGATGCAGGCACAGGACAGGGGGCAAGGCTTTGCTTGAATCTGCATCGCCTGACCACAAACTGACGGCCCTGTAGGCATCGACATTACGCGACTAAGAGCTACATTCACTGTTGGGCCGACTACGACTTGATTGGGTTGAAACATGGCTGCCTTGAGTATTGATTGCAGGTGGGACGAAGCCCCAAATCTGGATGCCTAGCATGCAAAAGCTCAGAAACCCTTCCCGAGATCTATATTACTGGAATGATGGACTAAGATAGCGACGGAGCGCAAGAAGCGACCCACAGCAGGATTATTTCGCTTTGTCTATATTCATGCGATGAGAAAAGGATTATAGACGAGGGGCATGAGCCTGCTACAGAAGCCAGAACCAAAAAAAGGGCCGCTCTGAGCCAAAGAACATAAAAGGTTTACTCGTCGGAAACAGATGCAAACTTCTCGGACATATCTTGGAGGATTTTCTCGTACTGGTGGACAGTGTCAGCGTGAGCCCATGAGAATAAATCATAAGGTAGCGAGTTTTTACCTTCTTCGAAACCGCCTCCTCATCATCGGGGATCTCAAACTTCATATTCCGAAGAGCAGTTTGGATGTCGCTTGTCGCTTCTCTCACTTTGGCCCAGCTCTGGCCCTGCGCAATGGCTTTTTGGCTCTCGTCGTAGAACTGCATGAACGCCTTCATCATGTATTCAGTCTTCCACAGCGGGCAGAATTGATCATAATCACTGTAACCATTTTGCTGTAGGAAATCATCCTTCAGCAATACAGCGACGTCCAGGGTGATCTTATCGGGATCACCCAGCGCGGATTTCCCGACCAGTTGAACGACTTGATCCAAGTCTTCAGAGTTAGTCAATAATTCCTTTATTTTGTCCCGTAGTCGAGGGAACTCGGGATGCTCCTTGGCATAGTACTTGTCGAGGATGGGGATGTATTTGCTATATGAAATCGACGTGTTGATTGATGGGAAGTGTTTCCGCTGGGCGAGTTTCTTGTCAAGACCCCAAAACACCTGAACAATACCAAGAGTGCTGGATGTGACGGGATCCGCAAAATCACCACCGGGCGGACTGACAGCGCCCACGATGCTGACACTGCCCTTCCGCTCTGGGCTGCCAAGGGCTATACTTTGCCCGGCGCGTTCATAAAAGGACGCGAGCTTCGCACCGAGATATGCCGGGAAACCTTGATCCGCAGGCATTTCACCTAAACGGCCTGACAGTTCACGTAATGCTTCAGCCCATCGGGAGCTAGAGTCTGCCATCATAGCCACATGTTTTCCTTGGTCACGGAAGTACTCAGCAACAGTAATGCCTGTGTAAATAGACGCTTCTCGAGCTGCCACAGGCATGTTGGATGTGTTCGCAATTAGACAGGTACGTTTCATGATGGGCTCCTCTCGACCCTCAACGTTGATTGTGAGCTAAGAAAGTCAGCACCGATGTTCGGTATCCCAGAGTGCGAGTGGAGGGCCCTACTTCTGGGAAATCCATCAAGACTTCGGCCATCTCATTCCCTCGCTCACCGCAGCCGACGTAAACGATAATATCGCTGTTAGAAAATTTGGAAACACTCTGGCTGATGACGGTCTTGCCGCATCCGAAGGCGCCAGGAATACAAACCGTCCCGCCTTGAACACTTGGAAACAAAGAATCCAAAACACGCTGACCGACGATAAAAGGCGACTCCGACGCAAGCTTCTCGTTAACAGGACGAGGGACTCGGACGGGCCAAACATGCATCATGCCGTATTCCGTCTTCTTCCCTTGAAATTCGACTTCGAGGAGTTTCTCTTCTACAGTATAGCTACCCGCGTCGGAGATACGTGTAATCGTACCTCGGGCACGGGGTGGCAGAAGGATTTTATGGTCGTGGAGCAAGCTGTTCTCGAACACCGTTCCCCAAATATCTCCTCCGGTGATATGGTCTCCGACCTTGAAGCTGCCGGGTTTGAAATCCCATTTCTTCTTTCGGTCAAGGGCGGGTAGAGAGATACCTCGAGGGATGTAGATGCTGTCCGAAACGGTAGAGATGGACCTGAGAGGTCTTTGGATACCATCGTAAATTGTCTCCATCAGGCCGGGCCCAAGCTCGACGGTTAAGGGCTTTCCAGTCCGAAGAACAGGGTCTCCAACCTTTACTCCGGCTACAATGTAAGAGTTCGCGTTAGCACGATATTGGAAACCCAAAGCTGGGAGAACACTGGCATACCGGTCTCCTCGTAAACCTGGATCGTAGCTCGGTCACCCTCGATGCGAATCACTTCTCCGACGATTTTGTCATAGCCGACCCTACACTGATTGCAAAGATTCCCGTCAGTACATGAACAGCACAAATGCCCTGGCCCATACCTACCAGCTCGTACATAGCACAGCCGATCATATTCTCGGCCACGATGACGGGTCCAGAGACCGAAAAGACGGAACCATGCTGTGCTTCGTCAAGCCCCGTTTCGGCTTTCCCTGAGTCTTTCGAAGGCATTGTAAGCGGTGATTGCGGATTATCCGTGAGTGCTTTCAATTGGAGATGGCCGTTGTCGTCGGCGGGTGTGAGCTGGTGACGACGAACACCGGCGGGAAGCTTATGGACTTCTGGGGCGGGGCAAGCTTGAGAGATCGGCGTGGCGCTGTTGGGCTGCTGAATCAGATCCAAAAGCGAAGGTCGACGTCTAAAAGAAGGCCGACCTAGACCTAGCATGCGATTGAGAGGAAGGATATCCCGAAGCTCGAGTCTGATCGCATCAACAACACGATGTTGTCGAGCCAGTTCAAGTGGGCAGCTCCCCGTGACCGCGCCAAGTCTCGGCCAACACTAGGATCCACTCGGGAGGCTTGGCAAGGTCACGAGAGCTGGGTTATATAATCATATCGCCAAACATGCCAAGGAGACAAACGCTAAGCAAGCAATGCACCCTTCAGTGTCCTCCACGAGTCCACAATCTCCGCACAACCCTGAACTTGAAGTACTCATAATTATCAGATTGACTAATGAAAAAGTTGATTTACTTTGCTACTTGGAGGTTTTTGCCATGTCAAAACAAATCAATAATAATCCCGACCTCATTTGTAGTGAACAGATGAATTCAATAATAATCAATATCCTCCAGCGTCTCGGCGTATTCTGATAACCACCAGGCAATCAGTGAGAGAGCATCGCTTGCTCAAATAGCAATCTTCTTCAAATCATCGGAATCAAGCCGACGAAATTGATGAAAAAAGGTGGGTTCGCGTCGATCGGTGGTAGTGAAAGACCGATGACACGGTGCAGGAAAACATGCGCAAGCACAGAGGTCTTCCCACGGATTCCAAAAATGAGATTAATCAATGTTGTATTCCTTAGAATACTTTCAGAGATTAAACTGAAAAGAACAGATACTACACTTGATCTAAGCCATAATGGCAAAGAGAGCTGGAGAAGAAAAAAAAAAAAGAAATGCAAAGATGGCCGGGGGAGAGCGAGCTTTTATACCACTGGGCGGTGAGTCAGGTGGCAAAACCGATTAGCCGAGACTCGTTTCCGGGGTGCTGATTGGGTGCTGCTTTCGGAGCTCGGAAAATTCCATCGGCGGCAGTTTTTCCGTCGCCTCCATTCACGGTTGAAGAGAACTTCCTGATGGCCCTGGGAAATCTTCCATCATTCTGTGGCAACGCCTTCGTCGAACCGGGGAACGCGGCATGTCTTTGCACCGGCTGGTCTTTGGGCCTTGTTGGGCAGAAATCCTTGAAACAGAAACCTGTCATGCATGCAGTTCACACTTGTCATTCCAACCAAGTCACAAGGAGCACTCGCTCAGCAGATGAACAGCTGCTGGCCAATCACAAGGTGTGATTCCTGGTATTTCCACGTGATCTTACTGTACCATACCAGCCCGCCTGTTTTCATCTGAATCTTCGAGTGTTGCGGTGTGTGAATGGCAGTGTATGGCACAGAGAAAATTTCAGTGACAATGCCTATCTTTGGAGGTCAATGGAACCTCTGCTGGCCCCTAGGGTTTCCGAGTATGCGAGCTCTGTGAAGACGGACAGGCTGTGGCTGGTGATGCTTATCTTGAATCCTGGTGTGTGCACCATCATATCAGTTCCGATAGCAGGGTACTTGTTTAGTTTTGTCCGGCTGTACGGAGTATATGGAGGATACTCTATCTGAATATGGATGGGCATAAGGCGAATGAAAGCTCATTAGCACTTGAAATTCTGTAGACTGCACAGCAATGGTTGAGAGGGCTTCTTCAGTAATCTCCATTCGCCCCATATGACAAGTGATGGTGGAGGTTCAACAGATAAAGGCCAGGGGGGTCATTGGTAGTTAGCAGGCCCCGGCAGCGCCAGCACAGAGAACATCCAGTGATTAGCAACGTCAAGAGCTCCGTCAGGAACCAAGACAACCACCATTCTCCCTCTTCAAGGTTTCTCACACTCATATGCCCCTCAGATCACCTTGCAACTGCTCGCCTCTTGGGTTTGTCCTTTTCTTCTTACATCCCTAGTTAGTGCCTATTCTTGGGGCCCTTGTTCCTCTGTCGTCATTTGGTTTCTGACGCCGTGTACGTGAACCCCGGGGTAGAACTTTTGCAGCTTCCTCATCACCACCCATAACCTCTGACCAACGCAGAGTCATACTGTCCTGAGCTTGGTGGCCGAGCGGAAAGGTCTCACTGCGAGCCTCGTACTGGTACACTTGATCTACAGCCAACTTCCACAATCACCTCTCCCAGACCCAAACCCCCGCCCAGATAAGCCTATTCAGCTGGTTCTTCGGAGAACCAGACTGAAGGGCTCACAAAATCTTCGACCTGGCAGACGAAGCTTCTCCCAATCAACCTGCCTCAGCTGGACCTGGCCGCTCAGATCGTGCCTCCAACTCTCAGTCAGTATCCAGCTCTCTCCAGGCATCTCTGCATTCTTATCTGACACCCGAACCAGCTCCGTTCTTGACGTTTCAGCCCCCACTGACCAATCCTCTCGTCGATATCCTGCTACAGATCTCTTAGGCCTTCTTCGTTACCCATCGGAACCCAGCCCTCGCCGTAGCCACCTTCGACGTCGCCGAGAGCCGTCAGTGGAGCACCCAAATATCCCCGAGAGTTCGTCGGGCAGTAGCGGTTTAGGGAACAGCGAAGGCAGGCGCATTTCACAGGAGCAGACTTCGAACCACGGACAGAGCGAACACCCTCTTTCCAAAAGAAGACGCCTTGCGGACGGAAACATGAAGCCCGATGGCGCGACGTCGACCTCAAGTGCGAACGGGTTCTCCCCCATATCAAACGGGACTGGTGGCACTCCCTTGAGAAAAGCCATTTCGAACTCCCTTAATGGACAGTCGTCAAATTCATCTTCACAGGCACCGTCTCAAACGAATGGTTCAACCGCAATGTCGACGTCGCCCACATACTATGGACACGATAGAGAAGAGGTTACGAGAATATTGATCCAAAGTTTATATGATTTGGGATATCCCGACGCCGCCGTTACACTGAGCCGTGAGAGTAAATATGAACTAGAGAGCCCAGCAGTTGCTGCGTTCAGAACTTCTGTCCTTGAGGGTCGATGGTTTGACGCAGAGAGCATTTTAATAAATTCGTTTCTTGAGCACGAGGCCGAGGGAAAATATGCCTTCAAGCAACCCCAACATGATGGATTGGTTCTCGCTGAGGATGCGGACAAAAACGAGATGCTCTTCTGCTTACGACAACAGAAGTTTCTCGAGTTACTTGACCAGCGGGATTTTGCGAGCGCGCTGATGGTGCTGCGCCAGGAACTCACACCTCTTAACCATGACATTGGTCGGCTGCATTCACTTTCAAGGTACATTCCCTTTAGTACCTTGAGCCAAGAGGGGATTAATTTCTAACAGGTTATATACAGTTTATTGATGTGTCCGCCCGAGAATCTCCGTATTCAAGCTGGCCTCGAAGATTCAATCACAAATTCAAGGCGTAATTTGTTAGCACAGTTGTCGAGTCAGTATCTCATATACCTGCTTTACATGGCCATTCAAGTTTACACCACTGACCATGCACTCTAGGATACATATCTCCCTCTGTTATGATCCCTGAGCATCGCCTAGCAACTCTTCTCCACCAAGTTAAACAAACCCAAATCAACCACTGTTTATATCATAATACTGCCATAACACCATCCCTATATTGCGACCATATGTGTGACCGCAGTCGCTTTCCAAAACATCCTACTCTGGAACTCAGCCAGCACACTGATGAGGTGTGGTACCTCGAATTCTCTCATGATGGCACAAAACTGGCCACCGCAAGTCGTGACCGCTCGGTAATCATTTACGACGTGAGAACATTTAGTGTGATCCACAAGTTGTCAAATCATGATGGCCCCGTTGCCTTTGCAGCCTGGAGCCCTGATGATACAAAGTTGATTAGTTGCTCTCAGGACTACAAGGCTAGGGTGTGGAATGTAGAGGTAAGCATTGTCACCAATTTCTGGACCAGCTAAGCACTAACCCCGTTTTCAAGACTGGCCGTTGTAGTCTTACAATTGACCATCACCACGAGCCGGTTACATCTGCAGCATGGGCCCCAGATGGCAAAACCTTTGTAACATGTTCTCTGGATAATCAATCCCAACTTTGTCTTTGGAATGTTCGCGGTGACGCCCTACATCGGTGGCCTGGTGCCGCTCGCATTCGAGATTGTGCAATATCGGCAGATGGCAAGCGACTCGTTGCGATCTCGGCGGATAAAAGTATTCACGTGTACAATTTTCAGACTCGAGAAGAGGAATATAGCATGCTTTTAAAGCTCGACGTCACATGTATTAACATTAGCAGAGACTCGAAGTACATGCTTGTGAACATGTCCCAAGGCGAGGTTCAGCTACTTGACCTCGAAACCGCGGAAGTTGTTCGCCATTACTCAGGACAAAAACAAGGTCAATATATCATTCGCAGTACATTCGGTGGAGCTGCGGAAAACTTTGTCGTGAGCGGCAGTGAAGGTTCGTCTAACAGTCATTTGGATCAATAATGCATACGCCGAGTTACTGATTGTTACCCCTAGATTCGAAAGTTTATATTTGGCACAAGGAGAACTGTAAACTCGTGGAGACACTTGAAGGGCATAGCAAGGGATGTGTTAATGCGGTCGCGTGGAATCCAAAAGATCCAGAAATGTTTGCATCAGCTGGGGACGACCGCAAAGTTAAGATGTAAGTTACAATCCTTGGTCTCTGAGCTTTGCTGAATATTTTACTGACTCCTCTTGAAGATGGACAAATGGCCAAATCGAAACCTCAAGTAAATCGCATGTTTCGTCCAATGGCTCCGCACACTCAAGTGCAATTGGACTCACACTCAGTCGTTCGTCTAGCACGCGTTAGTTCAGGTCTCGAGCAGGCCCAAGATATACCAATACTTCAAGGTTCAGATTCCTTGGTCAGCATCCTAGAGCACACTTGCATATTTTTACGACATTTCTTTTTCTTTTTTTGCCTACCCGTTATATTATCGGCGCTCATGACGGCTAGGGTCTGAATATTTATTTGCACATACTACATATCAGTGCACGGAGTTTTGTTCTACACCCGCATGAAATTAAGAGCATAAGAAGGGGGTTCGGCTTCCGGTTCAAGTTTCTCAACAAATCATCTCCCTTTTTTTGTCATGGTAATGCCTTGTTACCTTTTCCTTTTCTCTTGCTCACAATTTGGAGGGTTCAGAATCAGGCTGACTACTCGGGGTATGGGATGGCAGTATGTAGATGATATTGGATTCGTAAATTTGGTCGAATGGATTGGGTTTTTTTGGAGAAGCTCGTTCTTAACGGGTCCCTCTTTCGAATTTGGTTGTGCAACTTGGCTCTTTTCGTCTATCTGAACTCCGTGAAGGATAGATAATACTTATAACTCTTCTCTGGCTCCAGCATATGGCTTTTCTAGATGGGGTTTGACATCCTTCGGATCATAATGGGGGGAAAAAAGGCAAAGGATATGAATATTCTCATCCCAAGAGACACTATGCAGAACGTAATAACGAACCCACCGGGTCTACTCTAGAGGATGAAGATATCAATGAACGATACTCTCACCCACCACCTAATCAATATACGTACGGAGCAGTGAGCTTGGATTTACGGATTCCAAGGCCAGAGAAGAATAATTTGTACCGCATTAGCTAGGGAAATTTACCTATTTCAAGAGCGTAGAGAATTCATCGCCAACCTTAAGGGTTCAAAAACGGCAGCAGGAAAAAAGACAAAAAATGCAAATTCGCTTGAATGGGAGGCCGTTGTTTCTTTCTTTTTGATAAGGACTGGTGCCGGCAGGCCATGGGGGAAAAAAAGGTTCTATATCAGTGCGAAGCAGGGGAAAGGCAGTTAGCGAAGAGAATAGAAGATATCAAGGAAAACTGAAGGGTTTTCAGGTGTGGGAAAACATACTAAGTGCCGGGGATCCCCTATTCCTCCACAAAATATTCTCCTTGGCCTTCTCATCCAGGAAAGTTTGCTAGCTACATGAAGTGTCTTGTTCCCTGGACAATCGACCTGCTGGTGAGAAAAGCACAATGCTTCGAGATTATGACGCGAAGTGTTAGGAGACGCGTTCGTCGATTGGGACGTGCCATATATCATTTTTCGTGATTGTAATTCGGTGACAAGTATGTGGTTCAATTACCCTAGAAGATCGGCGACTATGGAGGAAGTCAGTGATGAAGGAAATGGGGCAAGTGTCCTTGGGCGCCTGCTTACCGTTCATTGGCATTTCGTCGATCTGTGTAGAATAGTAGAGTTCAATATCTCTTAGAATTCTAACGTCCTCGCTCGTAACGAAGTTGATTGCAACACCCTTGCGCCCAAAACGACCGCTTCGACCGATTCTGTGGATGTAGTTCTCACGATTACTGGGTAGATCGTAGTTAATCACTAACGATACCTGCTGCACATCGATTCCTCGAGCCCAGACATCGGTCGAAATCAGAACGCGGGAGTTCCCCTGTCTGAAATCCTGCATGATGCTGTCTCGTTCCTTTTGAGGCATCTCCCCGTGCATGCTGGAGACTGTGAAATTTGCTTCTCTCATCTTATCAGTCAACCAGTCAACCTTGCGTCGCGTATTGCAGAAGATAACCGCTTGCGTAATGGTTAGGGTGTCGTAAAGATCGCAAAGCGTGTCGAATTTCCATTCTTCTTTCTCCACCGCAATGAAATACTGTTTTAAGCCTTCTAGGGTCAACTCATCACGCTTAACCAAAATCCGGACTGGATCCGTCATGAATTTCGTAGTCATCGATAGGACATCGTAAGGGAGCGTAGCGGATAGAACGACGACTTGAGTTGCAGGAGGGAGGTATCGGTACACGTCATAGATTTGATCACGGAAACCGCGCGCTAATAAGTCGTCGGCTTCGTCGAGAACAAGCATTTTGATGTGACGCGTACGAAGATGGCGGCGTCGAATCATATCCGCAACACGACCTGGAGTTCCGGATACGACATGCTGACCATGGTCGAGTTTTCTGATATCATCACCGACGTTGGTGCCTCCAATACATGCGTGGCATTGTACATTCATGTAGTCGCCAACGGCCATGATGACGTTTTGGATCTGGGTTGCAAGTTCGCGGGTCGGCGAAAGAACCAAAGCTGGCGAACGAACACAAATGAGCGATGAATATTGTTTGAGTATATACTGACTATCTCACCTTGGGTTTCTCGGAGTGCGGTGTCTATGACTTGTAGAATGCTGATTGCGAACGTAGCTGTTTTACCCGTCCCGGACTGCGCCTGAGCTATGGTGTCGCGGCCTTTGCAGATCTGAACAATGGCGCGAGATTGAATGGCTGACGGCGACTCGAATCCATATGCGTATATGCCTCGTAAAAGATTCTCTTTCAAGTGCATGTCATCGAAGGTTGGGGCCACTGTCACCTCTTTCGAGGTCGTAAACTCGATCCTCTCTGCGTCCTGTTAGCTGCGCGCGGTTTCAAGCTTTCTGGGGCAGTCGGGTGTCTACCATCTGCGGTCTTGTCAAAGTCGTCCGCCATTTTCGAGGGAGCTGCTACAACAAAAAGAGACCAGGTAATGGGATACTAGGAACGAGATGAAAGAGAACGATAGTATGTTTCTGCGATGGCTTCTGGTGTCGAAGTTGAGCTTCAAGAACGAGAATTTCAAGCGGCGCGCCTGGTCACGTGAACAGTGCGGTTTGAAGGTTCGATCCGCTTTGATGGCGGCAACTCGATTCCAGCAACACGGATGCAGAGGTGTATTTCTGGCTGTGGCTTGGGATTCTTTTAGGGAGGCTGTAATCCATCAATATGTTGCTGGAAGATCAGAGATTCGCGCATGAGGATCTTGAAAGGCTGGAGCAGGGAATCAGCGACAGGATATCGGAAGAGCCACGGAATGTAGGTGCTTGCGCATCGCCATGCTGTTCTCACATACTGACGAAGAAGTATAGATACGAGAGCGCTTAACTAGAGATCACCAGATTGCCGAATTTCTTGATCGAATACAGGGACAATCGCAGCGACTTCTTGACATCTACAAAGATGCTGACGGGCTTCGAGCGAAGGAGGTCCAAGATATCTCGACGGGTGACCCATTCGAGGAGTTTTATAAACATCTTGAAGAAATAAAGGATTTTCATCGCCGATACCCTAATGAACCTGTGGAGAACTTGGAGCGAGCGTACAAGAGAAGGCATCCGGGGGAAGGCGATCTTTACACATCGGAGATTGAGCATATGTTCACTGGAGAGGAATCATACGGACAATTCTTCGACCTGACCATGATTCATGAAGAGTATCTGAATCTGCCCGGAGTCAAAAGATTGACCTACCTCCAATACCTCGACCAGTTTGACGTATTTACACAGCCACAACTCCCGGTTAAACGGGAAAATAAACTAACGGATAAGTATTTCAAATACGTGGAGCACCTCGCTAGCTACCTGGAAAATTTCATCAAGCGAATCAAACCTTTAGAACCTCTGGACGAGCTTTTTGCAAAACTTGACAAGGAGTTCGAACAGCTGTGGGAAGCGAACCAGGTCCCTGGCTGGGGCGAGGAAGACATGACGGCATCGGCACCGAAAACCGAAGGGACCGGTGAAGGTATCTGGTGCGCTGATTGTGAAAAAGAGTTCAAGAACGAAAATGTTTACCGGAACCACTTGACTGGTAAGAAGCATCTTCGAGCTGCAGAGGCAAAGAAGGCATCCGGCGCTACCCCCGATGCAAACAGCCGACCCAATGGGATGGGAGCTGCCGTACATCGTCTGAAAGAGAAGGCGATTGCCGAACGTGAACATCGGATCCGTTCGCTTGCTAGGGTGCTCCAGGATGAGAGGCAAGCGACGCGTGTCAACGTCGAGAGAAAGCAGGGAATGACAGAACGGGAACGGCAGATGGAGCTTGAGGCACTCATGGGTGATACAGCTGATATGGGCCCCCTTCGACGAGAAGAAGAGTCCGACAGCGAGGGTGAGGAAAAGATATATAACCCCCTCAAATTACCCTTGGCCTGGGATGGAAAGCCCATTCCGTACTGGCTGTATAAGCTGCACGGCCTAGGGGTCGAGTTATCTTGTGAGATCTGCGGCAACTTTGTCTACATGGGCCGGCGCGCCTTTGACAAACACTTTTCCGAAGCTAGGCATATTTATGGCCTAAGATGCCTTGGAATCACGCAACAAACGAGTTTGTTTAGAGAAATCACTAAAATCGAAGACGCACTACGTCTCTGGGAGAAGCTCGAGCGAGACCGGAAGAAGGAAAAGGATGCTAGGGATAATGTGGTACAAATGGAGGATGCCGAAGGGAATGTTATGCCAGAGCGTATTTATCATGAGTAAGGCCCCTTTCCCTCTTGCGTTATCCATGGATTGCACTGCCAGACAATGCTAACAGTCACAGTTTGCAAAAGCAAGGTATCTTATAAGCGTTCACCGGTTTCTCTGGCTTTATTGGACAGGATGGATCAGGCGGCCGGCGCTAGGAGTCTTTCTTGCAGCATTAGCTCATTTGTAAAACATCACCACCAGTATCGAAGCTAGAGTGAACAATGTTCGTTGACTGTCCATGTGCTCCCTGATACCTTCACAGACAGTTATTGGACGGGACACCTTACTGTCCAGGGCCCCAGCAATTACTTCACCCATCATATCAATGAAAAACCAAACACTTGTTCAATGTTGGGACCATCGGGCTATTGAACCGTGCTGATGATGCAGGAGCTCCAACATGTCCCCCAATCCCACACCATTCACTATTAACTAACCATCCTTGTCAATGGCTTCCTTTTATTGAGCAGAAAAAAGGAACACAATATAAGGTGATACAGAACAACAAGTGCCTAATGTGCCACGGATATTGCCCGGAATGTGACCCTTTTTCGGGTGCTTTGCTGCCTGGTCACGTGCACTGGCGTTTTGGCGCGAATGAACTTCATCCGCGTCCTCACCTCGACCACCACCTTCACTCCGACTGTGCCTCTCCTTATTACCCAGGCAGAATGGATTGAGAATGGGAGTGGACTCGCCAGGAAGACAACTGTTTGGGGTTCCTTTTTCTTTTTCTTTTTCCTTTGCTTCAATTGCCTTGGACATTCCCGCTAGCTTTGCCAGTCGAGACTACCGGGCTAGGCACCAATGATGCTGGACCAATGATTGGCATTTTTCTGCGGACATCTTGACAATGGGCTTTAAGTTCTCTTATGTCTGTGACCTGCTTTCAAACTTGGATAGAAACCGCATCGCCAAAGCAGCTTCAGAGGCAAAAACGAGGGACCCAGATGTTGCTACCGTGATCAAATGGTTCGACCACCATGAGAGGAAGATACACTCTACAGAAACCGACAGTCTTGCGCTCTTGTCCTGCCTTTTCCCGGAGAGACGCCCCGAACGTGTGTTTAGCCTTCGAGAACCGTCCCTGGTGAAGGTTATTGGCCGTTGCCTCCTCCTTGGTGCCTCGAGAAAGCGTGAACTTGATCGATGGGGGGAAAAGGGGTGGGGGGATTTAGGTCAGTGTCTGGAGTATGTGATGCAGCAGGCCGAAAATCACCTCGAAGGCCAAGATGAGGTCACTGTGGAAGAAATAGATCTTGCTTTGGCCAAGGTCGCATCTAGATCTCGGTTTTCGGGGCCAACGGTTCGCTATCAGCACTCTGCTGTAGATGTCGATGATACGCTATCCCCAATTTTCCGCAGGCTATCTAGCCGTGATGCCAAATGGTTTACCAGGCTAATCCTCAAGGATTTCAATCCTGTTATCATCCCAGGCCAATTAATCCTTCGGAATTTTCACTTTCTCTTGCCGAAACTACTCCTTTTCCAAAATTCGCTAGAGGGAGCTTTGAAATTTCTGGCTCAAGAGCCGATAAGCGAATTTCCTCCTCGTCCTGAAGCCCAGTACGCGAATCTTTTGGGGAGAGTCGCCTTACCTCTTCTCAAGCCCAAGGTTGGTGTTAAAGTCGGCCGAGCTGACTTCTATAAAGCCAGAAGTCTGAAACATTGCTGTCAAATGGTAGGCGGGCGGGTGATGAGCGTTGAGAGGAAGTATGATGGTGAATATTGCCAAATACACATCGATCTTTCAAAGGCAGACTGTATACAAATATTTTCGAAAAGCGGGAAGGATTCCACGGTCGATAAGCGGGGCGTCCACGATACGCTTAAAGAATCTCTGAGGATTGGCAGAAGCGACTGTCGTTTCTCGAATCAATGCATCGTGGAGTGTGAGATCCTTGTGTGGAGTGATCACAGCTCCAAGATCCTTCCATTTCACAAACTTCGCAATCATATCTCTCGTTCCGGCTCTTTTATCGGAATTGAGAATGATTCTCCGTACGTCCTCTCCAGAAATTAAGGAAACTAACGGTTGGTTCTCTAATGACGTTTCAGACCTGACCCGTTCGAACACTTGTATCTAGCTTTTTTTGACGTTCTGATGGTAGATGGCAATGTCTGTTTGTCAAAGCCCTACCGTGAACGTCGTCAGATTCTCCTTGACATTGTTCAACCAATTGAAGGGCGCTCAGAGCTAGCTTACCAACAAACTATCAACTTTTCTTTCCCAGAGAGCTATGAGCTGCTAAAAGATGCCGTCGCCCTGGGGGCCGCCCAGAGATGGGAAGGCCTTGTCCTCAAGGGAAGCGATGAGCCATATCTACCTCTTTTTCAAGAGAGCGCAAATATCAATTTTGGACACTGGATTAAACTCAAGAAAGAATATATCCCAGGCCTTGGTGATTCCGCCGATTTTGCCCTTATCGGCGCGAGATATGACCCCCAAGATGCCGTCCAATGCCAGAATATCAAAGATCTTTCGTGGACGTCTTTTTTCGTTGGGTGCTTGGAAGGAGACGGACATATTTCGAACACAAAGTCAAATAGGTATCGAATCACAGACGTGCTCAATCGCCATAATGTTAGCCCGACGATTATGCGGACTCTGAATCAGCTAGGGCAGTTCCGAGTTTGTGATAATAGCTCGAGCCCGTGCTCCTTCTCGATTAAAGTAGATCAGCCTCACATGCCAGAGATAGAAGTCTTCTTTCGAACCCCGTTTGTCGTGGAACTGGTTGGAAGTGGTTTCGAACGGCCCGCGGGTGTAAGATATTTCACTCTAAGATTCCCTCGGGTCGTAAAGATTCACACAGACCGAGAAGTGGACGATGCAGTTTCTTTCGAAGAGTTACAGCGACTCGCTGAAGCGGCCCGTGCGGTCTCGGAGGAGCAGCTTTCGCAAGAAGTTGCTAGATGGACCGCGAAACTTGATGCAAAGGATGGGAAGCCAGAATACATACTGGCCGACTCCCAAGTATCGATTTCTTCTAACCCACCCAGCAGCGTGCCGCTAAAACGAAGCTTTACCAACGGAGAGAAAACAAAGGAAAGCCCCGGGGATAAAGGGAAAGGTCCCATTAATCCTTCGTTAGCCAGAGCTTCTACCATACCGTTGCTCAGTCTCAACGGATTGAGCTCGAATCTCTCACTGAATGAGACGAACTTACGTGACTCACCTACTCGGCCGCGGAAGGAGTCTGCAAGCACTTTCAAAGCTATTGATATTTTCCCCGATTGCACAGCAACTACTTTTACAATTGCGGATTCTTGTGATTCCACGCATGCCTCTGGGTTTCTAACCAATCTAACAGATTGCTCCACAAAAACAAACCGAAAGAACAATATACTCGGAGATATCCCCAGCGACCCCGTTACCGTTCCAACTTCGCCTTTATCCCCCGGCGATCTGGTTAACCTCAATAAGTTTCCAAAATCGGGCGGAGGCCCCCTATATTCGGGTCCAACGGGTGGAACGGGAGGTATAGTACCGTCAAAGGCTATGCGCCCTGCGGGAACGCGGTCTCAAATTGCCTGCACTTCATTAAAAGAAGCCAGACGGAAACGTTCGCAAGATCTAGCCGGCGGAAGTTGTAGTAAAGTGCAGGCCGAGAGCCACAGTCTTTTACACAAAACGCCTATATTTATTAGTGCCAGTCTTCCAAAGAGGACTCGCCAATCGGCCATGGCATATTTTAAGAGACGAGGACGCTTATCAACGTCATTTTCACAATTTGTGGCGGAAATATCTGCAGTCAATATGACAAGTCTTCGGCCCAATACCATATCAAACACTATCCCAACCCCCTGCCGTTATGGAGTTGTGCTTGTTGATCCCAAAAGCAATGACGCCGGTAGCATTGCTGCAGATATCGCACGTATCGGCAACGGACTTGCCCGTAGTCGGTATCAAGGGGATTTGCCAGATGCGGGAAAGATCTTCTTCGTGCATAGGAAAATCTTGCAGTTACCTGCAAGCAGCCACACCAGATCTCAAAGAACCTGGGATTCAGTGGGTAAGGCAGTCTTTGCTGGGTGCCTAAAATGGGGTTTTGGCATTCCAGCAAAGCAACGCCGAATTGCCACTTCCGATCCTATGGGCTACTTGCAGCAACAAACTGTGATGAACGATGTCACTGTGAGCTTGGATTGGAAAGAAATATTACCTCTTCTACAGATGAAGCCATGATGAAAAAAGGATTTGCGGACTATTGAAACCTATTATGGAAAGACCTTAGAATGAGAAACGAGGTGCGCACTTTACACGTTTTATGACAGCTCACGGCCAAAAGTTTCGGATCGAATCCTGTTACAGAGCATCAGATACGGAGTTTTTTTTGCGGGGGAAAACGGGATGGTCGTATCGGGCCTTTTATGGCGGAAATGCATTTTATAATTTATAATTTATTTTAATGTAAGTTTGTTTTTTCCTGTGACGAGCAGAACGAGAAGAAGGCAGTGGGTTTTGGGAATCATGGAAGTTTTTATGGATCTATATAATGCTCAGAACGGCCAGTGCAAATGCACAATCCGCTTCGGTACGCCGACGCTCAAAACCAATGTCACACTCAATTATATCTCATACAAAGTCCGGCAAAGCGGTTAAGAGAAACAGTTAAATTCGATTATTTTGTCGACCGTGTCGAGTTTAACCATCACCCTCTCTCCTTGCTCTAATATCTCTCATCAAAGCTTTCGCTTCCTCCACCTCCACGCCATCCTGGCACAATTCACTGGCCAGCTGATCCGCCCGGTCCAAATCATGATGCCGCAATGCCCACCTGGCTAGCCACAGGCGAGCTTTGCTCGTCGTTGCAGTCACGCCTGTGCCAGTTGGTTCATCTTCCAAATCATCATTTTGATGCGTAAGGGTAGAAGTTCGTCGAGAGATCCCATCAGCGTCCGTCGCTGTGTCATCATCATAATCGTCACTACGGCCCATTTGTCCAGTTTCCTGCTGTAACGTCAATTCCATGTATGCAGCTGCTTCCTCTTCGTCGCCCAAGCGCTCGTAGAGTGTAGCGATTTGGTGCAACGTCTCCGGATCGAGAATTCGTAGAGCGGACGGGGTGTGTCCTGGACCACCGGGTGGAAAGGAAATTCCTACGCCACCACTGGCAAATGAATTCATTCCGGTGCCGCTGCTATCGTAATAGGACCCTGCGACGAGGGCACGCTTAAGGGCACGGATGCTCTGGTCGGCTCGCCCCATTTTGGCGTAACACGAGCCGACCGCTTGCCACATTTTGGGATCATATGGACGGAGTGCGGCGGCCTCGTTGGTAGTAGAAAGAGCGTAAAAAGCCATATCGAGTACCTCGTAGCTTGGCTAGACATACCATGCGCGGTAGTCCTTCAGTTGACATCTACAGCTCGTCTATAGGATTCGATGG